GCAGTTCTGGCTAATATCGCTATGGCGCTGTGAGACCGTAGGATGGTCAACAAGACCTCATAGGCTGCGTGTTTTATGCCTGATGAGAAGACAAGACCTCATAGGCTGCGTGTTTAATGCCTGATGAGAAGACAAGACCTCACAGGCTGCGTGTTTTATGCCTGATGAGAAGTTAAGACCTCATAGGCTGCGTGTTTTATGCCTGATGAGAAGACAAGACCTCATAGGCTGCGTGTTTTATGCCTGATGAGAAGACAAGACCTCTTAGGCTGCGTGTTTTATGCCTGATGAGAAGACAAGACCTCACAGGCTGCGTGTTTTATGCCTGATGAGAGGTTAAGACCTCATAGGCTGCGTGTTTTATGCCTGATGAGAAGACAAGATCTCATAGGCTGCGTGTTTTATGCCTGATGAGAAGACAAGATCTCATAGGCTGCGTGTTTTATGCCTGATGAGAAGACAAGACCTCACAGGCTGCTTGTTTTATGCCTGATGAGAAGTTAAGACCTCATAGGCTGCGTGTTTTATGCCTGACGAGAAGACAAGACCTCACATACTTTGAAAAGCCCAAAAAAGTCGGATCAGAAATGTCATTTTCCACGTTACGAGAAAGCTTTAATCTTCCTCCTCTCGTGACCGCCCCCCCCGTTCTGATAACAGGATGTGCTCTTTAGCCTAATTAAGCACATTCATTAAAAACTAATGAGTGGAAATTGTAGATTGCTTGTGTGCAGGATAGCTAGAAAAAGCCAGAAAAGTCGGAGCAGAAATGTTCTTTTCCACGTTAGGAGAAAGCTTTAATCTTCCGCCTCTTGTGCCCCCCCCCCCATTCTTATATATAGTACATGACGGAGTTTCTTGTACATGTATATGATTGTATATGATATATCTGGCATATGTATGTTAACAATCATAAAATTTCCTAAAATGTTACCCTTCGGAAAAGCTTCCATTTCTCCATATAATCATGAGGTTAAATCAAACCTGCTTGACACATTGCAAATGCCCCATTGTAATCCTATCGGATATGATCATAATTTACGTAATTTACAAAATACTCCCAAAAATATTTGGCAAAAAAATTATGTTTCCGTGCTTTGTAATGTAATAGAGGGGCAGCGAGTAGGCAAAAATGTGTGTAACGGGACACGGCATTGAATTTCAGATATTGCCCCTCCCCCGCACATGAAATGGTACAGTCCGCCTGTGGTGACCGCCTATTGTGCCCGCCTCTCGTGCCCTACTCCAGTACTCGCGTCACCCCTTACTCTGCCCGCCTCCGTTGTCAGTTCATGGGGCTTCAGCTCACGGCTCAAAAGCGCCGCCTAACTGTGGAAGGTTATTACTGCAGTGCAGACCTGCTGCTACGGGTTATGTCACTCTTCACTCCATATATGGCAAGGAACTCCATATATGGTAAAGGTTTCCATATATGGTAAAGGGGAGACCGGAAAAGTAGGGTCCTACGTTGTCCGTAACACCTGCATTCCATATATGGTAAAGGGGAGACCGGAAAGCCGGGACCCAACGCTGTTCCCGACACCTGCATGCCGTGACTGCAAATCTAACTTGAACCGCTAGAGGCCCTCACTGACCTGTCTAGTTGCGGTCCAAAATGAGGTCCCAGTGTGAGGTACAGCCCCTGCATCATCATCATGGCTACCGCGGGCCAAGAAACGAACGTGAAAACGTACTTCCTCCTCGTTTTTACCAAGAGAGAAGCTACCGCCACGGGTTTCTTGGAGCCGTAAGTGACTTACAGAAGGCCGAAGTTCTCCAGGATGTGGTTCTTGAAGTCGAGGGCCGCCGGTTTCCCTGCCACCGGCTTGTTTTGTCCGCGGCCAGCCCCTATTTCCGGGCGATGTTTAACGTTACATCTGATATGGTACCCTCGTTTCGGGCCGCTAGCAATTTCCTTCGGCAACCAAGAGTCCTTCGCCCGCGGGTCTGAATTACCGCTACGGGGAGACTAGCCCGGGGGAAGTTTGGCTGGCCGTTTCAACGAGACTAGTTCTAGGGCCGGACAAACCCCTCGGGCTCAACTCCCCCGTAGCGGTAATTTAGATAGGCGGGCGAAGGGCTCTTGGCTGCCGGAGGAAAACGGCTAACGGCCCGATACTAGTTTGGCATCCAGGGTACTGATATGGCGGAGAGTCGGCAGAAGAGAGTTGTTTGTGAAGGTAAATTTGGCGCAAATCACAGCTGAAGTATAGCAAAACTGGTCCCTCTAGGGGTTCTTTGTATTATCTATATGTATTTATATATGTTGTTGATGTTACTGTTGATGCATGTTGTTGTTGTAAAGAAGACACTCCTTTTATATCCGAAGTTGACTCCCTAAACTTTTGCTCCAGTATTTTGTGGCTTTCTTTTTTTAAACAAGGACATTTGCCTCACACAAATGTTGACGAATGTAGGCCAGACTGAAATAGCCATGTTAAAGATACTTTATTCAATTATTTGGTGACAAGGCGGGATTCGAACCCGGGACCTCTTGGTTCTGAGCCGAATGTTCTGCTGTTATTCGACACAACTCCAAGTTCAAAAGTTTCAAAATTTACCATAGCTGGAAGTAGCAGTACATGTCTTCAAGTAGGATACAGCAACAGTTAATAGTAAATACATTATTATACAGTAAATACATTATATCACTCTACAGGGTTTGGATGCAGCCATGTTTGGGGAGATCCTGAGGTACATCTACTCGGGAACCCTCCATGTGTCCCTGGACAGAGTGCAGCACCTGTACCAGGCAGCTGACCTCCTGCACCTGGACTATGTGAGAGACACCTGCAGCAGCTACATGGCTGTGAACGTGGAGCGCTCCACCTGTGTGGAACTGTACAAGTTTGCTGATGCCTTCGCTGTGGACATTGTTTTGGACCGATGTCTGCAGTGTATCTGTCGGCACTTTGCTAAGCCTAAAGTTAATAGTAAATAAGTTACAACCTCTGTATAAGGACTATCATCCAAGCATGAAGAATCCTGTATTATTGTATATAGTGTACATCTGTCTACTAGTATTCTGTTGTCACTCTAAATATTTCTGGCTGTCTTTTTTTATAATTGCGATTGTTAGCAAAGCAACGCAATTCAAAACCTGAGAATGTTATGTATACATAAGACTGGGAATAGATGCAAATAAATTACCACGTTTTACATTTGATTGATTTTTGATCATTAAAATGATGACACATGTTGTCTGTTTATACTTAAGATAGCTTGCATGGATATAACGGTTTTCATAACTGGAGGAAGTCATTTATTCCTTCAGTCACTCCTTGATTCATTCATTCATCTTTCCATCTATCTATTTGTCTGTCCCCTCCAGGTTTCCATCAGTGAAGAGTTCTGCAGCCTGAGTGTGGATCAGCTGACTGAGATCATCAGCCAGGATGAGCTGGAGGTTAAAGAGGAGACAAGAGTGTGGGAGGCTGTGGTGAGATGGGTGCAGCACAGCAGGGAGGACAGGTGGGGAAACTCACTCACTCACTTACACACTCACATACCCACTCACTCACTCACATACTCACTCACCTACCCACTCACTCACTCACTCACCCACTCACTCACTCACTCACTCACTCACTCACTCACTCACTCACTCACTCACTCACTCACTCACTCACCCACTCACTATTCAGGCTTTGAAACTAATAACGTTATTACATGTATATCTAATATACAGCATATTCTTATGATTCGAATGTCACATCCACTGCGGCCATAAGATTTCTTATAGATGTACATTTTGGTCAGTGTAGCTCACTTCTTTCTGAACATATAAAAATCTACCATAGACTCTCAATATGGCTTCATTTTATGGACATCTGAATCTACCCTGTACCCTACAGACTGCAGCACCTACCCAGCGTCCTCCCTCACATCCGCTTCACCCTGCTGACCTCGGACGCCATGGCGGCCATCTTGGAACATCCCCTGGTCAGGGAGGATCCTGGGATATCAAAGGTCATCAGGAACGAGGTACAGACGGAGACCTCCACCCAGAAGACAAGAGTCGGGATGGACACCCAGGAAATGGCACTACTTTTTGGCTCAAGGTTTGTCCAGAATTACTTTGTTTTCCTTTTCTGCCCACAATCATGATAATGATCATTCTGGCATACTCATTTTTACCTCAGTGAAGTGATGAAAGTCATGTTAAGTGCCTTTCAATCAGGAATCGAGAACAGGACCTCTTGGTGAGCAAAATTCTCTGCTGTTATGCCACACAACCCCACGTTTCTGTAGAGGAGCTTTAACTTTCATTTTTACGGGATAACTTTAAAAGAGTAAAGATACTGTGGAGGAGAGGTGACTGTAACAAAGTTTATTTTTCTGTTGTCTTACAGCAAGAGAGAGATGCTGTGTATGAACCCCAGAGTCAGGCGGTACATCAGCTGTGGTTACCCAGCAGACCTTCCTCCTGTCGTCACCATGACTGTTACCAGCGATAACGACATCTACATCTTAGCTGGACACTCGCATGCTGAACTATCCCTGTTCGTGACATCTACATCTTAGCTGGACACTCGCACGCTGAACTATCCAGGAGTATCCCTATTTGTCTACAACCATGTGGGGAACATGTGGAACATTAACAACCGTTGTTTAAAAACTTCTAACCCTGACAAAACTATCACATTTTGGCACTTATAGCTTTACTCAGCCACTGTTGTTATTATTCTACAATACACACAAGAAAAGCTTGATCTGACTATTTAAATTAAAAGAAAATAGAAAATTTCTGTTTGAAAATCAAGGATTTGGATGAACACCCCTCCTGTATATAAATTCACCACCCATGTACTGGCAACCATATCACCGATGTATTATTAAACTTTTTGATATGGAATCGTGTTTTCTTGTTGTCCTTGTGTACATTGTCTTTGCTAGTTTCTTTTGATAGTGAACAAGAAAAATATTATACTAGGAAACTGGAGCAATCAAGTTGAATTATTTTAAGAGAGTAAAAATAAAGTATATCAAAATGGCCTGAACTACAGTTCTTACTACAATTTCTTAGACCTGTATATTATCTATCTACCTAGTAGTACCTAGTTTCAAACTGTAAGGATTGTCTACTCGTATCTGCTTGGATAATAGAAGGGTTAATTTTAATGGGATGACAATACAAGAAGCCAAATGAAGACAAATACAACTGAAAATAGTTATTAACAGATCATGAAACTTTGAAATGTAGTTCCAGGGCTCTGGCAGTGTTATAATTTTATCAATAGTACCCTTTTTGAAAGAGATAATTCACTTCCTGGATTAAGAAATGTAGAAAAAAATGACGAGAAAAGGCTATATTCAACCGCTTATAACGAACGTTCTGGAAATGTTTCTACCAAAATAAGCAAATGTAGGACTAAAATAGTTCTTATCTAAGTAATTCGTGATATTTTGGTCACCATGTCGAGCCTCAGGGTCAAGATCAAGAGTAAGAAAGACTGGAAGTAAAACCCACATAAGAGCCCATCGCGTTTCCCCACTCGCGAAATGGCCAAATCTGGGAATGAGCGAGGCTTCGTTAGCGAGATACGGGCCTTTTTGGAAAGGGGGCTCGAAAACGGGGGTGTGATAGGGGATGAATTTCCGCTTTTTCAATTTTAGAAAAATGAAACTTTTGACATTTTTATGAGCCTTTATTTTTAGAGTATACCCCCAATGGTCTCTTTTACATTCCTGCGTAAAATCTTTGACCAAATTTGCTTCATTCTCGAGTTATACGTCAAAACGTGATTTTGCGATCAGCTGATCACTTGCAGAAGTGGTCACAGTCTTTGCAGAAGTGGAGTTTTCACCGTCGGAGACATTAGCATATGAATGAAAACCAAGCAGATGTTAGGAGGGAAGACCGTCAGATAAGCCCGGTTGCCACTCAGAAGACAGTCACCTCAACATCTGCTTGGAGCCCTTATCCGTAATCTCCAAGCAGATACAAGGATGATTTCTCATGAAGCTACCTATAACAATTAACGGTCATATCACATGGATAAGCTATGATATTAGTGTCTCTTAGCTAAGCTTGTTTCAATGTTTCTCCTCCTTAAAATTTTCCTTTTATTACGGTTATTTTATAAGAAATGCGATAGACGGAAGGTTGCTGTGTCTGTCGTGTGGCGGTTCCAAACGCCGCGACTTCCGAAAAAGTCGCCCGGGAGGACACGTTTTCAGACACACACTACCCCGACATTTCTTCTTATTACATGTATCATCAGGTTTCCGAAAGAAGGGAGCGTATATAGTGGCAATCCTCCATCTAATGTTACGATTTCCCTCCTGACATCTGCTTGGTTTTCATTCATATGGTAATGTCTCCGGCAGCGAAAACTCCACTTCTGCAAAGACTCTGACCACTTCTGCAAGCGATCAGCTGATCGCAAAATCAAGTTTTGGCTTATAACTCGAAAACAAAACAAATTTGTTGGAGGGCAATAAGTGGGAATATAATGGAGACTATAAGTAGTATACCCTGAGAACAAGGAGGCCGGAAAATGTCAAAAGTTTCATTTTTGTAAAATAAAAATAGCGGAAATTCATCCCCTATCACACCCCCGTTTTCGAGCGCCCGTTCCGAAAAGGCGCGTATCTCGCCAACGAAGCCTCGCTCATTCCCAGATTTGGCCATTTCGCGAGTGGGGAAACGCGATGGGCTCTTATGGGGGTTTTACTTCAGTACTTTCCTGCTCTTGTTCTTGACCTTGAGGCTCACCCCGACTACCTAAATATTACGAATTTGTCAGGAAAGAATTGCTTTAGTCTTGCATCTGTTCATTTTGAGATAAACATTGCTAGAATGACTTTTACGAGCGGCTGAATACGGAGCTTTTTTTCAATATTTCCGCCATTCTAATTTTCCTGCATCCAATCGATAAAAGGCCATTATATCTAATTTTGAACCCTATTTGGTCAAATAAAACGTTTAGCAATACAACGATGTTTGTATGTTATTAACCCAATTTACCCTCAAAATCCTGCAAAGCATTATATAATGGTGTAATGTTTTATGTTTTGATCCTAAATTTCTTGTACTAATAATCTAAAACTTCCGATAATGTTTAACAAAGATCCACACAAAAACAAGAATGACACAAATCTGTATATTTGTTTTAAACAGATTTTAATATAACAGAAAACAGGATTCAAAGAATTTACATTTCATCTGCACTGTACAAGTCATTGTAATATAAGCTTAAGTGTATCATAATTTTTTTCAATATCATGCAACACAATTAATTATAAAAAAATCATCAAAAATTTTGTGTCAAATGTTTTCGCAAAGACAGGCCTAGGTACAATGGAAAGAACTCAAATTAATAATATATGTCAAGGAAGCTTAAGGCACCTACCTTAGCTATTAGTAATAAAACAGTTACCAGTTTTCATTAAAATTGGCAACAGTTCATGACCATTTAGATTTCATAATGAAAGCAACTTTTTCCCAATGTTTTTTTTTTTCGCATGCCAGCATCAGTTTTGGTTTTGTGTGTCCTAAAGGACATCTATCATCCATATAATTAAATCAGTATGGACTTAGTCGGTCGAAAGTCAAGTATAAATAGGTGAAAATAATGTTATAAAGATATCATAAATATTTTAGTATTCTGTCTCCTTTTTCATGACATTATACATTTCATGGCATTTTATGGATTATACGTACCTCTCAGGTAGGGTTCCTAAGAAACATACCAAAGGACAGCCATAGTACTCTCCAATTAAGCAGAGGTTGGGGATTTGGCTTTTTTTTTTGGGGGGGGGGTCATTTTTTCACTGGTATCTTTTTTTTACGCCAACCTAACGTATGAAAAAGATATCAGTGCAACAAAGGAAGCCCGATAAAAAGCCTAAAACACGCCAAAAATGAGCCAAAACCCAAACCTCTGCTTGGAGAGTAAGTCATGGGCTTACAGCCATGGGAACGAGACTTCCCATCAGAATTACTCGCAGCCAATCAGCGTCCTGAAATGATTCAAACATCCTGGGCGTGCGTCAATCGATGTATTTATGGTACGGAAGCTAAGGTTTATGACATTCGGTACACTTTGTGAGCACGCATAGCATCACTAGTTCACCCAAAGAAATGATGAAGACGTCGTTTTTTCTGGCGGCAATGCTGGCGCTCTGTGGCGCAGGCTTCGCTCAAGATATCGATGGCAACAGCTACGGCGAATTACAGAACATATCCGACGATTTTGGAGGGGAAAACATGCAAGTAAGTACGCTTGTAGGAGAATCTATGTGATATAAAATTATATTTTTAGTAGAAATGTTACAAAAAAATTCATCGAGTTCTTTAGAATAGCTGTGCACAAAATTAGCCTTAGGATTTGCTCACAATAAACATACGATCGTTGTACAATTGCAAACTGAGAATACTATTATTCTTGGGATAGGCATGCATGTGACGTACAAAATCAAACTGTGTCTTAAAGTAGAGTTGAAATGACAGAAGAAGAAGAAACATCATGATGAGTAAAAACAATATATTTCATTCACTGTATGGACTCGAATATAATAAGCCTAAGCCTAAGCCTCTGCTTTGAGAATACGTTTATATAGATTTGTATGTAAGCCTGTATCTATCCTCCTAACATCAATCTATCATGCTACGGATATAAGTTTCTATGGACGCTTCACTTGCACTTCTTAGTGTTTTGTACGGATTTTCACCACAACTACGGCTTACATTTTAGTTCTGGTTCGTTACAATGTATGGGTTGGGTTAGTTGTTAGTGGAGTAAAATGCAGCGAGAGCAGTAAAAAAATGCGTGAGAATTCTGCGTGTTATTTCAACCCAATTGCCAGTACAGATTTAATAGACAAAGAGCCGAATCCCCTAAACAAAATTATTCCACCCTAAAAATCCTTTGGAATTCCTGCATACCACGCAGTTTAGTGAAGCGGATATTATGTGGAAAACGGCATCAACATCCAACCCCTTTCCCGTGGAAAACTTGAGTACAACCGTCGTAATGTTTAGGGATTTGGAGACATTGAAAACATATGTCGACTACTTTCCTTCTCGGAGTATGTTTTCCATTGTTGACGTCAAAGTGGTCATAAAATGTTCATAAAAAGTCCCAAATGCCGATCGTCAGCATTTCCCCGTACAAAAGTGTAAGAATTGTTGGATAATGGAATATATGAACTCTACAACACTGCCTCAAATCAACAGTAGAGCAGTAAAAGTGTTGAGGCAAATGTACGTGGTGTGTATGGAGGGATTTCAGATGCCTTGACCCCTGCTAGTTCAACAGTGAAATAATATCCCGTGAGCAAAATATAATTTTCGTTATATTTCCCACAAGGTTTTAATACAGGGGAAATCCCTATACTCCTGTAACCTATACTGAAATATTTATAAACAGTCACAATATTTGATGGCATCTTTTATGAATGTCTTGATGTTATGAATTTCATTCGATGTGACAGTATAGAAAATTTTCACCTAGCAATGTCATCTTTGGTCCTGTGAATTTAATGGTTATCAATGGAGTTATTTCGTTGTTTTTTTTTTTTTGTTCATTTTTCATTATTTTGGGTTTCTCGCAAATTCTGTGGATGTTTGTGTGCCCTTTTGTTTATATAGTAAGCCTAGTACGTTCCTTTATTGTATCATACATGTATGCGTTTTTCATACCTCAAAGACTAAAAGGAATGAATAGACTACCAGGGAGACCTTGTATATTATCGCTGCTTTGAACATTCCCCCAGATCATATCGGTTAGGAACACAAAATTAGATAAAAATTACACAATTGGGTTTGCATCCGGCTGAAAGTAAAATTAGTCAAGGGGGCCTAACATTATTGCATTAAGACTGTACTATGCGTCACTCACATAATATCTTTATATACTTGGAAATGTGCTTTATACTGAGTTCTACGTGTAACGTAACATATTTTAAGTCATTGTTTTATTAGCATTTATGATCTAAGAAATACAAGTTTCTATTTCTAGTGTTCATATTACTATTATCAAGGTTTTCTGAAAGAAATTATAAACATTGTAAGCGTCGTAAACAAGACCTCTGACCTCCCTTTAAATTAGGAAAAAGTGGCTAAGGCCCAAGAGTGTACTTTTGTACGTTTTCAAAGTTAATATTAAGGTTGAAAATGATGGTGGCCGGCAGAACAAAGCAGAGATATACAAGAAGTTACCTGATAATCGATGACTTTCGGATGTGTAAGGCCGGAGGTGTCCTATTAACGTAAACCTGAAGCCATCACCTGCGCGGATGTAATTGGGAAACTGCTGGACTCAATTGAAGGCCGAAGAGAAATAATGACCACATGAGATCATTCATATTCCTTTTAGGTCCACCTCGCGGTAGAACCAGCTGTTAGGTGGATAATTGAGCGCCAATTTACACAGTTTTCGCCAATTTACACAGTTTACGCAGCTTGATTCTCAGTAGAAGATCTAATTAGCATCCGCTAAGACACTTACAACGTGTACATGGCGCAGCGTGGGCCCCAAAATGAAGCCTTGGGGAACAAGGGGCAGTGTCTTTATTATATGGATTTTGATATACTAATTACCCTATTAGACACTAGGTATATCTGTTAGATTATTCTATAAGGTAGCTTCAGGACACGGCAAAATCGCATAAAAACTACCGGAGCGTTGTAGCTTAATTATGATTTATGACATGAACATTTCTGCAACATGTCAGATCGATTGTTAATTTGGAAACCATGGCAACCCTCCCTAAAACTAGTTGTTGCACTACTAAGACCAATCCAAGGATGACACAAAATTGGATGAAATGTTTTAAATAAGAAAACCAGCAAGACAAAATAAGAATGAATTACGCATTTTCTCTACAACTAGTACTAGGTTAGCCTTAAGTGGCCCCTGTGCTGTTCCGTAAATGCAGGTAATTCTAAGACAAATGATGTTTCTGCGAAATCAAATCCACCTGCCACCCAAGAGGCTAAAGAGGCTTCCTCTTCTTTGACAGCCGATTGTTAAAGATTATTCTGTTCTCAGTACGTCCCAATTAGAATGCTCCAGATCTATTTCATAAAAGCGATCAATTCTCTGCATCAATGCTAAACGTACTAACCGTTTCCAAATTATTACACTGCTTATCCAGCCTATACATGTATGTATTGTCTGATGTGTCTTCATCTACCTAAAAACATTCTTATTATAAAACACGTGTATTACCTTAAAATGTTTGGCGGCTAAACGCTCCTGTCTACTCCACGATCCTGAAACACATTTGTTAATTTCATTTGATGTCAGCAAAAGGTCAAAGACAGTCAGTGTCGACCCCCGTCTCGGTTGATGGCTGGTTGAAGTTTTTTTTTTTTGTTCTTTTCCAGGATGCTGTTGGTGATTATGATCTGGGAGACAACCTGTACACGGCGGTGGAGAAACGTGGCAGGAGGCCTGGATCAGTGGTGATTCTTCCTGACGTTAGTATGGTGAAATTCATACTATAATTATAGAAGAACTTTATTGCACAATTGTAGCAGGTACAATTTACAGCAACGTAAACGTATATTTGATACTGAGTCACACAAATTTGTCAAAAGACTAGAAATTGGCTATTTCAGACATGCAGGGAGTAATTGGGGTTTTCCTGAATGTATCGGAAATGAATGATCGACGTAATTGAATGATGTAATTCAATCGAGTATTATACACAGTCAACTGCTTCCTGAATTCCTCCACGTACCACCCACTTACCACCACCTGCTGGGTCAGGGTCACCTTAAGACCCTTACCATCCCTGTCAATCAGTACCTGTACCAAGTATACACCCACTTCCCTGCAAACATTTTTTCTGGACAAACAAACCCATTCACAAACCCAGCCAAAACAGTAGGAGGTGGACCACTTTATATAGACTTTGTGATGCTCTAAGACATTGACTTATCTTCCGTTCCAGTGCCGAGCCCGCACGTCCTGTGTCCGGAACTACAAGGCGTGGAGCGTCCAGGTTTGCCGCTGTCCTTCCTCCCTCATCTGCTCCAAGCGGTCTGGAAGGTAATAATTTTGACAACGCCTCTGGTCCAGATCTGGTTAGAGGCCTTTCGTTGGCGTCATATTATGCTGATAAATTTGATCCGCTGCAACCATGCTGGAGTGCAGTAGCAGTACTCCAAGATGACGCAAATGTCGACATACAAAAAATACTTGTATTCTTCAAGTTCTGATTTTCTGTTATCAACATACACGACCATATGATCATAAAAAAGGTCGTGATGTTGAGGGTAACGAAGTACGTTAATTTGCGTTTTATTGTGCAATACTTTCATCAACCGCATGGTGACGCTGTTTCTCATGCCCAACAGGTGCATCTGGTGACCACTTCTTCACCAGCTGGTGAGGCATGCCGGGAAACTCAAGTTTGTTTCTTGCGCATGATGACGTATGAAAAGAGGCGTTGTACATGCCCATATTTGGGCAGAGAAATCACGGTCTTTATCCTGGGATCCGGAGTAGGTTTTGGAGAAGGAGAAGGGGCTGTAACAATTTGTGTTTTGGTAGCATTTGTAGTTCTGATTACTCATGCTGACATCGCCCAGAACAGGACTAACTGGAGAGAACTCACGGTCGTCTGCTCAAATGCAGCCGCCAGATGATGATGACTCGGCAATATACCAGATTTCGACACGAAGATTATAGTTTCTCATGAGTTGATGATTTTTAATTTACTAATTTTACTCTCACCTGTTGTTTGGGATCATTGTTAGAACAAAATAAATACCATGGAACATTCTATGAATATTCCTTCCTGTATATTATCTAGCTAACTATATACTAGGAGAGATATCTGGCGAGATATATATCTCTTATATAGGGTGGAGTAATATGAAGTAGCCCCCTCCCCCACACTCCACACAAAAGACGTTTGTTGTACAAACATTAATCGGTAGATGTCCTCACTGCAACCTACGACAGACGGTAAGGACACACAAACACACACGTCACACACATCACGCATACACACACACACATGTACGGGCAATACACACATATTCAAACACACGAACTCACACATCACACACACAGACAACGCTTTCTACACGTACGCACGCACGCACGCACACTCACACCACACACACATTCACTCACACACACACACACACACACACACACACACACACACACACACAAACACACATTCACGCCACACACGCACACATACACACACGCACACTCACACACATACACACACGCATCCCGTATGGCAAGACTATAAAAACATTTTGACAGGACTACCAAGAATATACTAGAACAACCTCCAGAGCTACACCCATTTAATATTTTGATGAGGTACATTTGCAGCGCTACTAACGACATCGTAACGTTAAGGCAACATGACTCTATTCGATCCACGTTTAAGTTGTGGGAAAATGATTTCGGTTTCTTAGATGGGCTCGTTTAGTGTTTAATGGACTGACGCACCAGAATGTCCGCGGCCGGGCTCCAACTCAACCTACCATGCAATAAAAGTCTGCAATTATCCTACCAGACGTTTCTAGCCTCAAAAAGCGGGCTTTGAAAGGGTAACTTGGGGTCATCTGGCGTTGTTATGTGTTGTCACAGGATGTATAGAAAGGCGGGCTACAAGAAAGGGTACCCGTTTAGAGACTTATTTGAACCTTCATTTCCTTAGCCCGAATGTACATCTTCTTTGAAAGGCCTCCATTTCCTGTTTGGCCTCGAAAATATGTGCCAGTTGTAGAATATCAACGGTTCACTTTTGAATCAGTATTCCATTTCTGTTACGGGCAGGGGTAAAAAATTCATAGCCAGATTTTATCTTCGTTCTCATCAATGTGAGATAAATTCATAAACCTCTTATTCCAAGTGTTATAAAAGAAAAGCTTCTGTATGATGTCCTTTAATTAGAGTAGGATACTGATTTGAAAGTGAAGAGTTGATAAACTAAATTATGAAATAAAGTATGTCTAAACCTATAAAATTTCTCAGACAGAATCAAAACACCTTTACTATCAGCTATCTCGTTCTATTATCTTCTTTTCTTCACTATTTATCATCATTTCACAGTACTATTTTCACTTGTCCGGAATCAGCTTTGCCATCCATCCTCATCGTGAATTACCAAGTTTCCTGTCACTCTATCGATCGACACATACTGGTTTTCAAACTTCCAAATTTTAGAAACATAAAATATAGAAACCCCAGAAACGTGCGTTATATACTTCAACTACAGTAACTATTTTTTAAATAAAAAATGCATTGTGGTCTGAACTTGAGCAATGACCTAGCGGTAGTTGCATTGTACAGCATTGTTTATTTGATAAAAATCTCGACTACCCTCAAAATATGTCCTCTATAATTCATCGTAATGAATTATTGGGTGATCTAGAAAATCATTTTGTTGTCCTTTATTGGCACCCACGCAAAAATTAAAACAAGTGCAAATAGTAATTGTCAATGAGATGGAAATACTATAGAATAGACATCTATAGGAAGAACAACCTTCGTACATAAAATGAACAAACATAATTAACAAATTGAAATACAGTGCAAAAAATTAACAAACTAAAGTACAGTGCAAAAAGTGAGTAAGACTTAGTGTTATCGGCAGTATTGCTAGCAATTAATCATCGTGATTTCCATTGGCATATTTTCCTCTCAGCAATAGGTAAGTGATCTCCCAACGAAGCATAACACGAATCTGTGCCCATCCAATATATGGGCTGTCTCCTGCTAAATGTAGCGAATCGACCGCCAAGGGTAAGTGGTTGGAACGGTGTCCGTGGTATTGTGATTGACGAGCCAGTCCAACCATTGATGTTGTGCACGGTATGTCATGGGCTTTTGGTTATTTTGTAATATAAAATTGCAAGGCTCACCAACCAGATGCCAGACATAGGGACTCATACAATTTCGTCATCAACAGACTGTAGTGTACAACATCAACATCAATAACAGTAATGTACAAGATCTTGCGAAGTCACTTTGCGGTCATTGCCTTGAAGCTTGATGATGAGGGAACGAATCACCAGTACCGGCACCTTTGTGATGCCTGGTGGTGGCGTCATAATCATGCCTGACATAGTTTTCTGGACTTCAAAACACCCCTGAGGTCTGTCAGAATCTAAGAAAATGTTAATTCTTTAATCATTTATCCATTCATTCATTTGGCTGACGTAGTTGCCCAACTACCGGGTTGATATTGTTAATTAAGGACTACGTAATCAGTAAATCATAACTACAGTTAGAAATACACCGACAATTTAGCCCTTTGTTTTCTTTCCCCATACAATAAACAAAATTAGTACGTAACCTTTTGAATGCATTCAAGGAGGTTAAATACAAGACTTGTATTTAACCTCCTTGATGCATTCTAAAAGCACTCTTTTACTGTCTGTGAAAAACCTTGAGAAAAAGATTAGTGATAATCAGACACTAAGTAACAGTTGTCAACTATTCCGTATCAGTTCGTACTTGGTAGTATGTTGTTGTTGTACACAGACTCAGCATTTCTTGTCACTAGTCGATGTTGTGTTGAACACAGAACAGTCATCCAATCAAAGGCTTCCTGTCAGCCCCGACCACTGACATGCCATGCTGGATGAAACCTGATACTATTTGGCGCGAAATATTTGGCGCCATCAGTCTGCATTTCGCGCCATTTTTGAGTATGCCGGTCTCTCATGTTTTCAGATGGGGTGAAGTAAGTTGAATAATGTACGGAATACATACAGAAGCACCTATCATAGAAATTATGAGAGACAAAGCTGATCAAAAAGTACCAGTTTGCTGTTTTCATTGCACTTTCGCCAGACGACTGTTGCCATGTGCGGTTTACAGTCAGAAACAACAATAATATGTAACAGGGCCGTGACCATTTAGAGCGAAAAATTCGTCAACCAATCAGAAACTAACTACGAGCTGTCGATTGTTGCCCACCTGAGTGGCCAAATATAGCTGTAACCTGATACCATTTGGCGCGAAAATTCAAGCCACTACAAAGCTGTCAATTAAAAAATATTAGACTATCTTAAATGGACTTTGTTAAAGAAGTCCTTCTTACTACGGTATATCGGGATTAGGACAGTCAATTGATATTTTCAGGCCGCTTGGGCTCTCAGAGCACACAAGTCTGATGCCTCGGTCTTCACCCTATTAACCAATGGCGACGCTGACAATGGTTGATGAATATTCTAACTGTTAATCTTACGTGACTGATGAACCTCTTCGATTACAAAAAAAATTAAACTAAAAACGAAATTAAACATTTTATAATACCTCTTCAATTAAAAAAAATAAACTAAAAATGAAATTAAAAATTTTATAATATGAGCTTTATAATGGAAGAAATGTGACCTTTGGAATGAAGTGTCTACCAAACAAGCTTGAAAATTGACCAGAAGCATTGAAATCGGAAGGTGCGCGGTATATTTTTACAGTAGTCATTACAAAGGAGGAGGGTATATCATTTCAGTAAATTTGATGATTTTAAGGGAAGTCAGGTATTTATGCCCATACGTTTGGAATCAGTGCAAATCAGTGCAAATCAAGCATCAATTTGAAGGCCATGTTCAAAGGGCAGTCGGAAGGCCGGTGGTTCGTACTCACGTCATTCTGATTATCTACATGGCCATTTCCTATATCCTGACCGGAACGTCCTACTCTTTGATAACCAAGAAATTGAAGACCTCGTATAGATCCGTAAGAAGGAGTATTTTGTGATTTTACTTGTCACACGGGCGTCATAACCAAGTACTAATTATGTTTTAGTGACGCAGACATGTTTTCAAGTTGGTACCAGGACTCTTCAATCGTGAAGACATGTTAGGGGACACTATAGGCCATATATGCATATACAAATCTATTCACATTATAATCATTACCCGTCGAAATGTACGTGAAGGTAAAAAAAATAAAAAGGAGGTGTATATCATAGATCAAAGAAGCAGTTATCAAAGCGTTTCAGATATTCTACGACAGACACTTCAGGCATTATGAGTATTAATAACATCCCTGTACGTCGACGTCATTACATTCAATACGTTTCAATGTCCATGATCAAAAGAAATTATTGCCGAAACATATTAGATATTCTCTGACTGTCACTATATGTATTATGATTGTTAGTAAGTATGATTAAGTTCGTGAGGTGTACATCATTATATTCAATACATTCAATGTTCATGATCGATATCTATCATACTGCATACTAGTAACAACACAGTCTCGTTGGAACAAACAAGCAGGTCTACATTGGAGCTATGCACGGCAGTAACTACAAACTACTGCTCTACTGCTCTACTTTACCTAAGTGAAATAGTCGTTTAACGGAATGACAGTAATACTTGTACGCTATATAGTTAATGTTTTTAGTTTGAATATCAACTGTTGTTAATGGAACCCCCACGCAATTCAGTCTGTGACTGCCATGTGGGAACCATTGTTAGAAGTTTTACATGAAACAAATAAACCAGTATTTAAAAAAATTAATACCTCTCATTAAGCGTGAACATCATCAGGGCATGATTGAAAAGTGTCAAGGGATGCAATTTTGGCTACTCTAATATCCATCAATGGGTCATCAGTTTCTTTATGGGTCGACAGTTATTGACTCATAGAACGTCCCATAGCTCTTCGTGGAAATCAGAAGGAACCTGCCTATGAGCAACCTTACCAGATCCATGAACGGAATGAGTGGGTAATCTCAAAGCAGATCGTTCGGTGGCAAAGTCGTAACCAACCGTCAAGACAGTATCAAATAGGCTTGACGCCATTCAATAGACCACTTATTCATTATTAGGCAGGTTTTAAAAATATACATAAGGAGGGCTAGTCAGAATGTTCCAAGCTAAAAAAAAACCTTTGCACGCGGTGAGAATGGCAACGTGCAGTGGTTGCAAGACAATAGCAAGTAAAGTTAGATCTTACATACTGCAGCTAACATATCGGAGTTGTTTGCAACAAAGAACCTAAAATTGGGTTATCATTTAGTTTAAACTGAATATAATTACAACACGGGGTAGTTTGGAAGTAGCTTTTGCCCAGTCTAAAACTCTTTAAGATCGCTCAATCAATAAAGAATGAAACAGCAACAAAGGTTTCCACATCCCGTTCGTTTTGGTCATTCGTGGCGACTGAATGTCTCGACAAGACATAAAGAACTCAATTCAATCAAACTGGTCTGGTTTGTGTGTCAGACAATTGCCAATTTAAAAGCTAAGTAGCACGTAATGTGGTTTCGGTTCACCGTCTATCTAGGGCACTCACCAGTGTGGTCTTCTTGCACCAATGAATCAGAAAAAAAGATATGCTCTTTTTGGTTGGGAAACAGAACGAGCGTTTGAGTGAACGACATGGAAGGCAATGTCACATTTTAACCCACGTTGACGCTCTTCTAAGAAATTTCATTGGTTAATTGCTCTGTTGGTTACCGTATTTACTGTGAAATTAGATGTTGATGAGACTAACAACTTGAAATGTTTGAATCCATGGCAGGTCTTCGACGTTGGCATTGAGACTATATTTAATAGCTAGCGCCAAATGGCAGCTACTCCAGACCATTCTGCTTAAGCCTAAGCTAGAGTATAAGCTCATCGTATTTTAGCAGAAGAATCACTTTTGATATCGTACATGTAATTGCGAATTCCGATTATATTATAAATCTAACTGCTATGACGAAAGTGGTTCTTTTCACAGCTATATTGTTGAAGTGATAAATACAATGTACGTAATGGAAATTCACTTCAAATTCCTATCTGGTCAATCACGCCACGAATGTAGACCATCCATTGCAACAGGCCGTTCCAAAATCTATCTAGAAAGAGAATGTTCAAGAAGGTTGCATGTTACGCGTGTGTTCTCAATATGAGGCCACGCTGATTTAATTTTATGGATGACGTCTAAAAATCAGCTCCGAGGAGGCTCTAGCCTGGGTGCCATCCTACGCAGTCCATGGTAGCCTGAGACAATAGGGAGCCGGTGGTAACTACGGAGGATGGCACAGAAGCTCCACGGAACTCAGAACATAAAAGGCCAGCACTTGCCCGCCTGTCGTAAAAGTCGCTAGATATCTACTGCCGCAAATTCACAATACCAGCTTTGTATTTCTGTGGTTTAGCAGCATTTATTGGCTGGGATTTTTATTCGCTCACGCGCACTAGTTTGGGAGTCTTTAGAGGATGTCATCCATAAAATTAAGGCAGTATGGCTTGACTTATGTGAACCGTCCCCAATTAAAGGGAGCAAGCGCAACAGGGTGCGGAACCGTTACCAACGGAGGTGACGTACAGTGGGGGCACCCACGTCCGGCCCCCGTGACACAACCTGCCGTCCAATGGTTGTTGGCTACTAAGAAGACCCCGCCCACCACTCAAGAAACCCTGGCCTTTAAAAAACGACCTGGTGAACCCTTCCAAAATCACTTTGCCGACAAGGTCTACAAAGCCATCAACAAGCGATAGGTTCATCGTAGCCGAGCCCGTTGGTAGATTTTCAGGGTACCGAGATGAAGACAGTTCGCCTTCGGGAGCTCTTGCTTCTGCTTCTGAGTGCAGCTCTGTTAGTCGTCGTGACGGAGTGTCTACCTCGACAGAGCGACCCATACTACCCAGACGACATCAACGACATGGTAAGTTTGAGGCATCTTTTTTTTTAAACAACAAGTACGGAGTTTTCCAAAAACGTAGCCACCTTATGCCACAGCAGTACTACTGTTTTGTATTCAGAGTCGCGTCGCGTTGCTTTGGTACATGCTAGACCCTTGATTTATGGCTATAGCGACCCCATTCACAAATTACCGACGTAGAGGCTACTGCCGATTGTTTCCGCTTTCCTATGTGCTTGTTGATGCGAGAGTCAGTCGTTACTCTATAGACAAATACTGTTTGTCATAACTTGAATCAAAAGTAAGCTCGATTTACAGTGGTGACGGTATACTGACGCGTGACGCGACCTCAAAAGCCATCAAAACTCTACAAACCCAGTCATCTACCAGATGACTAAAAGAAATAACCGAAGGGTAAGTTCTTATATGAAAGAAATAAGTTGAATATCTTTTACCATAAAGATTACCCGGGCGCTTTCTAATAATGATTCTCACTCCGGTATATGTGTCCCGAAAATACATGGCACATCAAGTACGGCCACGGTGGTCGTGATCTTGCCATTTTAGTACAACTATTTGTTTCGAACTCATTTAAAACTCCAACAGCAACTTCAACAGGTTCAACACAGGCTATGTTACAGCTAGCCCAAGAGTGTCATTAAAACATCCACACCGCCTTATTTGGATTCTTTCATGCTTCCCATAGCATGTCGTAAAAAGAGGTCCGCGCACAGTCACACTATAATGAATGTCTCAAGCCGCGGCAATCTATTTAAGGTTTCTCAAACAAAAGGCTTGATGTTTTGAGTGATTGGCTGGAATAGGTTGCCGTCTTTATCCAGTAATTAAATTAACGCCTTTTATTGAACGCCATTGGGGTCGTGAAGGTATACCGCACAGTTCTCTTGATATTGATTATATCTATTATTTAGCAGTCATGTCTCCTATGAGTGGAGGCTTGGTCACATAACCTTTGGAACTTTACCCTTGATCCTATTACACACATTCACAGTTATTAAGTATACAAAAAGGCAACAGGCAAAGTCAAGTAGACTCCTTGTCGTAAAATATGGAATTTAAAACATAAAGAGAAAGTGCAAAACATGAGCATCAACTTAGCAACATTGCGTACCATCTCGTTGTGTTATTCATGGGAACCTACAACATTACAATCCTTCGGAAAATGCCATGTGTGTACCTGGTTACAGCTAGTATGAAGCAGCTGGTCTGGTATGTTTCTTCACCAGTGCAAATAGAGGGTATTAGGGGTTCTCTTCTATCCTCAGTTCATAGAGACCATCGACAGCTTTTGACGAAAAGATTCATTTGTCACCAATTCATTAACATTCAAAGTAGAATAATATTTCTGATCACTATTACAACTTTCCGTACATTTAGATTTTAATGGCAATACAATTCATGAATCACGCGGTCCGTACATGTTTTATTCATACCTTATTTCATCCCTTTCTTGGAAACCGTAGATATACCACATATACCACAATACAAGCACAGGTATATCACTGTAATGTGTGGCAATACTGTCCACCCTATATCTGGTTGAAATTGCCCTGCAGTCCAATCGCCTTCATAGCGATCTCGACAGCCAATAGATTGTTCACAAATTGCAAATATCTTACTTCGACAAATAAAAGACCGCTTGAGTTTCCGCGATCCGGGCAATATGAGATGAAGAGTGTTGTAGCCGATGTAGCGTGACCTGTTTTACCACAGGACAGATACCCCCTTCCGTTTTACATCGTATTCAATTTTTATAAATCTATGTGGTTTTGACATCAAAGCTTACATGGATGGTTTCAGACCACCTGTAGATTATGAGACTAGTAGATCTATTGGTAAGTGCTTAAGTGCTTAAAAGGATATCATCAAGCCATTGCCTTACAACGGTGCCCCCGCACGTTCCTTCGTCAGCCCATAGCTATCACTTCTTTGAGTAGCGTAGAGAATTCAATTAAAGCGAACTAAAAGATAGCCATCGAAGGTAATGAATTGTGTCGTTTTATAGCAAACATCCCACAGGCATCTTTGATATCACCATATAAAGCAATGGTATTCACACCCAGTTTGCTCCTTTGTATATGAAAATTATATCTTATCCAAGTAGGAGCCCATCTGTATCTCATTATGGCGATGAAATGTGTATTATCAGACATATGGGAAATCAGGCCCATGTGATTATCTCATCATTATCAAACATTCAGCTGATTATGGAAAACGGATCATTGAGATCGTTAAAGTAGATCATCATGGCTTAATGACACATGTATCCATTGCGTGTATGTTCTCAGTGACCGAATGAAGTCTTTGGAAGTAGCGATGAATTACCATGTAGGGTTCATATGGTTTTAACAAGGTTCCGCAAAGTACAACACTCTTCAAACAGCAAGCGTACTTTCCACTCTGCAGTAGGTCCACCCCGTCCCAGCTGGACATCCCATAAAAGGCAGCAGAATATTCAACAATAAGATGAAGGAGGCAGCTTTAAATGAAAGACCTATATAGTGCATGTAGACCTTCTGGTACCGCCCTAAATGTTGAATAGTTATTGATGGATGGTGATGCTGACCTTTTGTGACAGAGTATCAGAGCAGAAATCGTAGATCTATACCTGGTGCGAATTTATAATCAGAATCTCGGCCCATGTTTACACCAATGTTGTGTATTTCGTGTATGTCTTTACATTGGTACCATCTGCTACTGAAAAAAAAACCTGTTTTTCACCCCCAAATAATCTCATTTACTTTATCAATGACGTTTCGGTGGTAACAAGCAATAAATCAATAAAGTTTCACCCAGTCTACCGTCTAGCGTCGTGTGTTAATAAAGTAGCAACCATATGTGTCTTTTTGTACTGATTTCCAGGAACGGCTATTGTCTTGAGTGTGTCAATAAAAATGCAACCATATGTGTCTTTTTTCATTTTCCATGAAGGTCGAGAGCATGTCAATTGCAACCTTATGTGTACTTTTTGTACTATTTACAGGAAGGTCTATTGTCGAGAGTGTGTCAATAAAGTTGCATCCATGTGTGTCTTTTTCCTGTACTGCATTCCAGGAAAGACTGTTGTTGAGAGGTTGTTGATAATGGAGTAATAATGAAGTTATGATCAGGAGGCAGGTGCATGATGTGGCGTACTTTATCGATCAGTGTTTCCATAATGCCACAATTTGGTCACTTTCGGGGAAAATGTATTCTCATTTTCCGCTACATTAACCACTTATGTTCCCACTAATGATTTTAAAAGTTCCGTTCCTAGAACCCCCCCATAAATAAAATTGAAGCCTCAGGGAATATGCTTGATGTGGCCAAACTTTATGTAGAATTGGCCTATTATCTTTATTGCATACAGTGTTAGAATAAAGCTAAAGCTGCTGCTCAATGTTCCACTAAGCAGGGTAGGATCCAGGTCTAAGTCCTAAACATAAAGAGTTGGGGCGGGTGACGCGCCTGGCCTAGTCAAAGTCTCAGCTCAAGAATACTCTGGTGATCCCTGACTCCCACAACGTTAAACACTTTTCTACCATCAACAGTAGAACTTTGGAACAATCTTCCGGAGGCGATAGCTATTATTTGGGACCGACAGAAGTTCAATGGTGAAGAAAATTCTTTCCTAAATCCACAACGCAAAACTATGACAGCGTTCAGTTTCTGCTAGCGCTGATGAGTGAGAGCTTCAGTAACGCAGGGACCCCCACGAAGCCCTTTTTGCACTTTGCCTTGGTCTCTCCAACTGTCTGCCAAAAGTCATGCACATCGACCTATGACTTCAAGAGTTATGCCGCTAAATCCAGTCTCCCACACTAAAGCAAACTGACTTCATACCCTTCTGACTATGGCAAAAAAGTAACTACCATAGCCATGCAAGTTTGCTTGATAGTAGATAAGAACCCTATACTGTGATTCAACTGGAGATTCCATGCAATAATTGGCCACTAGCAGGCTAACGTCAATTGCAATCTGCTCCATTAACTTACCTTAAACTTCTAAGTCTGAAAAGACTTCACTTATTCCGTATTAGATCTGTCAACACCCTTTGTCTGCATTTGATGAAGTAAAAACCTTTATTTACACAATGACGACAATCAATTTGCTGAGGCAGCGGGTGATTGCACGTCCACAATTGTTCGTAATCTTTATTACGCCAACTCATTGATTAATCAATACCCATAGTTTCAGGCTCCTTAAAACTTAATGAGATTATTTCTCAATTCTACAATGTTGTTCGAAAACAGACGCAGATTTAGTGGCAATCAACATTTAGTTTGGTAAAAATCAATAGTGATGCATGGTGGCAACGGCGACAAACGACAGGCAAATGAAAGTAGTTCTATTTGGTGGAAGATGAAACTTACAACACTTAAGCTCCTGTCCTAGAACAGCAGGAGCTATTTGACTCATTCGCATGAACCTTGTCATGACATTCTCAATTTCTTTTTCTATTGGAATAGAAAATGTCTTTACTTCATTGGTGTTATGAATCTGCTGAATTCGAGAGCTCTCCAGTGTCACTCAGGAAAATACTGGATGTCCTTTCCAAAATCATATCCAGTTGCTTGAGTAACTGTTTCTTGGCGTATCTCATTACCCGGATGTCCACTCTTCATCGACGTTGGTGATAGATTGTATCTTGCAAATGATCGCAACACCTTTGATAAACTTAGCACCATTGTTGTAGGGAATACACTGATGATGAACCCCTCAGGCGATGCTTGTTAGTGTAATGACTGTGCATCTCCCCAAAAGCGTAAGAACGCAGAAACTGAGAAAGCCTTCTTTCACCGACCCATTCAGTTGTGGGACTCCCTTCCACATGCTGTCACACGTGCAGCTCCCTAATTGTCATCCTTTGAAACCTAAGCCTGGATCTCTATCGAAGATCCGTTTTCCGTGTGAGTCAGTACAAAGTACTGCTGGTAATTTTATCTATAGCAGTCAGTCTTTTGAAGAAGACCGGAGTGACTGGTCGAAAGCTCTAGCTATAGGAGAGAACAATCTCTTGTGTTGGAACAAAGATTTTAATTTTAAACTTATTTATATCAGGTTAATGCAAAATGTATGGATTGTGTGCATAACCAACTGTATGTAGTTTTTCATAGCTTAGCCATTGACAATAGCTTCGCTAGTTGGTCAGCTCTGGTTGTCATTGCTGAACCTATAGATAAATAGCGCAATGACTCACGCTTCCCACAGATGCGTCTTTGAACTTAATTCGTTTCCTGTTTGAGCACTGATGTGGGCGTCAGCCATCAAAGCTTGGAAGCAATCAAAGTTTGGGGCGTGAGAGTGAATCCATCTGAACTCCAGACTGTTATTCAACCAGAGATTCAACAACTCAAACACAACATTGATAGCCCCTTTGGACCTTTTCTTGAGAAAATACTTCACCCCGAAGTTTAATATTTATTGGCATTCGTAACTTGAGTGCTTTCATGATGTTGGAAGGTGCTAAAATTCATTCCCTAAACAATACCGTAAGATCAAGGGTAACCTAAATCAAAAGCAGCACAGAAGCCCGGCAGTAATATGGAGTTCTCAATTATTCATGAATTTAAATTAACTAAGCTTGGTACATATATCCGGTGAGGAAACATATGTGATGCTTTGCTTTGATGCTTGACAGTCCATATGATGAAAATTATGAAGCTGGCAACAGACCGGCCTTGAGAGAACGCAACAGGTCATATATAAGAACATCAAATAAATCTTGAGTTTATACAAAAGATGTTTTCATAAAAGGTAAGCATACGTCTAAAGGGGAAAAGAAACTTGAGCCATCGACGAGCCAAGACTAGACTAAGAATCAGTGACCACCCCTACAGGTAGATTCACCCGAACATTTTGTAATAAGAATAGCATAGAAAATGAACTTCACTTTGTTGTAGAGTGCATGACCACTGTACAATGATTTACCAAATACCGTTGATAATGAGATACAGGTAGAACAGAAAATATGTACACCGTGAACAAAGGATGATATGTTGTTACATACAATCTTCAGTTATCAACGTAATAGAAAAACTATGTAAATTCGTCTGCAAATTCGAAATGCAATTCGAAGAGAGAACAAACGTGTCAAGCATAGATATAGATAAAACGTAACATAGTTTACTTATTACCTACTTGTATCAAACTTAGCCCCAATGGGGTATGGATATGCAATAAACGTCATTGTAAGTAAGAAAGCAGGCGATTTGACAGCCTGTCTTGATACTGCTGAGTCAACAGGAAAGGACTGCTGAGTCAACATCCAACTCAGCAGCCACATGCACAGGGGGCACCGTTAAGTCAGAGTCCCACAGAGCAACAGTGAAACCCCTGCTGTAGACGGTCTACCAAAACGGAAATAGCCGAATAATAGAGGAGAGATTTGACAGCCAGTCCGTCAGGACGTTAGCACTGAATAGCAGGCAAATGGTGAAGATTCAGATTGTAAATGGCCGGCCCACTACTCCTAAAGCACAAACAATAACGTGTAAAACGCCCCTCTACAATATTAGATTATATTTTCTCCACGGTCCTATGCCATGTACTTCAAACGATCGATGACGTGGTCTTTCCCACCACTAACACCCAGTCTCTTGTTGCGTGGTGCAAAGTCTTCCAGGAAGAGACAATCGTCTTGGGAAACTTCTTTTATTGCAAAAGCGTTGCTGTCATTAATCATGCTGTCAACTTGAATAAACTAAAAGGCACATTGTATCACTCAAGGATAAGATAAAGTGATACTTCCTGGCATATCTGGTTTGATTTCCCATCCGTCTACAACTTTCAACCAATTGGCGTTGTGGTTATTATTGTACTGACGATCTTCTAGGAGTTTCACTGTGTATTTTTGTATCGAGTTTCTTTTTTTTTAAGTATCAAAGCTACCGTTTTTAGATACAACAAAAAGATATCCATACTATGCATGATGTACAAAATGACTAATAAACTGGTGGCCATGCCAACTACTAGGCACAGTAATACCAGCTCAGAAAATAGCTACGAATAGCCAAACCTTCAAGTACCAGGTTGGGGTATTACAAATATTTTTTACTAGAACCATCATAGAGCGGAAAGCGTTGTCATGATGTACCATATGGGCATCATCACTAGATCCAAATAAATAGCTGGATTTGCAAAGTTTAGGTGTGACAGGCTGTTAAGTGTAATATATCCAGCTTCTGCCACGCCGAGTGCCTGCCAAGCTGGTGTGTTACGCCCAAGGGTGGTTATACCGGCTATACAGACACAACTTAGTATTTTACTTGTATGGCCATGTTAAAACCTACTTAGGCTCTCGAGATTGCACCGTTGTGCCTGCTTCACTTTTACAACTTGTTTTCGATTCCCAAAGTAAGTCAACCTCATCCGGTCACCACTTTCATAAAGTACTCTTCTTCTTAGTAATACATGACTGGACATCCTTCTAAGTAGTAACTATGAGTAAGTAGTCATAAATACGTGTACAGCTTTAAAAGAAGTCATTTGATGAGTCAATAGAGGTAAAATGACTGCTGACGACTGAATATGAATCTAGATTGAAACCCTTCAATTGCAACTGGATTCTTGATGATTGAATGCTAGTCGCTGTAGCGATAAGTAAATTTCGTTTGAATATTTGAAGGCAAACCATCATCATATGGCCCAAAGCGAACCTGGAAATAATTACTATAATTGAAATGCAACGGATAAAAAAATACAGATTTTTGATATGCTGAGATGTGGTATACGAAAATCATCTATTCCCATATGTACATATGTAAAGTTGCCTCTAATCTCCTAGCTTGGTGTACTATGTATGTTTAACTTGTGTTTTGTTGTCTATAGTTTCGTTATCTGTTTGTCATATGCTATACGTCATATGATAGACGACACGTACCTAGCCCCCGAGGCAAGAATGTACGATAGAATTCTTTCGTCATATTTGCGCAGATGCGGTCGGAAATGATGTAAGACATAAGAAACATTACAAGTAGGATCTGACAAAGTCTTTGATATGCAGGAAGTGTAGAATAACTTTTTGATGATGTCTGCAATTAATACTGTGCTTGTCCTCCCTCAGAGAAGATTGTGGTTATTACTTTCATTTTGTGTAAAGGCAGGATGCTCGCTATACCTTTTATCCAGCATTATAGTAACATGCAAGTATTAATGACAGAAAAACACTAATTGGTAAACCACATTCGTCAATACGGCTATGTGTGATGTCACTTTTATCTGTGGTTGTATTACACCCTCCAGCAAAACGCCTTACGGGTAGAGATGATCAACAGCCTTTTGTTATGAAACGAAGAGCTGCTGACGCTTTCTTTGAGATATGAGACATGACGACACTCATTAACAGCCGCGTGCCGTATAAAAATGTAAAAAAATAAATTGCACCAAACCCTTTAACTGTTTCAATAGTTGTCAACGGAGCGGAGGATATTAAAAAATATATGGGTTATAGATTGTTGTCACAATAGGTAGATGTATAATTTTCTACCTTCGTATGGCAGATAGAAATAGAAGGGCATCAGGTGCCTCGTGGAAAATATGAAAACATTAAGAAAATATGACTCTCGAATGCTTGAAAAGTTTCCATTATTGTCACGTAGATGGATGATATTAGGAACAGATGGGGTGAAGATTGCGGTTTGCAGAAGGGGAAACAATCGGTAGTTTATTTGGGGGAAGTGCGTGATACAATTGCAATATGCCACTCGCCTCTTCTGCTCTTTGCATAGTTATCATCACTGCCATCAGTGGTCAGACGAACTGTCTACAACATGATACTTACTATGACTGCCTTGTAAAGAAATGGAGACTTGTGTTGAATATGTCAATGTAACATGGGGGCCACACACCAGGAACGGCTAAAAAAACTACAATCAAGACCTGTTATACCATAGTTTACCGGTAGAGTGGCACAATACAATCACTTGTTTTCAAAGTCGTACATGGCATCATGAGTCTGGTCTTCAGACAGCAATAAGCCATTGACATGCACTACTGTCGTGGGTAGTAGCAGCAAAACATAACTGGACCCACACTGAGGAGCCGAAAATACGACATAGAATAGACACTAATAATGCCGGGGCTTCTACAGGCCTAATGCCTGTATTCTTTAGGATAGTAGGATTTTGGGAATGGAAGTAACTAGTCCGTATTGCGCCACCACAGAGTCTTAATGTTCATGAGCCGAAAAAGACTGAACGACAGGAATGCTCAGATTTTCTTACAAATTATTTACGTGCAGCCACAAAAAAGGTAAAGCTTCGGTCACAGCCGTTAACCTCGCTACTAGCTTTACTCTAACCGTAAGAAAGTATCCAACAAGGTGTCGAACTATGCTTCTACATCACCCTAGCGGGACAAAGTTTTATGGCTGTTGGTGCTAGAAATGTGGTGAATCACGCTGCTTCATTACTAGATGCAGCTTTGAGTGAGGCGTGGAATTCCCCTGCTTATCTTAAGAAGGTTCATGATGAAGAATAAAATTGTATTGCCTGCATATCCTTTGTTACAAGGTCAGTCCTGAAAGCTCTCATCAAAAAGGTATAAACTGTGTGGAACAAAGGTCCCGAAGAGCCCATTTGAAAACTGTTGCAACCTTTGGTACAATGTACAGGGCAGAAGCGCCATCTATCTAATGTGATGTAAACTTCCTTTCAGGCACTTGATGAACTGAGGGACCTGCTGGAAGAACGTGAACTTGAAATGTTGAGGGCAGAGGCTGCTCTACCTGAACGTGCACGGCGTTACAAACAGGTAAAAAAAACAGCTCCATAACATTGTGTTTTTGACTGAAGACTAGCGTCAAAACATGAAATACTAGTATAATGATTCACAATGATTGCAAGACTTTCGGTAGGCTTGTATTTATAATTGTATTATTTTATTTTTCTTAATAGGAGTATGATTATAACTACCTGATATCTTAAGTGTTTTTTTTTTCTAAATAACGTTAGAAAACGACGGACCAAGCTTAGCTCTAATTCGAAGCCAAGGCTCGAAATTAAAGGTGGTCCAATGGCCACTGACCACTAGAATTTAGGCTGCGACAACTGTTAAGACACTCCGGGACATTTTGGGGACAACAGAAAAATAATCAACATCAGAATGTCAGCCCTTCTTTTTTTATCACTGGCACACGTCCCGGCGTTTGGATCCGGAAACGTTCCCCTGAATTTCCTGTCTACACTGCAATTATAGTGCGCCTTGGAGTGAACATAAGCAAAATAAATACAATACTTCCCAAAACAGGTTGGGACAGTTCATCTTCACTTCGGTACAATTAAAATTTATTTTTGAGATAGTGCTGGGACAATTGGAAGAAAAATTTATTTCGAGACTGGAAGTGTTGAATTATGCATGTCTCATTCTTCCTTTCTCGCTCAGAGGTGTAAGCTACCTAATTTTGATTTCATTGTCTGTAAGATAGATCACCGTGCTAGAGCCCGCTACAGGTCGCCATTTGTTGCCACCTACTGCAATATAGCAATAGATTCAGAACTGCTGACTTGCTTGAATTGCTCCATTCATTTCACTGCTACATGGGCTGACTCATTTTATTCTAACATGGCAACCCACCTTTTATTGATCCATGCCCATCATCAGTTTAGTTTTATTTGGACCAGCACAGTACAATGCTTTACAAGTTTTAGTATTTCTGCCATTTGTAGTCAAGACACATCAGAACTTGAAATGGCTTTGCTTTGGATGGCACCTATTCTTCATTCATTTACTGGAATTGACTAACACCAAAAGTTATTCATTGCTGTAAATTTTGCATGGCGAATGTAAAATCAATTTGTTTTTACTCCATGCAAAATACATAGAAAGAAAAAAGTAAATGCTGAAATTTGGACCAAATTCCTTGTTCCCCGTTTGCCATGGGAGCACATCTTCACTTTTAAATGCAAAGTTTATCTCAGTCAGGAAGATACTCTTTTAACCCTGCAATACATGATACTAGTACCCACCCAAAAAGCCTACTTGGATTCCATTCGTAACGCTGGATTTCGACAATATTAAAAGCCCTGGCTATACTATGTACTGCAGACTAGATCCAGACTCCCGTTGTGGGCCGTACATAGGCGGGTATGTGGGCGCCAGAGATGCGGAACTTCCCATCTGTATGACTTCGTACTGTCAGCAATCAACCAAGAGGCACTGCCCAGACACAGGCAAATGGTCGGTGCAGAAACAAGTCTTGCCTTTTTTTTCTTCTCAATGTCATTCTTTTTCATCATCATTCATATTGCTTAACCACTCATGCACCACATCACCATTATCTCACCTACATGCACTGTTACTCATAAAACGTGTATGATGTAATGCAAACATGTCCACTATTTTTTTCAAGAACATTATCATTACATGCATCTCGGTAGATACCCTATTGAGGTGGCAACAGAAACCATACCTGCTGTTGTGCAAAGCTCACGACACAAATCCATGACATTACATCACCGCAAAATTCATTCATAGAGGAAGAAAATGCTACTTCCAAAATAACGTACAATACATATTGAAAAGGCAGAACCGGTTGCTTTGGAAAGTGCCACAGAAGAACTAACGGACAAAGGTCTTAACACCAGGAATATATTAGTTTTCTAAAACCACGGCTCTCTCTTTCACAGTGTCCAACTGCTAAAACACCCTGCAAACAGATGTTTGGGAACCGCCGCATCAAGAAGTGCGACTGCCCGCCTGGCTTCTTCTGCGACATGACAACATATGGAAACACACCGTGTCAGAAGCTGTGAAGGTGAGTTGGATCCGCCATTTGTTTCTAAGACCTGAAGTCTTACAATACATAAAAGATCTTATAATTATACCCCATACGGTATACATATTTCATGCTTTTGTGTTTTTGTTTTGCGAATTTCTCGTTGGTACAGTGACTTTGCGTTCGCCACATCCCACACGTAAGGCAATCGACATGCATATAGCAAGAAATGGAAGACAGGAAATGAGATGACCTTTGCTGAGACCTTTGGTCCAACTTCCTGGCATTGACACCGACATGCCTAGCATGTAGAAATAACTACCGAAATAAGATTTAAAAAAACACGGAGGTAAAAATCTAGAAATCAAATAAAGGCAACATAGGAATTGCTATTTGTGACACGTTGTAGGCTTTTATGATGATCTGAATTTTTTCCCTCTTACATTTGCAGCAGCTGCCATATCGCAGAGCGTCATGACAATGGAGTATATTATTGCTGCGATTGTCCAGCGGTGATGCGATGGAAGATACTCTAGATGATATATATGTGTATTCCGCTAGATGATTGTATCTCAGTTCTTTGCCTGAGTTCATATTCCGTCGCTCGCATGTAAAAATGTTGTGTTCAAAAATTTGTTCCTGATTTCTGCTTGCAAAATTAAAGGTTTAAACTAAACGTTTGAAGACTGATTCTTTTTAATGTAGAACATAGAATGCCACAGAGCATTACCTTGAAAGTTTGTTTTAAAAGGTCTAAGTGACATAGCTATCCAACGCCGTAGGCCCTCAATAGTGAAGTTAACTCAACCGCTATAAAATATATGAAGAAAGAAAATGAATGATGGAGATGGAAACATCGAACTGAAAAAAAACAATTCACTACCAAACAGATCCACTAAAGCATCTGCCATGTATAACTGACTGAAATCCATCTGGGCTCATCATGAGTAACTCCCTTCGTCCCAAGAGTACATAAAAAGTTTCACACTACGATGCCCGTCGATGGTTGTTGACACAATGGATCGCACAGTGAACTCATTGCTTCACCTGGTCATTTATATCTGCCAGATCTCGCTTTGTTTGATGTGGGTATAATGTGAGAACGCGTGGGATGCCCTTGAACTTAGTGACCTTGGAAAAAGATCAACGTTCAGGCTTACCCCACAGTCAATTATCTGACCTTGTATGTAGTAAAGTACTGCGCTTCGCTAAACATGTTGAAGGCCATACAGCAGTACATTCATTGCCTACGATGCCCCTTGTGGTATTGGCCTATCTCAAAAGCAGGCCTAGGCTGACATGCATATTCAAACCGAAACGTGACTAAAACTACTCTTTGAGTAGACAATTGAATAATACTTCTGGCGAATGATAATTGTATGAATACTCAATTATCAATTCATGCTCGAGTGAGGATATCTGGATGCATTTGGAGAAAGCAATATAAGAGCGCACAGAACAATAAAGTTCCTACCTCAGCCTAAATGTGAACTAAGGGTATAGACAGAGACATAACCAGTTCGGAAATTGAACACGTATCGTCAGGGATTAGATAAGAGTGGAAGCAAGAGTGAGGAGACTTAGGTATACAGACTCGGGTAAGTCACCTCCGATAGTTCTTACTATATCGTGATTAGGCCAGTCAATTGATATTTTGAGGTAGCCTCTACCAGGCTCCGCGGACCGTGGGTCGCAAATTGGAGCCTCTATGGCCGGCTGGATCTTCTTCTCTTCTTCCCTTTATTTCGGCCAATTTCTACTATTTTTTCAGCGATCCGCGGAGCCTGGTAGAGGCTAATTTTGAGGCCGCTTTGGCTCTCAGAGCGCCCAAGTCAGATGCCTCAGTCTTCACCCTATTAACCAATGGCGACGCCGGTAGACAATGATTGACAGCTTTGTAGTGGCTTGAATTTTCGCGCCAAATGGTATCAGGTTACAGCTATATTTGGCAACTCAGGTGGGCAACAATTGGCTTGTAGTTAGTTTCTGATTGGTTGACTGAATTTTTCGCTCTAAATGGTGACGGTCCTGTCGCAGTTTATTGTTACTGACTGTAAACTACACATTACAACAGTCGTCTGGTGAAAGTGCAATGAAAACAGCAAACTGGTACTTTTTGAGCAGCTTTGTCTCTCATAATTTCTACACTAGATGCTTCTGTACATTATTTACCCAACATGAAAACATGAGAGACATACACAATAACAAATGGCGCGAAATTCAGACTGATGGTGCCAAATTTTTCGCGCCAAATAGTATCGGGTTTCACCAGTGCACCCAGGGGTGGAGGGCTGACAGGGAGCTTTTGCTTGGATGATTGTTCTATGCTCAACGCACCAACTATTGGCTAGAAATGCTGAGTTAGTGTAACGAAATACTGCCAACTGATACTAGTGCTAGAATTTTGGTCAAGATTACATGTAACTGATTTATAGAGGACTACCATGGACTCAACAGCTATGTTGAATCAGGTAATGACTCCTAGGACACAAAAAGTAGATTTTTAAAAAAAATCAATAAATGTTTATATGGTTTGTGAAAATTAATTAAAAAAAAACTAGAAAAACTGCAAGTTTGTGGTTATTATTGTGACTCGTAAACGGGGAGAAAACCATCACTTTTAGAACATTTTCAGAAGTTTACGTACGTATTAGTTGGTTGTTTTGTTTTGTGGGGAAAGAAAGCAAGAGGGTAAATTAAGAGTATTTTTATCCGTCCCCGGTTGGCCATTAATAATATCAACCAGGTTGATTGGCAACTATGGCTGTATGTACGTCGGCCAAACCAATGAGTGAACAATTAAATCATAAAGAGGGTAATATTTTTTAATTAATTCATATTTGTAGCTTTTCTAGTTATAATCCAGCCATCTAAGATTGAAAGGACCATATACTACAACGAGGTCAGAATAAGGACAAGGAACTTTTTTATTGTGAAATATCTGAGCATATGGAACTCAATTACTGAATTCAAGCACCGAATAATGCCAAATAGCCCTCGGTAGTTTCACTCGTAATTTAAAATATGAATTATAGACCGGAGAAGGCCAACTTGAATATAATCTAAAGAGCACCATGAGGCATCCTATAGGAAGTCAAAGAAACTCAATGTAATTTACGCATTCATTTTATTTAGAAACGTGTTGGATCCTGGAGTTACTTCTTACCAATACCAAAACATAAACATGAAAAAATAAATTCGTTGCTTTGACATGGTAGAATTGAAAAAAGCCAGGATTCATCAGTCATAACCAATGGTATAGACCCAGTATTCTATAATATTGATTTTAATAGTCAGGTTCCAGGTACCTTTGGCTTTGGCTCTAACCGTAGATTATTCAGAACTCGATGTCACCAGTCATCATTTTGCATTCTACCCGCAGACGTAAACGTATAATATATTTATAATTTCTCATCCTCGTAGATGAAAGAAACTCATTGTAGATCTAACTGCCACAAGTGAATAGTTTTCAATATACCTTGCGCAAGTTTGAACAGGGTTTCACTGTATGTATATGATTAATGACGAGGCTAGCGTTCTTGTCTGTTGAAAAATGATCGTTCAGTGTCTGCAATAAAATTATTTCTACACCACCTGTCCTACCATCTATGGACTAATTCCCTGGATTTAAAGACCGTGAAATTTTGCGTGGGCGGACGAAAGCCCAGGAAGAACAGCTGTTATATATGGAAGGAAAACTTGACCTTAGGCGATTCCAATTTCCTGAACGCCATAACATGTTGATGATCAACAACCCCTCAAGCTATCTAATCGTGGAGTCCAGAATGATGAAGCGCTTGTATGTAGCAGAATTCAGAACATCTGGGACCAGGATTTCCAAACACATAGAATGCAGATGGTCGAATGCAGTAGACTATCTGGTTCGTTCGCAAACCATGAGTGTTCAGGTCTGCGGACAATGAAACTCCACAGGCAAAATAATTTATCATTTTAGCCCGCAGAAAGTTTTGACGGAAACTAGAACTCGTCCATCGAACGAGTTAGAATCTAGACTAGTGTAGTACCGTCTGATATGACGAGACTGTTACATCACCGTAAGCACTGTGAAAGTCACAGCATAACATAAGCACTTATTTTTTTCCTGTTCGTTCCTTCGCCTTGTAGCCTGGTTTGAAACTTTTACCACGAATTAGTACGAACTGTTGCGAAGTACATAACAGAAATTACAAGTTTATAGTCATGATTCAGTATGATTTATGGCTTTTACTACACCCAAGTTTACTACATCGATTTATCATTCACGTGTATGCTTGGTCTTTAAACTGGTTTACTGGCACATAGTAAAGGTCGATAGGCTATTGTGTGATTAGTTCATAACAGCTATCGGTGACTCATGACAATAGAAGGGGTGGTAATATCGATAAATCAATGTAATGACACACTTGTCGTGATGAAAGACCTGGGGTTTATAATCCATACCGATCCCAGTAAAAAAGAGCACCAATGTATTTGCTCCATTTTGATCTCAACAGTTCCACGGCCTCATACCTTTGCAACATGATGTTAACCATTCTGTTAAAAATTACGACTGATGAACTCTGGGCACCCCAAAATTGATAAAAACAAAATGACAAAAAAGAGAGTCTGGTTCAGTAAGGTCAGAGGTCACTGTTTGGAGAAGAAGACGAAACGTAGCAAAAACAATATGTTTTCTTTCGGTAAACTTAAAAAAATGTGTGGGATATGATGCGGTGCTGACGTAAGCGCCAGACAGTTTTGTCAACACAATATTTGTCGATAGACGTCACATTCTGAACCACATCGATTGAGCACTGTCGTCGTTTGACGCCCTAATCGTCGCAGACCTCTAGGCGGTATATGGCGGTAATTACGAAAGGTCGATGGCCTTTCACCAATGGGAATAAAGTCCAATTAAATCTCATGCCACCACCGATATCAGCATGCCCTGGCGATGTCAATATAGCTGAATTCAGCCTGTCCTGGAGTGAATCACTTCATCATTTCCTGTCTACGGTCGTTAAAATCCAATAATAGGGCAAAGATCAGCCTTGAACAACGTCATTGATATCCAATTGAATAAAACAACCGCCATGTTGGCCATGTGTACTGTAGTGGTTGACTCGGTGAGTCGTACCGTACCTACGCAGAGCCTGGTACCTACGTATCCTAAATGAGCATTCTAGAATATTCTGGAATTCGAATGACTCACTTGATCAAGGTTAGAGAGGGGGGGGGGCTATTTTTTTTATTCTCGTACTAGATAAGGTCATGCCTATTAGCAGCATTGCAGAAGCCACTCTTTATATCAAGTTAGCATTTACAAGTCTGTTCTGCCATTTAGATTTGTCTAAACTGCTGTTGTGGCGAATATGGGCCATGCCCTGAGAGTACATCGCTGGAAGATTGCTTTTGTTTTGAAGGGCATATCTATATGAAGATCAAATTACTCATGCATGTGAGGAAGTCTACAGACATTGTGGTTGAAAGCCATCGCAAGCAAGACCCAGATGTCCCGGAAAGTAGCCACCTGCGGTGGTAAAGTGTACAAGTCAAGAGCACTGATCGACAGAACCGGAGCATGCCAAGGTAGCAACAAGAAATGAAATTATTGAATTTGGTGCCTATGATTCTTTTTTGTAACTCTTACTAATGGCTATAGAGAGAGCCAATGACAGAAACCGATATTCAATTTCCTACATAGCAAATTACTATAGTTGGTAAGTGGAAACACTATATGTGTTACATGCCATATTTATTCTTGACCTCCTTTTTTGAAAAAATAAAAACTATAGCCACCAAACCACGAGACCCATCGGTCCAAATATAATAAAACGTATCCCCTTTTATAAACATGGTTATTATTGAGATTTTTGTTCTGACGCTGTTCTGATAATACATACCTGAAAACAGATATTTTCTTTAAAAAGTGCACAGTGTGATTTGTAGAAAGTATTGCTTCGTGGACACAGTAACCGATGACAGTTAACGTTTCCATCTATAGTGGTGTTCAACAGGAAATTAAAAGGCACCGTCCAATGCGTCAACGCATAACTTGCCAGAGGGAAAATATAGGCTTCCGTATTGGATGGATATCTTTCAGGTGCGGGGTTACTTTATTATTAGGCCTGTGGCATAGTCTGAGAAATGATTTCTATATATCCCATACGGCCGTGCTTTATACGATATAGAAAGGACGTAGCATATAGAATGTGATAAGGTTTGGATTAGATACAAAGTTCTTGAAAACTATTGCAAACTGAAGTACGGAACTGCTGCAAAAAAATAAGGCCTGTATTAGTTATTTGTTGGTCTCTGATTAATATTGTAATGATGAGGGTCTCCATTTGATGACTATTTTGTTGTTGCCTAATCCAGTACTTTATTACAAAAGCATTACACATGATTATTACGATTGGCACAATTGCTTTTTCATAGAGGTCGGTGTGTTTCTACCTCAAACTGCTGATGAACAATGTTAGCATCTACATTATGCTTCTAGTGTCCGGGTAGTGCTGTTAAAAATCCCGGATATCAAGAAGAGTGTGAAACATCTGATTGTAAATCAGTGACCTAGTCATAATAAATGCAATTACCCAATCTAGAATTTACATTCAAATAAATCAACCCAAATCAATACGGTTTAACTGGATTATCATACAGCTCTTCATATGTACATATTTACTGCCAATTACAACAGGATTGTCTCTTAATCCTATGTAATATACGAGAAAGACGCCTACGCATAATCGACACTGACTGGGAGAACATGGTTGGTTGTATTTCATGGCATCACCAAATTCCCAAATGATTTAAAAGCATGGATGCACATCCATCTTCAAATGGGTTGCTTTTTTCACGCATAACTGCATGACGTCGAATCGACACTCAGCACCCATTCTCTCAATTGTGACATGCACATGCTTTTAATCAACCTCTTCCATCCATTTTATCTAGAATTATGCAAACTGTTTGCTGTGTTAAGTCGTGTTAAGATGTTTTAAAGATTTATATCATGCAGCTAGAATGTTGCCATTTTGTTTCAAAATTCTTTACACTGGCATTAACAAATGAACCTTAGTCTGCAAGTTGAATATCACCTAGTTCCCCCTTTGTCAATGAGGGCCATCGAATAGCTTTAGCTTTGGAGTAAATGTTCAACTCTGATGGCTCAATTACAACTATAAGTTGAGTTCAAAACAAGAAACAATATCACCAACTACTAGTAGGAACTGTTGAATCATTGCAGCCAAGCTCCAAGGGTCGTACTTTTTCATAAATCTGGCCAGAGCATGCCCTGGCCTTTGCACGAGCCATTGCCACATGATAGATTATCTTTTCACACCGTAGTCACCATCTACCGATATTTTACCACGTTCTTCACCCTTCTGCTCTTTTTCTACAGTTTCTATTCGCACTTCATCGCTGAGGGAAGCACTGGTCGTACATCAAATACCTCATCTCCATGAGCCGTATCTTTCCAGTAGACCTCACAATTCAATTTGATATCCCCTGTGTATACGTACATATCTGACCACCTCTAGGCAGATGATGCATCTCTGTCAGGAAGGTTCCCTGTCAAATTTCTCATCCAACGCAATATATATTTTTGGTTAACAGCCAAGTGATTTGGAATTCCTCAGGCAAACCTGTTTACGATGTTTATCAAGTTATTACTCGATGATAGTTCTCTAGTTGTCATTCTATCGTCATACTTTTTTTTGTTAGGATACAGATTTCTTTGAACACATCAGCTGCATCATTTTGTATGCGAAGATAATTTTCTGACCACGCCTGTCTAGTTTCCTCACAGTCGCCTCCACTTTGCTTCGTTTCAAGCTGAACGACCCAAAACTTCGCAGCCAATGAGCAAAGTCCTTTGAGACTTTCTCAACATCCCATGGAGAATATATCGTGAAAACCTTTTACCAGGAAAACCCCGCCTTCCGTTTCCTAGCTTGATGGTAATATGCTGCAGCCGTCTACGGAGTTAATCCTCTAGCGTCACCTACTGACAACTTTATCGCCTGGGGCGCTCATTTCTCATCTATTACATTATTGATCCTGGTATAAATCCCGCCTCCAACAGTGGTGAGTCCACAGAGTGGTACAGGCAGTACGCAGATTGCTTGACAGCTAGAGAGGAAGGCACGCGTTTATATAGCTGGTTATATCACTGCAAAGACAATGGCGCTGAAGGCATTTCAAGTAGTAACTTTTGCTACGACGCTTGTGGTGGTTCTTTCGGTGATGTCTTCCGTTTGGGCAGAGGAGGAGGAGAACTTCTTACCCGTTGAGGAAAGAAGCGAAGAGGAAGATGAGGTAATCTGTGTGCTTGTCTCCTTTGAGTAGTTTTATCTGTGTGATTTGCTAGCATTGCTGCTCATCAAGCAGCTGTAGTTATCCTGCTTTCTTCAACCACTTTAATTTTCGAAGTGTCATAGTACCACCACTATTGGTGTCGAGGTTACTACATGTGTATAATTATATAATTGACTGGAATTCTTGAACTTCCAAACGATGACTCAGGCAGTGCAGTGAAGAAGTTTTCTATAGGCTCACCACTTACTTTTCGGGGCTGATCTTAGTAGTGAAGGACAAAAGCGGATGTCGTAGATGCTTGCGTTTTAGAATACTTCTTTCGCGTCTTGGCTGCATTTGCTAAAAGACTAATAAAAACTTAGGACTTTTTTTTAATATTGCATGCCTGTTTGGCCCCTCGCTTGATTCGTAAAAATGTGACCGTTATGAATGGTCTAAACAAAGACTCGTGACTGTAATATGTCGCTAACTAAGATAGAATATCTCGTCTTCCGGCCGCGTTGATACTCTTGAGACTTGATAGCTTTGGGACATGACCAAACTTAATTCTCTCCAATTTATGCAGGCTGAATGGCTTTGTGTAGTTGATGGTATCGCGTTGGGCATTCGAACGTCACAACTTCAGTAATTGTACGGATAATTGTAAAGAGAAAAGTTGTGAGTAAATCTGACTGTATCGCCAAAAAGTAATTACATGATCAAGTCGTTGTTTGATAATCTCGTACATCCATAAAGTCTCTATTTATTGATACTATCAAAACATAAATAATATAAGCTTACTGGCATTTACGAAAAGGAGATTCCATGTAAGATAGTGTAAGGAAATGATTCATTTCTCAGGTCTAGGTGTAAAAAAAAAAGCTACGTCAAGGCCTATGATTTATAGCACCCTCCATGAGCAAGAAACATGTTTTGCACAGCAAGCATCGATATATACGGGCCACTAAAGCCGTTTTTACCTAACATAATCCCGTTCCATATCTTTGCTTCATTACGGGAAATGGCTCTAGAGTACGAACAGAAATTGTTTCCTCGATATAACATCTTTACACTTTGCCCTTGGCTTCGGAAAATCAATTACCCGGAAAATGAAAGGTTTCCCGAAATCGTGTGTAGTGTCGCTTTGGGTCGGTTGTTTCTTTAACTCTGAGACCGTAGTCGTGCATTACATGAACACATAGCGTCAAGGTTTGAGAGATTCCCCGGAAATTTAAAAAAAAATGAATTCAAACCAGATAGTTTTTCAATACGAATCAAGCAAGCATGAACAGTTTACTATCAAAGCTGTCGAAGGTAATGCCGGAAAAATATATTGGACTCGCCAAATGTCACGTTTTCATTCCACATAGATCGCAGGGTGCATTTTGGCGTGGGTTCCACTTCGATTGCTTCGAGCAGGATGTAATAAAACCTCGTCGTTAACAGATCTTACGCAACTCGTCGAATCACGGCCATGAAATTGCACCATTTTTTGTCCATACGTGAGTGAAGAAGTAAAAAGGAAAGCTGTGGAGGTGTGCTGCTGCGTGGGTCTGTGGGTGGCAACCGCATTCAAATCATACCCTGTGATTGTTTTCGGAAAAAGCTATTTAGAGTGATAGTAGGTACAATGAAACGGTAGCAGACTAATTCTTTGTAGTCACCAGATGACTTCCTTGAATAATTTGTAGACTGCATGCTGTGCGAATGATGGCTCTATTAGAGCTGTTATCTAAAAATAATTGGCCATAATCTACCGTGTCATCAGATCGTCGCCAGGCTTATTAACGTTAATCCCTTTTGCTGCCTTCTCATTATCATCCAAATCATCCCAATCTTGCCTCGTGTGACTGTCTGTGTGCTAGATAATAAGAATAGGTGTGGTATACCGGTAACATTGTACAATGGTACGAGTTAAGGTACCTCAAAACTAGTTTTGTACAGGGAAATCTTTTGGAGTACGTCATGTAAAATTACAAATCTACACCTTTTTGTGTACGCTATCATTTTCAAATGTTTTCAAAGTACACAAAACACAACTGCATGACGCTGCCACACAGTAAAACATGTCTTCTTTTATTGTCTTGTTTACCCCAAATCCAAAGATGACAGCTTTATATTTAAAGCAGAGGCTGGTCACTTCACAAACCAAGTAACCACCACACCACCCACTGTGCCAGTGATATATATTGATCGGAACATAAGATTATAATGAAGACGAATGAAAACACCATGGGTCTGACTTGATGACAATTTGTTACCACGTTGTACCAATACACGGTGTAATTACTATGTTTACTTAACAAAGGGATATCGATCAAGGTGGGGCAGAGATGAAACAACAAATGGTGTTCATAAAAAGGATTTGCATGAAAATTGCTGTTTAAAGTGTAATATGGCAAGTAGCAAGTTTTCGTCAAATTCAGAAAGTTTTGCTGCTTCTGCATCTGTAAAGCTGGCATGACTGCCCTTTGGTGTAACACACCATCTAACACTTCTAACATTCCTGTTGACGTCATATGTATACTTATATTTCAAGCAGCGTCATTTGATGTCTTTATTGACGTCAATGCATAAATTTTAAAAGCACTTCCCGATGTAAATCAATACAGGATACAAATCAGAAGAGTGACGTCAGAAATGAATAAACCATGCGGTGTGTAGTGAAATTATTTCTCAAAACCCTTGAAAACGACACATGTCTTAATGTAGTACAGCTCATTGCTTCTTTTATTGGAGCGTAAAGTAAAACCAATGGGACCATGCACTTTCTGCTCCAATGGTTAACCGCATTTATGTCCACAGTAAAGGAATCGTACACCCCAGCAGTCACTGCACATTCACATTTAGCAAAGCCCCCAATAGTGTCATCTAATCTTATTCGGGTCAGTGGTTGATTCTTTTGCAAGGAACTACATCGACAGATGTGTTACGCAGATGCATTTGGCATATACTGTCATCTTTGTTGCCATCGACGACTATTAAACTTCTGGCTATACAATCGCCATTCCCATGGTCATGATCACAGAACGAATCGCCGCTTTATGGGAGACTAGGCGTCTTGTCTGCCTGCATGTGTGTGTGAAGCGATTTCTAAAACCCCGTCTCGCACAAGATAGAACTGATCAAATCATTGGACAAGAAGGGCCATTTCTTTATCACCTAGTACGTACCGCACATACAAGTTTTGTGCATCTACTAGACGACCTCGTGATGTTTGGATCATAGTCTCATTGTTAAAAAGATTAAGTCGGAAACTATAAAATTCTATAACTCATGTCTAGAATATTTAGCCTCAAAATATAGATTATACTAAAATTTTTACAGACACTGTTCGAACTTTCAGCAGATGTAAACCGATTGTTTTGACCTAAAAGTGCAGTCTTCAAGCTATTGCCCGATGACGACCTGATAGTGCACTCACCTGTGAAACATTTGATTGTAGCAATATTCTGTATTGAAAAACTTTTGGGGGTTTTGTCTCAGTAACAATAGCCATTGGCATTTGCATTATTTTTCCCTTGATACATCTTTTCTTCCAGTCAGGTAGTCATGGGGTTGCTTCTGTAAATGTTTTAAGAAACTGTAATGTATTGTGCAACCATGCAGTACTAGACTATCAGCTTTGAGGCAAGTGTTTGTTATGTACACAAAGTAAGTACTGTGAATCCATATTTCTGACGTAAATGTTGTTCGCAAATCAATACCCTAATCGTTGAAATTACCCTTAAATTATGCATAAAAAACCAAGACATTCTATAAACAATAGAAAACAACAACTCTGTAGCCGTCAGTACTGGTTGATGGATTGCCACATTTCCTACGATTCTCGTTAGACAGGGAACCCAGCTATATAGAAACGATACTAAAAGATTTAAAACCAAATAAGAGCAGGGTGTAACAGCAACAGTGACTGAGCAAAGTACTTACGGCAACATTTATAAAACATTGATCAAGGACATCTATTTCTCATCCACTGATCCATATTATGATAGAATAGCTGAAGCAGCAGGGACGTATGCGTTCATGTACCTCTTCAGTTTGTCCACTCCAAGTAGTGCAGCATTCACCACCCGGGACGTTTATAGGCAAATGTAACCTCTAGCCAGTACCAATTTCGCGTAGTTTATTGGACCTAGCTCCACACAATCAATAGCGCATACTTCAAAGGCGTTTAGAATGCTGCTGATTGCATTTTAGAGCCATCATGTTACCGATTTAGCAATCCCTTCACACCGCCTTTCAATAACATGCGCTTTTCTTTAATTTCAGCTACACAACAAGACACCGTGACAACCATACTGATTCTTAGAGTGTTCAAGAAAAAAAATATATACGTTGAAAATAAAAAGAAGCAAACCGTACAACTAACTAGAGGGCATAGATAAATTACTTGGATCTTAAAGAAACATACAACTGGTTGAAAACCAGTTCACATCGCACCATAATGCACTGGGATGAATTGCCTTAAATGTATCGACAGGCACAAGCAGAATATTGCACAGCCAAATGCAGTGCAAACATGGCAAACTCTCACTCTGAACGTTTCATCAATAACATTAAACTCATGTCATAAACTGCAAATTATTATGTAGGGATAACAAGCTGTCCTGGATATGTGTCCAGCATAGCTGTCCAAGATATGAATCAAACAGTTTACGAGGATTTACTTCTACTAGAATTTGGACATTATGAAGTTACGAACCAAACGCTATAGAACGAGTGCTATACCGTTTACTGAACACATAATTGTTTTTAATATCACCAATTGCCTTATAACTTGTATTTTCTATCTGCTTTTGAATTATTTCAATTTTACAATGAATGATTATGTTAATCGTAATATTTTCCCTTGTAATTTTTGGCTTGTGTAAAAATATTTTTAATGTTGGCAGTCAATTTCTGTAATATCGCTTCATCAATTCAGCCTTCGGGCTGCAACTGTTGTGATATAGTTGATGTCATAATAAAACATTCTATACTTTAAAAATGTCCACAATTTATCACCATATTCCTGTCAAAACACCAGGGTGAATAATTTTTCACTCTTGATAGGATTGCCAACCTCAAATAGTCCACGGCAAAACCGTTATTGTCTACTCCAGAACGTGCGGAAGAATGGGTGAGTCAGAGGTCTAGGTGCTATCGCTGGGGTATTGAGCTGTGGCTGCTCGATCTGCCAGTGATGAAGTACCCGTGATAGTGAAGAAGAGAGAATGGGCACTGATTTGATGGGTAATCTATCTCACGATCGCGACCTCTGTAGCACAAGTGCAATATCAATGCGATGAATCAAAGACCTCGAAGCAACGAGGAATCAATCTTTTCCTTTTTTCTCTCGATTGGTGCTTGAAGCGAAATATCTATGAGACGATTGCGAAGATATTAGAGGTACGGAGTTCATCATGAATAATTCAAATCTAATACATCCCGTCTTCACCCTACCTCAATAAGATACCTCCATGACAGTTTATCGACAATACAATGTACTGTATGCTGACTACTAGTATATCTAATGCTTACGATAACAACGCCGATACTTATGCATATATCTGATCAATATCGCCATAGAGTTAGAAAAACACAAAACATGTTTCACATTTTTACAATATCTGAGCGTAACTATTTGATATGTTGTGTTTTTTTAATTGTAACTCCATACGAATATTCACTTAACTAGACGTTTTGTTTGTTTTATTTACCAGTGGAATTCTGATAAATGGAAGAGCAAAATAAGATCCCTAATGTGGAGATAAATGACCAATATGTTCTCCTCTCTTTTTGTGTAAACAACATGGCCTCCAATTTAGGTCAGGCATCGATTTCAGAGGTTGCTAGATAGAGCAAGATGAGAACACCCTACAATTCATCAGATACTAATTGGTCCAACTCGTATTTCCCAGGGAAATGTCCCTTTATGCGTCACTGTTCTATATTGACGTCATATCTGGAAGCTATTTTGTGACCTACACGAAGACCAGTAATTTAATCACTAATTTTTCCAATATCTTAATGCACTACTTTCCAGCGATTACTCAGTTTAGAATGTCTGTTTAGTTATTTTTGTTCTTATCCCCAATGATTTCAAAAATTCTCCAAGCCCCCATGCTCTTCATGGCGGATTTAAATCGCCATAGGAAACTACGTATTGTGTGCAGAAATATACCACTATGATTGAAGTACTGCCATTACCATTGTGAAAACTGGTTTCTTCTTGTTATGACTGGTTCCATCCAAAACTGGTTATTGTGCTTGTCCGCAATGTCCCCATGAAAGTTCTCCAGATCAAAGCCCCCTTGCCATTCATTGCGGTTTAAATCACCATGTGTGCAAAATGATTATTACTATGATTGAGGTACAGCCGTCATCATTTTGGAAATATCTAAAACTGGTGTCTTATTGTTGTGACTGACACCTCAGGCAACCCTGGAGGAACTGCTAGCAGATATCCTGCAGAGACTACGTGTGAATGAAGAGAAGCGTGGACTCGGCAAGTTTGGAAGAAGGCCTCTTCGCCAGGTGACTGACTATGCATTACCCTGGGTGCCAGTCTGTTTCCTGGGCCTACACAGGCCAGTTTGGCGGCTTCAGGGCCAGCATGCCCCAAATGAAATTATACCACAGCCCCCGTCAGTTAATTCCAGGCCTAGCGTAACTAATGTTGTTTAGCAATACACGCCAGTACAGTGTGTGGTGTAATATAATAACACTCAATCTCGAGGTTTGTGTAATTGCCTTCTCATCATTATTGTTAGCTATTTTGCTGTTTTCTACCCAATACGTGAGGGAATCATACAAGTTATTGACATTCTGCTATAGCATGCTTTCCTGCAAACAAATCAGCTCCAACAAATCTAGAAGTCTATTCAAAAAACAATGAAAGTTACAGTAATAAGAAAGTAGTTACGTCTTCTCAAACTGGATAGATTTTTAATCAGCAGGCGTTTCGGGTGTTCATCAGTTCTAATACTAGTCGGATGAACACCCGAAACGTCTGCTGATTAAAAATCTATCCAGTTTAAGAAGACTTAACTACTTTCTTATTGCTACTACGTTTCCTGGACGAGTTATCTTCACCAACGTAATGAAAGTTACAATTCGAACATGTTTTTATCGACAGTGTAAGGGCAACAGCATGTGCAAGATTTTCTACGGCTCCAGACCCAAGACCATTTGCTCCTGCCCCAAGGACACTGAGTGTATGGCGCCCCCTAACAGCCGGTTCAAGTACCGCTGTATGTAAATGACCAGGTCGGTATCTATGCCTTTATCATCAGCATCATAAACCTTTTAACCGAGGATGGCCATTGGGGCACGGAACATACTACCCCCTTTATTTAATCTGTCAAAACTACATGGGCCTAATGTTATTAGAAAGTAATACAACAGCAAATATTAATTAATGATACAGGATTATTAAAAACTGCGAGCATTCTCGTCATACTTCCCACAACTTGCATGTCATGTCTTTGTTAATCCACAGAATAGTCAACTGACCAGACAAAGGCGAAGATCGGATTTTCTGGACTTCACCATGAAGGAGACCTACACGTCAATCTATGTAGTGTGCCGTTACATCTAGAATACATGGATACTCTATTTATACAGCGCGATTAGATCTCATATTGCAAATACCTATTGTCCGGGACGTCCTTTATTGTATATTTGATTGATGTGACATTACTGTGTAATGTGTTGGATGTGAAGGGGCGAACAATGTTAAAAAAAGAACACAAAAAGACGCGGTTTCTGTTGTAATTACAAGTGGCTGCTTTCCTGGGCAGTTGTGGAAGTATTACTTAAAACAAGGGTCCAACGATGTAATGTGAGGCCGTGACGTGAGAAAGACAGTATCTTCATCAGAAAGATATACGTAGTTCCTGGCAAACAGTATATTTCATTATTCCTCTTGCTCTCAAACAGCATACGTCATGTGGTTTAGTAGAGTTTGGAGGAATGTCGAGATGTATGTGCCGTTATATTGTGGATAGTCAGATAATCTCGTGTCGAAGTGTTATATATACAATACCTGTACGACTATGACCAAAATGGGAAAAAAATTCTGTCATTTTGTCATTTTCTGTCAATTTTTTTTTTGTCCGGAATGGACAAGGAAACAATAAAGCATTCCCTCGTAGAAATTGCGACACGATGAGTCTTATATAGTTATATGAATATGGTATTGAATGCAGGCATTTAGGGTTTGAAGATGAAGCAGTAGAGTGGTGAAAACGTTATTTTTCAAGTAGCTTTACAAGAACAAGCTGACGTCAAATGATACGGTGACTTATGCAGTCAGCATGCGGGTTGGGGAAGGGGGACAAAGTCACCGCACGACCCGTGTTTTCTCCACGCCGGGGTATTGCCCGCGGCCCGCCCGCTCCTCCCGGACTCGCTAGCTGTCTTCCGCCTCACACAAACTACAAGGGCGGCCGAGCACGAGGTACAAATGTAGTAAAGAAAGACGACCATTCTCAAGATAGGCTCGTACATTCTTCTAACGTCAGACATTGCTCTAACAGCGCTGCATGCGAGCAATTTTACCTGGCAGCGGCATGTCTAGACTTTTGTCGACAGCTGCACCGCCGTCCCCACCACAGACGGCCGCCGTGCAGGTGTGCATTCTTCTGGAGTCAAGTTACAACGTGTTAGGAGACAAAGAAAAAATGGCGGGAAACAGGAATGATTGACAACACGTTGCTCGTCTTTGAATGGCCGAGCATTTGGTTGCGTCACATACCACGAATGGCGCCAAATGGCCCTGTCACGGCTTAGTGTAAACAACAATTGGCAATATTGTCTGTTTAAACTGCACTAAACACAGCAGAATGGTGCTCTTAGAGCAGCTTCCATGTGTACGTAAATTATCTATGTCACGTTCTTACATAAAAATGACAGACGGGGACAGAATGACAGAAGTATTCTAGAACATACCGCCAGTAGTCGGTATTTTCTGATGACTGAATCCTCCAAGTCGAACGCCACCATGAAATGGCGGGAAAATGACTGACAGGACGATTCGCTCTTTGATTGGATGAGAGCTCGGTGCTCTAAATAACGGAGCGAAATGCTGATTCTATGTTATGACATACCTGCAGCTGGTAAGCAATGGTTGACAGTTTTTTTATCAAGCTTCTGACGAATAAAATACAACAGCCTGAATTGTTGAAACGATATTTATTAGAATACACCCAAAGAGGTATTGGTGACATCTGTACACCATTCTATGCGCGTTATGCTGCATTACAATGGATTTGCTTTGACTGAATTAGGCTAATTCATAACATGTTAATACATCTAAACATCAAACGTTCGAAGTGTACCACTTCTTATTTTTGTACTGCAATTTTTTGTACTATCGTTGTGCCAATAGGTCTTGGAATTGCAAGGCTATCCAGCGAAATGTCTATAATCAGCATTAAAAGTAGCTAATACGTCGCTGTCATCAACTGCTACACTTGTAAAAGCATCCAAAGACACATTTAGACATTATAGTAAACGTCGTTTTCAACAATTTTGCAGACAAGCAGTTATTATGCAGTCACGGATGTGAGTAGTTCATCAGCAAAGTCTATTTTCACTCAAAAAATTAAAAATACACAGATTTTTAACGTCGTTTACGGCCTTAACAAAGTTAAGAAATAAATGTGATTTAAACAGTACTTAATCATATGTAGCATATATTCTGTTGTCTTCCTAGACTAATATGTCTCTAGTACAATCTTTTCACAATTCATGTAAATAGTGACGATTTATTTCCTCGCCACACTAGCCTGGTTTAGTTAGCAGGCTGATATTGTTGAACAACAATGCATTAGTTTACTACGAGCACCAAAAATGAATTCGTAAGAAACTATAGCACCAATTGTGTAGTGAACTCTGAATATGGATCTAAGAAATACGTATTAAGTGGTCTGACATGTAGAAACCCGCAAAAAAGTTTCCAAATATAACTTACAACACTTCAATATACAGGTCTTATCGCCATAATTTCTACAGATACAGTTGTCAGATCTAGTATTATCAAAAGGGAGTCGACTGGTACTGGTTAAACCAAATTAGCTATAACATCGCGGTACAAAAAGATGTATACTTATTTACTATCCTATTACATTCAATATACTTTAGATATGGGGTAGTTTGTAGCATATACTCATCCATGAGATACATTACACATCTGTAGCCATGCAGACACGGCATTTACTAAGGAGGTCTCTCATGGTAAAGATGGTTCCAGATTTAGATTCAGGACGCTGGAACTGAGCTACCTCGTCCTCAGGTACATCCGTTAGCCAAAAGCTTAACGAGTTGCCGATGATGTCACACGTTCCCAGGGAGCCCTGGCACTCAATGAACGGCACAGGGCGGAAGTACTGAAGACAACTTCCGGGACTGGTCAACTCCTGGCCGCCGCCTTCTCCAGCGGCTGTGTGCTGATGTTGAAATAAAGAAACGTATTGAATACGAGGTCTCTATATCTCAAGACAGCGCTTTTTGGAATTGTCAGCAGACAACTCTAAAAAGCCTAAAAGGCCTTTACGATAGGGTGAGGTACACTGGTCTACTTGTTATTTTCTAATCACTCTGGGATCAAACTCTATCCTTTTGGATCTTATATTAATGCTTAAACAGTCACACGCTAAGTCAGCCGTTCTAAAAGGGCACACAAAGTTATGCAATGAAAAAAAAAAACAATAGAGGTATCACTAGATAACAGAGATTATGTAACTGTTGTGATAATGAATATTTCTGTTGCGTTGTGTTAGTGATGGTGTTATCAGGTCACCACCTCATTCGAAGCATTTTATAAGCGGGCGAAGCACGATGTGAACTTTTAAGAGGTGCCTGTCTTCCTTGTACAGCTGTTTGCTTCATAATGATATGTAATGTTATTGAATCCAAGTCAGAAGTACAGGCAAATCATTAAAAAAGTGTTAATTGTGAAACTGGTATTCTCGTGTTAATGCAAACAACTTTGGAAATGCGACGTCATAGAGTAAAAGCTCTTAAATGTTTGATCCAACTCAACAAAAGAAAAACTATACCTTCATTTTCTTTGATTTGGATCAAAATTTTAAGAATTTTACAGTATGTTTGCCGTTGCTTTAACGCACCATTAGAAAGCTGTATCCCGTCCAAAGGCTGATATAACCGTCAGGGCAGTCGGGAATAACACCAGCGTCCAAGCTGTGCATTGCTAAAACGACCTCTGGGGTCTGGCACACAGAGCATCTGCTCACAAACTTCTTAATTTCCAGCCCTGATGTAGAGGGTTGGAAACAAATGCAAGTGTGCGTTACAGCCAGGAAAGAAGAGAATGTGGAGATGAGTAAACGTCCTTCAGATACATTTGTGCCATTGCCTAGATGCTCGCAATTTTGTCTACCGTTTTTTATCTGTACCGCCCAATTTGTCGTGTGGGTTCAGTTTGCCTTCAGATTGCATTGAAGAAGATCATTAGAAAGTCACAAAAACTGAAAAATGCATGAATTAATCATTTTCAGGGCAATCATGAAGGATTGAGAAAAAATAAATCTAAACCGCGTCCTTAGTAACTCTTCACGGCAATTGTAATAATAAGTACTTGATAAACTGCATTTCCACTGAGACATGGAGAGAATGGCACTCTGGTATCTCAAGTCAGGAAGCCCATCTCTCAGAATGCATCCTGAGGGAGAAACTTTACCATGAGGAAGCTGTAGCCGGTCCAGAGGCTGATGTATCCCGGTGGACAGTCAGGGTAAAAATTAGCGTCCAGGCTGTGCAGGGCCAACACCACTTCAGGCGTCTGACAAACGGCGCACCTGCTTACAAATTTCTTAATCTCCAGACCTATGTAAAGTGCACGGTGCCAAGTAAACATTTCCTTGGTTACTACATGCATGTACACACGAATATTACAGGAGGTACATCTTTATTACCACCAGCTTAAAGTGATGTAATTTTGTGTGCAGTGCGAGAATATTATAGATTAAAATCAAACATATAGACCATAGCTAATCAGTATTCAAAATCAAAGCGGTATAATTTTGTTTCGGATTGTTTTAGACGCATCAAAAATTTAAGTCTGGTCAGTGGATGTCAGCAATATTTTGGAATAGTTGTAAAATATGATGGAATATTTAAAGATGGAAAACATTCTACTTCGTTTTATCAGTTTAAAACAACACCGCAAGATGCAATTGTTTTTCCATAACTGCTTACCCCTGACAGGAATAAGTGGTTTCTCAGCGCTTGTCTCCACGGTAGACAGCCAGTAGGTCTTGTCGTCCCTGCTAGCGTAGTTACAGGTGTCGTCTGGCTCACAGGACATGAAGGGTATAGTACTGAACCTGGGCAGACAGGAACCGGCACGTCCTGTACGGGGATAACATGGAATAATTATAAGCTTACCACAGAAAAACAAAGCACTGCAAAAAGGAAATAAAACTAGAAAAGTAACATTTGCAAAGCAAATGCATAATGTTTACCTTCGGATATGGTCTGCTTTATTAATTCTTACTCAAACACATTCACATACATCTATATGGTGACAGGAGTCTAAATGCCTACTGTGAGATTGCAACATTATGTAACCCAACACCAGTTACCATGGTGACAGACGTCAACAAAAGAGGCCATTGGCCAGGTCAGAGGTTAGTGTTTGGAACAGAAGAAGAAATGGAGGAAAAACAATATGTTTTCCTTCGGTAAACATAATTACTTGTCCATGAAGTTTAGGCATCCAGGTAATGAGATGCACAAAGAATTGTTACTCGAGCAACCGGATAGATTTTGAAAGTGGACAGATTTTCAAAATCTAGTCAGTTGCTTGAGTAACAATTTATTGTGAATAAGGTGGCTCAGATTCTTTATTTGTTATGTACCATATTGTTGGCCTAATAAAGTGCATTAAAACAGCAGTTTGGCGTTTTTGTTGACTTGTCAATTCGTGACATGCAAACTAAAACTATGCAAACTAAAAGTATGTAACATTAGGTAACGGACCGCGGCTGCTAAGCCCGCACGTTCGAGGGCTTACCAAGAATAGTTCAGGTGTGAAAAGGATGTGTGAAGGGGACAGGTCGTAAAGATTTATGTACCTCTACTGCAAAGTCTGCAATAATTACTTTGAATGAAGGAATTTATTTGATACATGAATACAATTTGACAGCCTTTCTAGATATGACTGTATCCACACATCATTGTACATATGTTCTGAATATGTTCTAAATTAGACAACTCTTATTTAGGAGCACATCTTTGCTTACCTAAATCCTGTTTGTGTGCTCTCTCGTTGCCTTCTACGTGGAGCAGACTGAAGCCTGACCATAGCCGTCTCATGCCGGGTGGACAGTTGGGTACTGTGGTGTTCTGGCTATGTCGAGCCAACAGTCCCAGGCTGACACCAGGGGGGCCCTGGCGACCAGGGGATCCGGGGATACCTAGCAAAGACATGTAGATAGATTGCGCAAATGACTTAGAACAGAATCAATAGAAGAATGAAGGACTAAAAGAAACTTACGGTGCCAGCATTACAACTCATGGACAATTGATGTCATTTACTTTAGGCTTCCTCTTGCTTTTGACGTGATTAAATGTGTTTTTTATTGAGCTTTCTTTTCTGTGCTGGTACTTTTTTTTATTCGCCACCCAAGCACTGGGTAGTTAATTGCAATTAACTATATCGTAGGTCATGTGGATCCCTATCAAAATCTTATTTTCTGTTTCTTAGACGAAAAAGGCATACCCGAGTCACCACGTGGTCCGCGGAATCCAGGAACTCCACGTTCGCCCTTCTGACCGAGGCCTGGTGGACCTATAAATTAGGCAAAAAAAGATAACATACTAGTATGTCCCTGGAAGTGTGGTAACGTCTCTGGAGTTTAATTTTCTGGAAAGTATCTATTGTGTTGCATTGCATGAAAAACAATGACCTACGGTCACAATATCTGATGTTATTGCGCCATTATTGATAACATCCCATCATCCTTATCCTATATCACAGAACTTAGAAGAAGCAAATCACCCACTGTTTACCTAGGCAGTCAAGGAAGCACACTCAACACTATATACATGTACTAACCTTGTGGTCCCATCAGACCGTCGAGTCCTCTCTCTCCCTTTATACCAAGTCCAGATGGCCCGAGCGGACCTGGAATGATTGTCAAAGCCAACCGTTATGTTAAGAGACTTTTTTTTAAATAACCATGTGTCTACCCTGTGAAGTCACAGGGTCCGCCACCGTTAAAATTTTCAAGGCCAAATGCAGGAACCAGCTTCCATCCGATTACTAACATTTGAACAATTTTTAACCTATCTGACTTAAGTTTCCAACCGTTCCATCTTTCCTTTTCTCTTTTGACTCAGTATAGATATTCTTATGATTACTATATTAATTTGATGATGATGTGTCTTCGATATTGTATAATGCAATGTTATGTTTTTGCTATTTGGATATTCGTAACTTGTTGTTAGGTCCTGTATATTGTATTGACTTGTCCTGTGTTGTGTTGTATGTACCAGTGGCAGCCGCCACCAGCCTTTAGGCTGCCTGGCTCCCACTTGTAATGCATTGTGGCATCACCAATAAATGAAATGAAATGAAACCATCGGAGCAGCACATATTGCATCATTAAATGTATAAAACTCAAAGGTCTAATAGATAAACAGCTCTACAAACCTCTTGCTCCAGGCGGTCCGGGAAGCCCCACCCCAGGCAAACCTGTAGATATTTAACAAACGAACACCAGGAGGAGTTGGGTAAGACAATGGGAAAGAGAGAGGTCAGGGCAGGCCTTAACTCCAGAGTTGCAGAAATGAAGATTGGTAGAAATCAAAGGGTGTTACTATTTTTTCTCTCACCATTTGGACGTCTCTAAGTTTATTTATTTATTGAAAAATGCAAGTTATAAATGCAACGTTTTCGGACCCTTTATTCCTCACTGTAGATTCAATATCAAACCAGGAAAGGGGGAGTACATGTACAGAACGTATACAGGAAAATGGGGAGGATCCAAAAGTAGAAAAAAATGGGGAGGATTCAAAAGTAAAAAAAAATGGGGAGGATCCAAAAGTAGAAAAAAATGGGGAGGATCCAAAAGTAGAAAAAAAAATGGGGAAATAATTTGATGTAAGGTTGTACCGCTTTCTCCCTTGGCTCCTGGTGACCCTGATGGTCCTGGAGGACCAGGGGATCCTGGAACAAGAAGCAAATAATATCTGTATACAAGAGATAATATAAAAATGTTCCAAATGCCTGACTAGTAAAATTAAAATGAGATGCTGTGTTTTGTTTCAGAGCAAATACAATGTATCGCTATTCTCGGTTAATTACGTATTTGTCATACATGTTTTTGCTATCTTAAAACTCTTATAATTTTTAAGCCAACCGTCTCACCTCTCTGTCCGGGTTCTCCGGGTTCACCTGGCCTCCCTCCGGGACCTAACAAGTTGATTGATAGTTATTACCGACGGAAGATTTAGAGGGTATATACTGTTCAACAGGAAAATACACAACTCTGAATCTCTAACCAAACACCAACACGTACTTATAAAAGCTAGGATCTTGTTTATCTACAAATAAGCACATTACTGTGGAAAAAAATAAACTAAAAATAATTACTGAACTATAAAAAAATGTAAAATTCACATCAAACGGGAAATTCTTACCCTCGGGTCCTACTGGACCAATTTCTCCAATACCCGGTGCCCCTGCACGGGAAAATGAACTCTTTTATATAGAAAATGATCGTGTAACCTCACTCAATTCTATTCTTCTCTGTTTGAGAAACCGAAAATACATGTATTTTAAGGGATTTTGTCTTCTACTCACACGACAATTGATAAAGGATAAGAATGAAAAATCTAACCCCGCTCTCCTTTCGGTCCTGGTCCGCCCGGTAGCCCTACACCTGGTCTTCCTGTTAACGGGTACGGAGAAATTAAACAACGTCTCTGTCTCAAGTGATAAGCTAATCATATACACTATCCTTTTTACCTAGATCGAGGTAGAACATTACGCTAAAAATAGCAATCGGATGAAGTATGATTTTAGATAGTGTATCCAGTTTCATTTATCTATTTTGCATCAGTGACTTCAATTGTAACATCTAAAATGAAATACGCGGATTTTTTTTACGAAAATGGCATAGTGAAGATAACCTATGTATTAGCAGCATTCAAATTTATTCAATCGTAGTGAAACTAGAAACACGATAACCGGGGAACATCTAACACAAAGTTATAGCTCTTAGTCACCTGGTTCACCAGGTGCCCCTGGACCTCCCGACGGCCCTCTTCCCCCTGTAGGAAGAATCAAAAAGGAATGTGGTAAGAAAGTAGCATGCTAGCAGCACTTCGAATATAACATAGCCATTTCTTTTAAGATTGCAATACCTAATGGCGTTTCATGGCGTTGCAATGAAAAACAATCAAGCAACAATGTATACTGTACTGACCAGGTGAGCCGGGAGGACCAGGTGGGCCCTTCAGAGTCTTGATCTGTCCAGGGGGTCCTGCAATGCAACAAAAGTCATTCGCTAAATATAATATTTTCCAAGGCTATCTTGAACCAAGGTTAACGATAAACATGAACACCCTGTTGAGCAAACCTGTCAACTATTTTTAAAGAGTTTGTAGATGTTAATTCATGGCTTTCGCCTATTTTAAATGCAGAAGGCCAAGTAATAACTAACCTGGTAGTCCCTGAGGTCCCTCCATCCCTACTCCTGGTGGACCTGTATCAAACACGCAAGAATACAAACCACATGAAACATTGCAAAATGGAAGACAGTCCATAGAAACTGTATTCTGCATAATGCGTTCAAGTTGAATTCGACACAATTCTGCATGCAATACGATAAGTTGTTTGAAAATAAATTCCTGGGCATCCAAGACCATTTTTTGTAAATATACAGTTAGCTACATTACCTGGTGGCCCGGGTGGACCTTCAGGTCCCCTGAGAGACTTTCCCGGTCTCCCCATCATTCCTGCCAGAGAGAAAAGCACAATGAAGTAAATAAAAACTACAGATAAGGCCAGAATGGACACTCATCACAACCGTGTAATAGTAGTTCATATATTTTAAAATACTACGGTAAGGAATATAGATACTCAAATAACTAAATACAGAGGACCAGTTTGATGGGTCACGCCCCCTACCTGGATCCCCAGGAGGTCCAGCCTCTCCCTGTGATGAGACAAAACATGAGTACAAATTTAGGATGTCAAGCAGCTTGTGGTTGTCTCAATTCCATGTGGATGGGTGCTCAATAACATTTAAGTAACACCACAGTAGTATGAACATAATGAAAGGACTTGAGTAAGTTGTGTAAATGAATGAATGAATGAAATGAACTAAGGCGTAGAAGTACCTTTGCACCAGGATACCCGGCTCTGCCTGACTTTCCTGGCTCACCCTGCCGACATATGGGTCAAAATTAAAGGTATCATACAAACGGCTTCTAGTTATGTACGATATGTGAAATTAACAGGAAAAGGAATAACATAGAAGAAAATTTCAAACCAGATATCAGAGTCAAGATTGCCTTAGACAGACTTAACGCCTAAGCTGCTTGATACTTAAGTTTTTCAGTGAAATTATTAAAATCTTACCGGTCTGCCCGGAGCACCTGGTGTACCCCTTTCTCCAGAAAGGCCCTTCACAAAAACAGAAGTGTCTAAAACATCAACTTTTTATCACTCATGATAGTCCTATTCAACACAGGCGAAACATGTTCCAATTTATCGCCCTAATAGTGTTGTTTTAACAAAAGAGTGTTCTGTAGTAAACATACTTAAGCATCAAAACAATTCATGTGGAATTCTAAATTCCAAAGGTTTCTCTCATACCAACCGGTGGACCTGCTGGACCTATGGGCCCCATGAAGCCAGGCGGTCCCTTGTGGCCCTATGAAACAAAATAAAACATGTCTAATAATCAAGCTAAACACGAAGTGTCAAGGGGTTAGCAACAAACGATTCTGGCTCTTTCTATGTATAAGCAATCTTAAACTAAACACATAAGGTACATTGGCAAATTTAGCACCTTTGTCTCAATCTGGCGTATATATTTATACAACACCTACAAAAAAAGTAGTCATATTGAAGAAGTAAATCTATAGATCCTATACATACGGCTTCTCCCTTCTCTCCGTCTTTTCCATCTAGTCCTGGTATCCCCTAGACGAAAAGGTAATACAATAGAAATTTAGTCACATCCTTAGAATGGCCTTCGAGTCACAAGTAGTCTTGTTCCGTTGTGAGAAATGAGAAAAAAAATTAAAAAATGAACTAGCAGCTTCCCTGTGCTTGGCACTCTTTATTTACAATTACAATTTTACAATAAAATTTATAAACTGCAGTTTGTGGTATGATAAGATTACGTGATAATAACAAACAAACAAACAAACAAACATCACATCAAATAGGACACGTTGAGCTGGCGGGGAAGCTACCGTACCGAGGGTCCTGGACCCCCCGGGCGTCCTGCGGGGCCTGGCGGGCCGGCCTTCCCTGGAGCCCCAGAGTAACCTCGGTCTCCCTTGTTACCATCTAGACCCTACAGAGACACACGAAGAAGCTTGTGGTATCGCCTCAGCACAGTTAAATTCAGTTGTTAGATGAAATACAGTTGAAGTCATGACACAAAAATCTTGCCTCCATGAACTTCTTGGTAGCATGATTCAAAATAACGTACTGGCGTAAATATCTACAAGTTACTCTGGGACTATTCACATGCAGTAGTCGTTAACACTTTAACACAAACATTATTCCAGGTGTGTTTTACCCATATGTAGTAGAAACAATTTAGTAGAAATTTCAATTGGCCATGGGAGATGTATTACAACATCTTCTGTTATAGGGTACAACTACGTAAAGACACCCATGCTTGAATAATTCTGGTATTTTACAAAAGGTTGTACGTAAAAAGTTTCAGTTTTCATGTTCATATTTTAGAATAGATAGTCTTCAACCATAACAAACCCTTGTTTGGGGTCATTATCATGTTCCCAAATGTATTATGAATAAGCTTTCATTTCTGAAGATATGTTAGAGGTATAGGCAAACACACGTGAGAGAGAGGTAACTAGAAGCTTAAGTACTGATGTTGGGAGACACCTTCTCACCCGGTGGTCCCGGGTATCCCGGCAACCCTGCTGGACCCGGGGGACCCTGTTAAGAAAAAACACGAAAATGTCATTAAAAAACTGCACATTGTTTTTTAAACTGGAAGGAAGCTATACTCTGATTCTATCATCACTCTGTAATTACAAAATTTAGATGCTGAATCACAAACTTTAATTTAATCAGCAAAATTGGAATAGGATACAAGCAAACAAAAATTACTTTTACAAATGCTTTCACAGAGAACTTACGTACATCATATAAAATGTCAACTGAACTGTTCTACCAACGATAGAACATACACTACTAATTTGTTCAAAATCCAACGTAGTACTTCCATATCGTCCAATGCATCAAATATATGTAGATTTGCAATGTTCAGTGGTAAATTCTACAACCATACATATATATTTACCTTCAGTCCAGGATCTCCAGTTTTTCCACGCTGTCCAGGAGCACCCTGCAATGGAATTCATCTCATGTCACATTACTACATAAGTAGCATTGATACCCCTGTAAGATTAAGACTACTTTTTTAAAGTCATTGTTCTGTTTCAAGGCGATTTTTCAATCTTATAGTTGGCTTGGATGTCTACATGTTATTCCTATCAAGTACCAGCAGTAGACAGATTGCAAAGGAGAAGCACTTGCAATATTATAATTGTAGGTCGTAGAAATCTGATGTAGTTAATCGTAATTCGCTATTCCATACTGCTGTGTATGTCACTATCGCAGTTTAAACAGATATTGCCAGTTTAGACAATGTTATTTTTCAGATAAATTTCTACATGAAGTACTTACCGCTGGTCCGGCTGGGCCTGGTGTACCGGCATGGCCTTTGGCTCCTGGAAAACCCTGTCAAAAGAAAGGAAACAATGACTTCCAAAATACAATCATGTGTGTGTATTTCTATTTGGGCGATATCTTTGCAACAAGTTCTATATTGATAAGTTTAACGAGAAGGAATGTCAATGCGTTCCCCAAACCATAATTTCCTTAATATGTTGTATGTTACAAATGAAAGATTTCAGGACGTCGTTTTATAACTAGCAAAATTTCAAACATAGCGTTCCAAAGAAAGATAGCGCTTACTTACTTGTTTCCCGGGTAGGCCAGGTGGCCCCATGTCCCCCGGCCTGCCCTGTTTGGGTATGGATGGAAGACAGTATATTTGTCAATTTCTAAAAGTATCAAGTAAAGCGTAAGGGTGGCACGAATCTACTTAGCCCATTCTTACCTAATGTAATCACATATCAGAACAGTACCATATATATATAGTGAAGTGTCATTTGTTTTCATTCTTAAAAGGAACAAGCTTAAGCAATAGAACTCACCGGGGAACCAGATTTTCCGTTGTCGCCAGGTCGGCCATTTTGCCCCGGGAAGCCCTGATTTGTCACACAAAATAACACAACCATACATTTAGAATGACATTCATAATGTCAGCTTGGTCATTGCATCATGTGTAATGTGTTTGTATATCATCCCAATTCAAAGAATGGGAAAAAATTAAGTAGGCAGCAATACAGTTAATTTTCTTTGTATGAAGTGGCAAACATACCCTATGCCCCTTCAGTCCAGGGAAGCCAGGCGTCCCGCTGTCACCTTTGTGTCCCTGTGAAAAAGGTTGTTTTTTTTTGCGTCAAACAGACAATGTATGTGCTAAAATTCTTTCATACATTATAATGTCACTAGTCTAGTATGGGAAGTTGTCACAAAAAATTCTTCATCCCTGTCACAAAAATACCTTCATCCCTGGAAGTCCTTGTAAACCGGGCAAACCGTCGTCACCTTGTCTTCCCTTATCAACAAAAAAAAGTTCAGTTTTAGTCACAGAAGTTGTTCCAAATTCTTTGAAAACATATGCAACAGCATTGAACGCAAGGATACTCAATACACACGTTAAGCTATGGTTTAATAGGATTCAAAGTTCTATTCAAAGTTAATAATTATGTATATTTCACCTACCGGTGGACCTTTCGGACCTTGTGGACCCATCGGACCTTGCCGTCCTGAAAGACCCTAATAATTGATAAAAAAAAGATATGGATTCAGCTTAATACACAGTGAACTGAATAAATCCATGAATGTCATTATCACCGACTAATCACCAAACTTGATATTTATTTACTATTGTAAAGTCCATTGCTGTTTTTAATGTAAAACTTACCCAACTTTACTGGCATTTACTATTATTGGTAAATTAAACTTTTCGTGCAGTGATGGTGACTTACCATTCTCCCTGGCTGTCCAGGATCACCTTTCTCCCCTGTATACCCCGGAGGTCCCTGTTGGGATCATCGCAAACATAAATCCATACATCTCTGTTGATTCATTGTAAGTAAATTATGTATGTGTTGATTGTATCCGTGGAAAACACAGCAATGTCCAATGTATGTAGAGATTTTGAGTACTTGAATTAAAGGACAATGCAATATTTAAACCACGAAACACTACAAAATACCCTATGAATTAGGAATCTCATTATAGTAGTATAATAATACAGTACATGCTGTTTAATAATATAGTACATGCTTGCAATGTGGCGTATTTGTTTTGTTCGAAGAGTTGGTAGTAAATCCCTAGTAAACTTTCGTTGCACTGACAAAACTAAGTCATATACCCTTACTGCCTTCAGCTAAATGACTATGGCAATACTGCTACGACACACGAAAACAGCAAATCCAACCCTACGTCAAAATCACAGCAATGGATAATCCTAAGTTTTATAGGCTAAATCTACTAATGATCAGTGGGTAGTGCACTAAAATTGGAACTGTCCTCTTTTCGTGCCATACGTGTAAATGCCGCATCGTTGTTTGATATATGGCCGATAATAGGACGTAGTTCTTTCCAAACATCTACAAGTTTCTGTTGAAACCCACCGGAGAACCGGGGTACCCTCGGTATCCCTTTCTTCCCATCGGCCCCTGTAGCAAGAAACGGTTACAGAGAGAGAATGTAGCAGACCTACCGGTGGACCAGCAGGACCAGTACTCCCCCTAGGGCCCTGTGGCCCCTGGAAAATAATACAACGTGTACAATAGTATCGTGTTAGTGATTTTCATAGGATATCAGATCCCTTTGTTGAAACCAGCGAATCCGTGTGGAATGTTGCTGTCTGCAGTAGCTTGGTTGTCGTCTCAGTTGAGAATATGAGACTGGTCAGAGCACGTACGTGTTCACATGTCACAGCAAGCTGCCATTTTCGTCTTTCTTGTTTTTGGCATTTGGCGTGATCCGAAGCGCCAAGATTTTGGTGATTATCAGGTATACTATATCCTACCAAGCGTGGTCTAAGCCGGTATCATTGATGTATATGCCGAATTATATTGACTGGCCCCAACGTCGCTTTTCGTTCATCTTGGTGTTTAGAGGAATATATTATGACAACTTTTGAATCATATAGCGAATTGTGACTTAAATTTATCTTTAGGAAAACTGACGACGTTTGATATAACCGTAATCTGAGACCGAGCACAAGTCTTGCCAAGGAAAGTGTTTGCCATCAAGACGGTATGACCTGTCTTCACCACCGAAGTTGACTTTTCGCTGTTGTCCTAGAGCCGAATTCCGTCCGTGACCGGAAGATGACCCCCATGCCAAATCCATGAGGACAGGAATACATCAAAATAACTAGTCTAAGAGGAAATACTTTAGACCATATAGTTAGCTGTGCGACAAATATTGTGGTTGAGCGTTCATTTTCACTTGCTGCGAATTTTTCTTAAAAGGGTAACTGTCACTGTATATTTGCTAGCTTTGCTATGAAATTTTGGCATAGGGATATTTTATTTCAGTAGCTTCTTTGGGGTCAACGCCGGCCTCCTTGTTAACGGAATTTGGCCAATAAATCATCGGTAAGTTGTGCTGAAGACGAGAATTTTACATCCTGATTCTAGAGCTGTGTTTGCGCCGATGCGGTAGCCAAAGCAGTCTGTCGGTGTAGTGCGAAGAGCAGGGGACGTTTGAGAATACGATTGGGGTCAGCCAAAGTCCATCTCCGATGTCCAGTTGTCAGCGGTCGTCTTTGCAAGAGAAGCTTAACATCCAATAATTCCTTGGCTAGCAGCCCTGTCGTCTACATCCCTTGTCAAATGCTATGATATACTCCAACAGTTAACAGATCTACAGCTCTCGTAAGGGCATTGCAGCGTCATTAGGGCAGGTAGAATGAAACTTTAAAACACGAGAGAAAGATGTTTAACCTGCAGAATCTCTAAATAATCTTATCTTTTATCTTATAGAATCTCTATTATCTTAAACTTTGGTTAGTCTTCAGGTTATCTTACAGTCACTATGAAAAAATACTACTTAAATATAAAATTGTTCAACACGGTTTAAATTTGAGCAAAAATGTAACATATTAGTTAATATCATTTAGAATAGCAGAAATTTTCCATAGACTGCTTTGTGAAATGTAGTCTTAAATATCATCAATGAATCAATAGTTTTTCGTTTTTTTTAATCTCATGATACGAATGTCCAAAGTTTACTTTTTGAATCTTTGGTTTCCGACCAAAATAACCGATTCTCACATTGTACCTGTACCCCTGGACAACACATGGACCTCATGGGCGGGCCCTTCTTCGTCCCATGACCTGCAACCAATCACAGAATAGTATTATGTTTCAAACATCAACTGTCACCACCCTATTACAGTTCAGCAAGAATACATTTGACAGTATATTCAACAAAGGCCAATGAAAAGTAATAAGATATGCAAATAATGATTCTTGGTAATTCTAGACATTACATTGTTATACTTTTCCTAAAGACCTTTGGTCAAACAAACATAGGATGGACATTGGAGCATTTGGCATTTAGCAGAAAAGATGCCCTCCAACATACATCTGTCTTACTTGGCGTAAGAATGTTGTCTACAGCACATTGGTGTGTCTCGTTTATTTATACTGTACCGGGAAATCGGCTTAGGGCACGACTATCAACATTGTAATGGAGTTTTCGGGATAATGACTGTGACACAGTACCTCAAAAAGGTAAGAGTGTAAGGCGAGGTCCCAAATAAGCAATGCAACAGAAAAGATATAATGCTAACTCAAACCGTGACTCACAAAAATAACCTAAGTTTTTGAATGAAGAAACAAACAATAGCGGTGCATCGTTATAAATTTTCAAAGGCTATATTCAACATAGAACTTAGCTATGCCCTGTCGCCTAGAAGAGTTGACATGTTTAGCTATAGGGACCTTGAAGTATAAATAGAATACTCCAGCAATTATAAACCTCCCGGGAATTCTTGAACCCCATTTTCACGGCCACTAGAACCAAATTTGCTGTGTCAAGTCCACGGAAGTGGGTCATTAGAACGTTTATTTTGTCAGCTATTGCCCCAATGCCATCGCTTTTAAAACGGATTACCGGGCATGTTTTTGTAAGGATGAGTTACAGAGTTACAGGAAAAACTGTTATGTTTGGGAATTTTAAACTCTTAATATTTCTTATCCTATTTCTAACAAAATTGTGCTGATAAACAGTACGTATTAAAGGATGAACCAATATCAACATGAATCACGAAGACGTGGTATGTGCCTCTCAAATATGAATGCATCTATACGACTCCAGTTACAGATATTTGTGGATTGGCTGTGATTGTAGAGAGACTACTACCAGTGAACATACATGAGTCTTTCGGTTAAAATAACACTCACTCTCTGTCAGTACAGTTAACTAAATAATATCAATTTATGTCTAGTCAAATATTTTATTTTTAATAATGTACAAATGGCTGCAAAAATAAACTGTGTACAACTTGAGTACACCGTATTTGTCCGTTTATTTGTATTGATGTCTTCTTTTAGTTTGAAAAAAAAAATCCGCAATTCCAAGCGACTGTATTGTGCTCCAGTTCTTAGAGTTTGTTTTATATCCAAATGTCAATGCACTGGGCTGCTTTATTGGCCTTCATTTAATAGGCTTGCTGACATCATTACATCTTACACTCACATCTGTGCACAAATATTTTTTACTCAGGATTTGTGAGTGATCTACATGAGTGATCACCAAGAAGATAGCGTTATAAGAAACATTTGCTATACATAGCTTCAATGAAAACAAAAGGGTGGAGTCCACTCTATCAATCACTCAAATAAAAAGACCTATCTCATTAATGTATCACCAGAAATACTTGCAGCTGCCAGGGTTGTCAGTTTGAAAAAATGATCAATCAAGGTACTAGGCTTCTTATTTTTGGCTTCTATTTTTTTTGCTCAAAATGCCTGTTTAGCATAAGGTTGGTATTTTTTAGTGTTGAAAGAGAGCAATAACCACCAAAAACCAGAACAGAAATGGCAGTAAAATAATCGGTGTGATGCGGTCTTCAGAGAAATAGGTTATCGGTGTGATGCGGTCTTCACAGAAATAGGTTACTGGCAGTCTGCATTCCTCCTTCTAACGTTTGCCAAGTCACAGGGACTACGTGTAAACAAACAGATGCACCGGCTGGACGGTCGTTACAATTTAATGTAGTATAAATGTTTCCTTATCAGACGAGACCTCCGTAAATTTAAACGCCCTAAACCAATTTTTATTTGATGTTTTTCCTCTTCTCTTCTACGACTAACGGTGACTGTGCTTGGTAAAGTATTAAATTATCTTCCATGGAAATCCGTTTTTATTTTGCTAAACTGTGATGCAGTGGCAAAATTAAACGCATCTTTGTCGCTAAATTCGCAGTCACGGTGAGTGTCAATTTAGTTTGAAAATAACGTTACCGACATCCCAAAATGGCGGCCACACACGGCCACTCTAATAGACGACCGCGTAAGATAAACATAACCTTTGACCTTGCGGAATGATATTCATTTTCAAGTGATAAATTAAGATATAGAACCTACTTACTTCTCTCCAACAGCACCAGCAGGGTGGTTAAACTCAGCAGCAGCATTTTTCTCGCGGGTTACAACAAAGAGTCCCTGTTGAAAGACAAAAAATGCGGGAAAATTCCGATGTGTGCTCAAGATGTTCGCGTCTGTTGACAACATGGTACCTCAGTTTGTTGTTGTTTGGTTGTCACCAATCGACAACACAAGCTGTGGGTTTAGGATGCTACTGTGAGATCAACAGAGGAATCAGACAAATCAGTGCTAATTTTTCTCTGACCAACACTTTAATCCGTTTATGTTTTTCGAACAAATTTGCCGTAGCCTCTTTTGGTTGCAGATGGTGTGATACTAGGACAATTGCCTTGTGTGTATAACATTCATTCATTTCTTTAATTAAAAATGTAGTCACAGAAAATTAACGTTTCCTTCCTAGATAACCAAAATGTGTAGGCCATGTACAACAATGAATGTTTACCAACACAATTCATTGTTACATTATTTGACACCGTGTGACAGTAACGTTGTTTTTACAACAAGAGAGTTGCAGTCGCACTAGCCATGGGTAGGGCACACAGTGTTTCCTTTGCGGTTCCTGAGCATACCTCGGTAAATCGAGACAGTTACCAAAACCTTTGCAGTTTTAAGGATAAACCATTTTGTGGCCACGGCGACCCGAGTATATTTGTACAGCGTCTGTCCCAGGCTCGCGGTGGCGGTTTTCACAGGCGTGGTGAGGGGGAGAGCTTTTCGGTGTCTGTTAAGGGACGTTTTACATATTAACCTTTGCTACCGGAATTCACCGCCGAATAAATCGAGCCTTGATTTCAATACACACGGAAAATCTCCAAGGCAACACCGTTGTTTTTGTTCTATTTCCGTGCTCTACAGCTAGTCTTTACATTGATAAAGCGGAACGACAATCATATACCCAGTGTTGATGAAAAATTACATAGCCGTGAAAATTGTCATAATCAGTAGGACACAAACCCACAGGCTTACAGAAACACAAAGTAAAGATATGTGAAAAGAATGACAACGAATAAACGCTTTACCGGTTCCCTACATAATTGGGAAAAGGGAAAACAAGAGGCGTTTATGTTAATAACGAAGCTTACGTACCTTAGAAAGTCAGGCAGTTGTGTACCATTCCACCTCTGAAAAAGTCGAGAACTTCACAGATTTTACGAGGTCGACACCTTTAGCCACTTGACAGACTTGTCCAAATTTCACAGATGTCTCTTCCACTCAAGATGAACGCAATGTAGCGGGGGGATCCTTAAGAAGAAGGAAGACGAGGGCAAAGACGGCAAGGCGCGGGCTCGACAAATTGTGTGGCCTGAAACGGCTGGGGGTGTGCCGCGCAACGATCCCACAGATTCACCAGCTTGGATTGTTGACTTATGCCTCATGTGACCACAAGAAGAATTTCGAGGCTTCTTTTCTCGCTGCCTTGGTCTTCTCGACAACAGCAATCTAGAGGACCGGAGACAGGGTAACGCCAAGTCTGTTCACGGGGAAAAATGACGAAATGGAAGGACATTCGACTGAAATGTTTTGATTTATCTATAGAGTCTGTAGTACCATTTCACCAATTATATACACCTTTTTATTTATTCTTATTATGAATAGTGTAATCTAAATAAAGTTTTCTCACTATAGCTAGCAACTGCCTTTGTGCAAACTTAACCTTTCAACATGCCTTTCCTTATGTCATCATCGGTGTTAAGGTTGTCTTAACTAGCCCATCGCCAGCCTTAATAGTGACTAGACAGGAAATTGCTGTCATCCGCTGAACTGGTGTGAACTCTGGTGACTGATGTTTTTTCAGCTTCTCGAAGGCAAATGTCGATTTTGCGCGCCATATGTGGAGCGGGATCATCAACAAGGACACGGGAGAGCTGGCAGAACTATAAACGTTCCCCTTGACTTGCGACATCCATGTTAATTCAACTGGAAAAGGTGACATTCAACAGATGAGTACTATCTCTCATGTCAATACATTTTCCGATTCTTTTTCCACTGAAACTGAATGGTAAACACGTGTAGTCCGGAAGACCCACGTCAAATGTCATAACAGAGATTGTAAAGATTAGGGAAAGAGGGCGGAGACTCACCCCATGCGAAGTTTGACTTGCTAACGGTTAATCTCAGCGGAACCTTTCCCTGCGTCCCGTCTTTTATCTTCCTACGCATCCTCACAAGTGTGTTAACAGTGAGGATGCCAGATTGGCAAAATGTCCTTTTTAGAGACCTATGACGATATACGCCTTTAAACGTGATGGAGAATAACAGACTTCTTATGAAACCCTGCGAGTGCTTGACACTATTTTTTTAGCTATAGAATGTTTTTGAAAAAATTAACGAGCCTACGCGTGTGGAAAAAGTTTCTCAAAAGTGTTTTATAAATATATTTTACATGTTTTTGTATCGATATGGACCACGGGCCTGAGGTAAATATACAAGCTGATTTTATTCCACATTGTAAATTGTCCAAACTGAGAGAGTTCTAGGCAACAAATGAATCCTAGCTGAAAGAGAAGTGGATATTGAAACCTCAAAGGAAAACTTCCACACGTGTGGACGCACACCCGGAGGTTCGAACCCCAAGATCACTTAACCCGTCTCAACATTCAACACTCAAGGTCACTTGCAAACACTCAAGGTCACTTGCATATAATTAGCGGGCTTCGGAGGTGATGTCAGAATGGCACTTTGCATTCTTGACCCTGTGCAAGGTGAAGATCAAAGCAAATTCACCGCGTCTTCTTCACACCCGATAGCGGTGCAGTGCATTGAAAAGCGTTGCCGACTATCGACAGATTTTGGCCACGATGGCCTTCAGTTGTGACCAACCATGGCTGCATGCTGCGAGTTTGTGTACATTGTATACAGTCACACTGTTGGCACATGTCTACTTCGACAGAATTTGAGTCAGATGAACATGCATATGCGACTACCAACAACGAATAAATGCATCCTTGCCCATTCCTTTCTGGATTTAAGCTTTTCGTGCAGCCAAGTCACAACTGTCAGCCCTTCCTCCTGTTATCATTACAACAATTTCACACAGAGTCCCTAAATCCTCGACACGTTCACAGAGAACGTCTGGATTAGTCTAGGCACGTCTTGTTCATAACAAATATCGGCACTTGATCCATCTTGAAAGGATTAACAGAGTTTTAGTGGTAAAGTGTGTATGAAAGGCCTTCACCTCCAAACCTCGTCTGCACTAAGGCTGGCGGCATCCAAGAACAGTGTCGGAGCTTCACCCATAGTATTAACCGTGTACAAGTCTTGAACAGTCAAAACTGTTTCGACGTTTGCGACGTAATATGTGTGCATGTTTAAAGTATTGCCAGTGGCGCAAAAACAGTTTATATCTATATATAAAGACCAATGCTGTCGTTTTCATAAAATCAGTTTCGATTGGGAAAAAATACATGAAAAAATTTCATCTTCCAAATCCATAACTAGCGTTTTAAAAATTAACACACTGGTATGTATACATAGATCTCAGTGAACCATGTTCAACATGTTATGGTATCAGGCCATGACCTTTGTCTCCTAGGTCAGAAATGGTTATTTGTTATGCATGACCTTTTGACCTTGAAACAAACAGGTGTATGTCTACGATTATTTCTTCACTGTGCTTTCATAACAACAGGAATTATGTCTAGTTATTTAAACAACTGCATTATGGGTTCGTAATTGGTTCATATGTCATAGGTACTAAATCGATTGTGTGACAGGATACTGAATAAGTGATGTGGGAACATGCTGTGTTGAAATCTAAGGGGGAGGGGGGCACTGAGTAGCGGACCACTAAATGACAATTAACAGTAAGAACAATGACAAAGCCATCATCTTTGACTGTTAAAAAATAATTGTAAGGGGCAAACCGGGAATACTGGCGGTGTACAACAAGCTAAAACATTGATTCACTGAACAAAAGACTTAGACAAAGTAACTACATCACACATGTTTTTTTACGAATTGTTAGTTTGAAATAATGACATGAACATTCATCAAGTTCACACGTTCCCCGAGCTCCGCTATACTTCCTGGTCAGTCCCCGAGTTGTTGAACAGTTTCACATTGACCCAGAGTGTGTATTTCACGGCAGTCTTTCACTCAGGCACTCCGTCATTTGTCTAAAGTCAAGTTCACACGACCATGTTTTCCACAAGCTGTGACCGGTCGAAGTAGAACTCACCCCTCCCCTTTCTAGTAATGGCTACTACTCGTCAAGTTGGTTCCCAGTTGACACCCTAACACACTGACAAATAATGATAACAACCTAACAGCTAGGGACAACAGATATACGTCAGCAACAGGCATACTACGGCGTGGAAGAGCAAAGCTATCATTCGCAGACAGGCGGAGAAAAACAAAAAACAAATGAGAACTTGCAGAGAAGACCAGAGATGTACAAGGAATTACTTACTAAAATAGGAGATAGATGCACAAGTTACCACTTTAAAAGAAGACGCCACGCCTATAATGCATACTGGGGTTGTAAATGATCAATGTAATAAATACACGTCACACATACACATTCAATTTCCTTATTTTCATTCTCCAGACACAGTATAGCGAAGTAAAACGCGACGTTTGTCATCTTATAAACACCCTTTCATAAGGCAGCGCAGAATGTGGGCGCCCCATACCGTAACCAGAGAAAAGGCAAACGCGATTATTTTGGGGCCAGCCTCGACTAGACTGGGAGGGACACCATCCGGCTTCTGCATATATGGAGGCGAGCGGAGTAAACCGACTAAACTCGTATGCGTACAGAGTAAATGTTTCCTGTGCCATCTTTGGCAGGGTCTCCTTGAAAGCCTGCCAATGTACAAATAGTGGTATTAGAAGCGGGTGTAGTAGGCATGGAGCTTGGCCCCTTACCAAAGTGACCAAGTTCGATTCCCATTCCTTCGTTGATTACATCCCTCTCATTTGTATGCATGTCTACAATATTGATATGTGAATAAAAAAATTGAAGTGAATTTCCAACTACTGACTGGTGGACTGGAATTCTTAAATTCGTATGTTTTATTCGTCCTTATGCATCTTCCGAATTTCTATCTGACACATGTTAGCAGCGTATAATATTGCACCATTGGGAAACTCAACCTTTATAGCTAACCCTTATCCCAAATGGGCGTCACATTTTCGGTGAAGCGCCACGAGGCGTATCGCAGCATTTCTGTACTTAGGGCTGGGCTTCAGGCTTGATTTGGGGACCGATCTATTTACTCATTATTGTACCCTCTGCTCTTTTCAAACCAGTGGTTAAGGCCCCTGGGCCTAGAAGACCATAAATTACCAACAGCCACTTTTTAACCGTCCCATCATGGGCTGTACTTACATTACCAGAGTTCAAATACTCTATGTGCCGAGCCAACCACACACCTTCGATGGGCATACGTGGAGGTTATAACAGGTCTAGTGCGATACATATCTCACACTTGGACCATTACTCTCTCTCGTCTTGTCAAAATAAACAAAGGCTTGGCCTATTGTCTTGTGTTGTCTACGTCAGGTCATCCGTATGTAAAAGACTTAATGTTCTTGATTTATCATAATTTGGGCATGTGTCCAAAGTGTTCCTTGAGTGGCTCTTAAAAAATTCGAATGGAGAATGTTCTGGTCATGTAATCTCTACAAAATTGTTCCATGTTTCATTGAAAAATATGGTCATGGTGCCATATTGCCAATAATGAGTTGCACGTATAATATATACGTAAGTAGGTGAATTTTGGCTGTGTTTGAGAACCTTAAACCATGGACGTGTACAGAAAAGCTTTAAAAAATACAGGGCATCGGATAGTGAAAATTATAGCGTTGAATTTTTCAAGGACAATAATATTCCAATCTTTCATATAGAAATAGCACAGATTGCAAAGCAGTATGTTTTACTATGGCTTGGACCTTATGTCATGTACTGAGTGACAACATAAAGAAGTTGATGTCAAGATGGACCAAACCAATAGTTTCTCTATCAATCCGTCACTTTTGGAACGGGGGTCAGGAAAGACTCCCAAGGGTCCCGACCTTTATTTCATCAAAGCCTCGTTCTTCTTTTGACTTGTCTGTTAGGCTGTAGTGCGACTGTCAGTAGGGATGTAGTGATCTGCTGAACAGATGTGACTGTACTTCAAAGATGCTGCATAAGCACGTTTTACAAGGTTTTAGGACAAGGTTTCTACAAGTTTTAGGAACAAATACGTGGATACACATTTCTAGAGTATTTCTTGCTTCCAGTCAATACCATCAAGTGTATAGGGTTGGGGTCATGCCTCAAACAGAACATGAAAAGTGGACTTCAGACTGACTTGAGCTTCTCATGAATAAATAATGGTTCAAACAACAACCAAAAAACACGTTTCCGGTGACCTCAACTGGACCAGCCAGTTGTCTGGAGAATGTGGGAAAATACACGCGTGTAAAGGGAGCCAGTCATCTTAGGTACGTCCTTGGCATGGCTTTGACATGTATAGAGACCAACTTACGGGAATGTCCGGGTGCAGGACATACGCTAAGGTCACATTTCCAAAGAGGGGCCGAGCTGGGCTGTTTCCGTGGACGTGAAATGGGCAATTCAGATAATGAATGATAAATTGATTTTGGCAAGATTTGTTGTTCTCTTTTATATCATACATGCACAAACTGCCCAACCTGGTCGCAGGATGTGACCTCAGCATTCCAGAATATCATGGAACGTAAAGACATTTTTAAACTAGAGTTCCCCGATCTCATACCTTCGCCAAATGATGTTAATCTTTATGACTGACAAATTATAGATTAGATTAGTCCCCCGTGATTTAAGAAATAGCAACCTAATTTTCATGAATTATATAATTTTATCATAATCTCAACCAAAAGACAGTTTTATATTAACAAACAATGCATTCTAGCATTTCCTAATAAATTATGCAAATGAGGTCTGATTTGAATAAATTATGTTTAATGATGTTCACCTCAATTTAACTTTCAAATACCACAAGTATGAAATTGCAGGCAGTTACCATTACATAATTATAAAATTTTCTCATTAATTATGCAAATTAAATCATTATTAACATAATCAATATCTTCCTGTGTTTCTCTCGTTGTCAATTACCAATGTCACAAGCTTCAATTGTGCTATCATGGAATGCAGCTGATTTATGGAATTTCCCCATAAATTATGCAAATTACATCCATATTTGCATAATTGTCACATAATTTTATTAAGCATCACGTAAGCTTCCTACATACCAAAAATCACGACGATCCGTCAACTGGTTCTTGAGTTATCCCCTTTTGAATATTTTCAAGAAAATATCCCTGCAGTTCCAGAGCAAGCCGCTAGGGGGCCTAAACTCATTTCACTTCTTCCCCATCACAAGAGCTACCTACCATCTAAATTTCATCACCATAGCATGTGTAGATCATGAGATATCAAAACCGGAAGTTCAGCTGCAGTACCGTAACAAGCCGCTGGGGGGTCCAAAATCTAATCATTTTGAGGTCTCATCAAGACCTACCCACCTACCAAGTATCAAGACAATCCATCAAGGCCTTCTCAAGTTATCGTGTTTACAGACAGACAGACAGACAGACAGACACACACACACACACACACATACACGAACGCCCCTGAAAACATAACCTTCTTGGCGAAGGTAAATATGGGGGAACATAGTCCTACATTTTCAGCCAAGGTGCATAGAATGGAAGGTGGGGATCGTATGTCCCACATATTAAACAAACGGTAGCCTCATGTGTCACTACTCGTGTACATGTTGCGGGACGCTATCAACAAAAATAAACAGTTGGTGACAGCAGTGCTTGCCGCATCTGTTGCACAATGTGTGTTAAACCTCGATATGTGAATGTATGTAGCTTCAATTTGTGTTTACATTGTTTTGCATACTCATGACTAGGAAGACTGCTAGCTGTATGTGACGTATGATAACATTGCTGACTTAGAGGATATATCTGGGGGAAATAAACTTTAACAACCCCGTAATTTTTGTACATTAATTGCATACAACAAATAAGAAAATGTAATAATCTTCTTCTTTGACAGATAATCATTTATTCTTTGTAAACATGACTAAATCAAACACTGTATCACGAGGAACAATACGACAATAAGAGAATAAGGTGTACATGACATGGTTAGTGGTAAGCCCCTTCCTGCTGCTGCATCTTTACCAGAGATCGTCAACAACTTGTTAGACTCATTAAAGATGTTAAATCTAACTTCTTGACATTTTTACCTGCCACATGAACTAAACATTGTCATGGTAATAATATAAATGCTTTTGATAGTGAAATATACTCCTATATCATCGCGCTGAGAATAGTACAGTATTGAAAGATATCCTTCTAGTTCTATAATTCCTTTCTTAAAAGAGCCATGCACTAAAACCAAATCTGCAAACCAGTTGCATCCGAATTGAATTCGCAAAGTATCTATGGCAGGTAAATTAAACATGTTCAATGCAGATGGTCACATAGTCAAACCAACGTGATGATAGGTTTAACTCACTAGATACGCCAACGTGCACCTACATGTATAACATCCTAAACTTCCACACGGTAATTTTGTTTTAAAAAATTAACGGTAAGTTTAATTCTGAGCTTTGAAATTCTGCTGGAAAAAGTTATTTAGTAGGAGTGCTAATTATTTAAAAATAATAATAATGAAGCAAGCAGTGTATCGTATTACCACCAATGCAGTAGGTACTTCTTGTTCTAATATACATTTTTCGTTGTGTAATACACATTTTCTGCAAGTAAGAAAACATCATGAACCACTTGTGAATAGATACATTCAATTATTTTGCTTGCATGACATCATCATGGAAACCTTTTTCAAGTAGCACATTTCACTACCCGTTCTAACATATTTAGTAGTTTGTGGAAAAGGCTAATTCTGGCGATCCCCGTTATACACACACACTCTACATCGACTAATCCTTTGTTTCAGCACGTTGACACTTCCCACAACTCTTTGAGTGCGGAAGAACTGATCCCTTTCCCCGCCCGGAATACTTATCAGCCAAAAGCTGAGCTGATTACTCGAGACGTCGCAGACGTCACCAACGCACTCGATGAAAGGTGCTGCCCGGAAGTAGTCCAAACAACTTCCGCTAAGTGACAAAGATTGTCCGCCACCTTCACCCGAAGCCGTGTGCTGTGAAAGCATGGAAAATGAAAGCTTTACTCTTTCAACACCTTTTTACTTTTACGTTCACAAGTCTACGTTTGGAAGTGATTGGCCATTTCTTATCCTTATGTAGGAAATTTGATCCTTGTGTACTTGTGTTGGAATAGAGTTCAGCACATGTAACGACTTTATTTTCTTAGCAATATGAATCTGTGACAGCTCTTGCTTGGTGTTCATTACCATATGGAATGAATGATTGAATGAAGGACTACCAACAGAATGAATGGATGAATGAAAGAATGAATGAAGACTTCAAACCCTTAAGATATCGTACCATGAGGAAACTGTAGCCTGTCCACAGGCTCCTCCAGCCATCTGGACAATTCGGAGTGAGCATGGACCGCTGACTATGGACGGCCATCACCAGACTTGTGGTCACACACACCGCGCAGCGGCTCACAAACCTGCGAATGTCTGCTCCTGACAGAGGAGCCATCGGTCCATCCATGTATCTGCAAAAGAAAGGGGTTTTGAAAGTTCGCTGGTAAGCCTCTAAATTGTACAGCCATCAAATTGTACGTCAAGTAATAGGAAACAACAAAACTTTCATAAGTGCATAAAATTAGAATATTACATCCCGATACCATTCACTGAAGGTAAATGTATATACTGACCAAGTTAGTATCTTATGGCTGCCGGCCTAGCATAAATTTTGCCATGCCAAGAAACCTAAAGGTATTTTTTCGCAACGAAGAATCCCAGGTTATACATTAATGTAAAGAGTTCAAATTGCACCAGAAACATACCATGAATGTTACATTTACGTCTATTGAAAAGAGCCCTGACCTGTCAAATGTAGAGAGCCAGTATGTTTTGTCATCTCGATACCCGTACTTGCAGGTATCGTCCGGTTCGCAGCTGAAGAATGGTAAGATGCTAAAGCGTCGTACACATGAGTCTGGTTTTCCTGCAAGGGGGTGGAATACATCAAAGGACGTTAAAAATATAAGCTAGATAGCTAATTCAAAGCTTCTTTCTTCCAATTCAGCTTGCGATGCTGGTTTAGGCACTTTGTACATGCTGCACCCTTCTATATTGACACATGTTTACTTACAATAACATTCACATGCTAGCGTGCTGGAGACAAAAAGTAGAAGCCACAGAAAGACTGTACTACCAGAAAAACATTGGATGATGATCATTTGAGAAATTCAGCAAATGAACGAAGTGCTTGTGCACACAACCACATGTACATGAATCGTGTAGTGCGTGTTGGGCATGGGTGAAGACAGACAGACATGCGGGTAGCGAGATACATGTTTATAGGGTGTCAATGTGCGCTGCTGAGTGAAGCCGCAGTAAAGCGATATTGCTTATTTTGTTTAGATTCCCATAGCAATAATTAGAGCAGCATTAGATTAGAATTGGTAAAAATCAAGCAAAGCAGCAACACATGAAATTCTTTCAAGTGCATGGTGATGAATGTGATAATTAGCATAGATTAGCATACGTAAAAATCAAGATAAGCAGCAACACATACAATTCTTTAAGTGCATGGACATCATCAAGTGCATTGTGATAAATGTGATGGTAGGACATTGTATTATATATTCATGTCACATAGCGTTGGTGTTCAGAGATAAATAGGGGCATGGGGAGGAAAATAAAGAGCATTTGTATGTCGTGTGTGGACAGTGAAAAACAGGCATGTCAGGTTGTCGACCTTTCTATCAAACATGGCGCGTGCAAACGGACTGTGCAGAAGCAGTGGGGACAAGGAATCACATGTGTGGAGTAGGGGTGGATACCAGGCAACCACACGCAAACATCTGCAAACTCTTCATGGACATTGACCTTCAACGAACACTGACCTTGACTGGGATCTGTCTTGAGATGACGTCATCTGTGGCCGTTGCTGCTGGAATCTGCTACCGGGCACGTTATTGGTATCGCTGTGGTCTTGCTAGTACATTATGTCTGCATTTGATTTTGTTTTGATCTGGACTTGCTAATACTATGTGTCCACCAGGAGACATAATAAATGTTGTTTGGTATATACAAGAGTCCTCACGCTCCTTGTGAGACGCCATCTTTAAACCTAGGACCGTCACGGTGTCTATAAATGCACCCGTATTTACCCGTCATGCATCTATAAACAAAACAAGTCACCATTCATTCAGCAGGTAAATGATCATACAGTGTGATTTTTGAATATCGTGATTACTGAATATGAAAATGAGTTGTGGAGCCTGTAGGGAATAACTCTTGGTTGTTTGTAGTTGATTTTGAAAAGAAACTGCTCTTGATATGCAAATGAAGAAAACACCAAGTCATGAAATACACAGACACAACCAAGCTACTGATAGATATGTATATTTTGAAATCTAGACATAAAAACTACAGCGGTACAGATACAGACATTTGCAGCGAATACATGTATTAGAATGACAAGAAGATTAGGATTTTCCATGATTTTTCACTTTGCTACTAACCGGGTTGAACATTTAGTCTACTATGATGTGAAGCAATTTGACTACATTTTAATATGTATCATTGCTTTATTTCATTGATGAAGCGAAAGCCTTCGTCAAACTTATCCTTTACATTGCCATCGGCATAACCGTAAAATAATCGCCTTCTCAACATTTTCACATTCATTTTGCATTTTTTTAAGTCCGTTACATTGTTTTAACACAAATCATGTATTCGTTTCGTTAAAATGTCAATCACAACATCTTACAAGAAAAACCTATGTTTTTGGTTATAGTTGGCACCATTTATTGCTGATTGCCGTGGAAAGTTACGCCGATGAGCGAACGAAAACGTTTCTTGGCCTTTTCTGCTTATTAACGTCATCAAACATAATAATACTGTGAATATCAAGACATGCGTATGATAAGCATATTATAAGCATATTAAAAAGTACTACATACATTCAGTCATCAAAGTCGCTATATCATAACGTAAATTGTTATTAATGACAATCCTAATTTCCTTCAATCCACGATGAATTAGTTGACAATGTTCGTGAATCAAACCGTCATTTTGTACTTTAAGGTTTACAAATTTGTCAAAAAATTAAATATGTACAAGCAGTTAATTCAAATGTTTGTATTGGATAGGAAAAAAATTGTGCATTCCTACACATGAGGATAGTAATTTCCTTAGACCTCCTTGATTTCATATACCTGATCATGACTACAGCTGTCAGAATTATTTAGTCGTAATTGGTCGAAAAAGTTTTAATGTGTATAGTACTGATATACGTTAGCACCGTATCAACAACCATACATTTTTCTGACCCTAATGTATTTTAAATGTGCGAGTTCACCACGACAGTTGTCATTGTCTCCAATAGTCATTATGTTTAATTATATAATATAGCACCATTATGTATATTTTGGGGACATTATCATTAAAATAATTCTCTTGCCAAAATGGCATGCATTGTCACTACCTTCAAAACTTGAAATAAGATGTCGTCTAAATATCATGAAGTTGGCGAACTTAACAGTGCTGACAACATTTCGATTATTTTTTTTTTCAACCTGATTTTAACACTCAGCCGCCAAAGTTGAAAACACCGGTTGCTGTTACACCAGGAGGAGCTTCTTTAGCGACAATTTCTTCGTACAAGCCACCGTTGTAAACACAGACCCTGCAACGACTTATTCTTTGCCTAAGAACGTCTAGCTTGCCCACAACTCTGCGCGGCTCGTTGAATTGTTCCCTCTCACCACCCGGAATTCCGATGAGCCAGAAACTGAGCTGATTGGACGACACGTCACAGACATCGTTGACGCATTCGATAAACGGTGCAGACCGGAAATAGTCCAGGCAACTTCCGGGACTGGTCAGTGGTTGACCTCCTCCTTCTCCGGCAGCGGTGTGCTGGGAAAAGAAAGAGTTCATTTCAATACCACATTTTGATAAGGTATACAAAATGTTGAATGTCAGGCTAGGGCTAAAAAATACTGGAGCATACTGGGTGCAGGTAAAACAAGTGCTTTTACAAAAGCTGACGTTTGCTCGTGTGGTCTTTTTGCACAACAAAATCGTATGCAACAGATGTGTTTTTTCTTTGAAGTGATGATATGACCTTTGATTGAAATCTAGCTCCCCTACATACTCGTATACACTTTGTGCGTTGAGCAGGTATTTCTTATGTCTACATGGTCGAGTCCATGCACTCAGGGCTTACACACAAATGATTATTTCTGTAGGTGTATTTTCATTAGCCGTATTGACTGTCATTACTCACGAAGTGTAAAAGGGTAGTGGTTTCTGAACGGTTTTTAGTATGATCCACACTATCTAAATTATGAGTGGTGCAGGTATACAGGTAAAGGTAACAATTGAGCCCTGAATGTTTATAAAACTTCAGAATATGTTTATAAACTTCAGAATATTTAGTGGCATATCACAACTAAATGGGGTTACATTGCTAGCTATAGCAGGCACATCAGCTAGCTACAGTTATGCTCAACAGATGGCTAACTTACCATGAGGAAGCTGTAGCCAGTCCAGATGCCCCTCCAGCCCTGAGGACAGTCCGGGATGACCGAGGCCCTCTGACTGTGGAAGGCTAGCACCAGGTTGGTCGTGATACAGACTGCACAGCGGCTGATGTACTGCCTGATGTCCGTTCCCTCAGCCGGCACTTTCGGCTGTTGCTCGAACGTGTCGAAGGTGGACAGCCAATACGTCTTGTCGTCCCTGTAGCCGTACTTGCAGACATCATCAGGCTCACAGCTGAAGAATGGTAAGATGCCGAACCTCGGTAGACAGGAGTCCGGACGGCCTGTTGGTAAAGAGTGGAGGGGGAAGGGGGGAGGGGCCGAATGTGCACGGTGTCAGTACTTAGGTCCACTTAACGTCCATCAGTTAACAGTCTCTGTACAGGTCTAGTCAACCCTACAGTACAGGTCTAGTCAACCCTACAGCACTTGCTCAATTTGAGGGGTCAGAATAAATAAAATGCACCATGATACACTTTCCGTTTCAATTGGAAATGTTCCCAAAATGTAACTGAGGGTATGCTTTATGTCTTTCTAAAGAAAATTAAATTATAGCCGTTCAAGTGGTACAAATAATATATTTTTTTCAATTTTTCGAAATCACAAATGTTACTATGAAAGAATTTCCACATCCTCACAGCTATGCTGTGCTACATATTAAATTTCGTTTTGTACCGTTTTCCACTCCTTTTCTTTTCGTGCCAATTTTCCCAAAATATTTTTGTAGCAACTGACAAGGACTTCCACTTCATGGAACTAGGGTAGTCGCTGTAACTTCCATTGAATATGTGGCTACAACAATTTCTGGCTTTGACTTTAACAGGACCATGGTTGTACCTTCTTACCCAACCCTCACTGTAAGCTTCCTACCCATCCCTCCCTGACAAACCAATGAGTACCCATACAGAAATGATATGACAGAGAGTACAGTTCAACAAATAGCTGTAAAATGACAGGCAACATGTTATCCATTGTAGTTAGATTACATCATTAGTTTTAGTGCCATTTTGTTGCATATTGTAGTAAAGTCATTGACATGTATGTATGAAATATCAGTCTGGGTTAACGTGCTGACTTGTGGTGTGTTGAGATGCTGTGCCTCATTTAACGTATCGTGCGCGCTTATAAATCTTAAGTTATATAACGTTAAGTGCAAATATACATATATGTATCTCTTTATATGAAATGCGCATAAAATATGGCGAAATAGAAGAGCAGGTATAATGAAGCGCAAATGCAGCTGCGTTTTGTTAGAATTATACATGTGAAATCAGGGCACGCATGACAATGTGACATGAGATGACGTTACCTTGTACCATGGCGGTCTACCATCCGTCAAACCTACCTCTTCTCTCAAAAGATGTAGTCATTAATGAAGCGGTTGTCATAATAATGTAACAGAGGATAAGTTGATTATCGCTGGTCACTCCATTTTTTATAACAACGCGTCGATATTTCACAATAGAAACATGTAAAAACACTCAGGGAAAAGAGTTGAAATGTAACACATTAATTAACAATAGTTTTAATACAAAGGTCTTAACAATCGTTACAATGTATGTGATGTTAGTACTGATTTGCGTTGATGACACATGGGTATGGCAATGTGTACTGTTGTAATGCAGACCGCACTGGCGCAGCCAGTATGACAAGACGCACGCATGGAGACGACAAAACATTGTGCCAGATGAAAAGAAAAGAAGATGCGATGTCGTTGGAGCGATGCAAATGCAGAACACGCTTCAAGAACAAAGAATGCAAGGTAGTTCAAGTCTAATGAAGTTTTATTACAATGTCGAGAGGCATCCTTGCCATGCAGTCTTTTCTGTCACACAGCTATGACAACAATATCAAATCTCAAAACAGATTACACATTTGAAGGGAATGCCCTCTCTCTCTTAACTACATAATAGCACCATGCTTGGACATTTATTACAACAAAGTAAAGCTATGTGTTTTTTGTTGACGTTACCACCAATATTTGATAGAAATATAGTACATTTATCATCCTTCCCTTCCAGTATATATAAATGGCTAAAGTTTGTTTTCTGTCAGCGTAAAAAATAACACCCCAAAACATACCTATGAATAAATTCCCCCACTACAAAAAGTTAAAGAACTATACATACACCAATTAGATAATACTTATCAATTAGAGCACCGAACGAACGCAAGTTTAAGATCACCCTAAACTAAAACTAAAACTTAACGTTATTTACTGTTGTTATTCTGCCTGCCATAACAAACGATATAGATCTGTTACATGCTTCTTGTCGAGAACATTTGTTAGTTATTTAGCGTCATGTACATAGAGTATAACCTGTTTCACAATCACAGGTTGTATATTCGCTCATACACCTAAAAGTATTCCGACATTTCAGTCAAATACACCTGACATTTCAGTTAGAAACAAGTGAGACGCTGCTGTTTCAGATCATTTTAGTAGCAGCTTTTTGTCCCGAAGGTCAACTGATTCATGATTGTATGTTATCTATTTTTTATTGAATACATTGGTTGGGATGACACCCTCTGGTGCTTCCTCGGCTATAATGTCTTCATACAGATCGCCACCGTAAACGCAGGACCTACAACGGCTTATTCTCTGTCTAAGGACATCGACTGAACCGACTGTTCGTCTGGGCTCGCTAAATTGGTCATCCTCGCCTCCGGGAATTCCAATCAGCCAGAAGCTTAGCTGATTAGACGACACGTCACAGATGTCATTGACGCACTCGATGAAGGGTGCAGCCCGGAAGAAGTCCAGGCAACTTCCGACGCTCGTCAGGGGCTGGCCGCCTCCCTCTCCGGCAGCAGTGTGCTGTAAGAGGCATATTCTCCACATGGTTAGCTCACGAATACACTATACTAAAACTCTGCCAATTTTGTAGTCTAGGTAGAGACCATAGATTGTCCTTTATATGACAATGATAGACACATACGGCTCGGTCAAGTTTTAAGTACATTTCCACACTTTAGAATTTTAGATACTTGACAAGTAAAGAAAAATGTATATTCCTGTTAGCCTTCGATAAACCAAATGTAAGTTCTCATACAGCCTCATACATTTATACAATTACAAGTAAGCTTCATTAATACCTCAGAAGGAAATATGGGGACTTCTACAATGTTTTTGTTTCGAAAGGAACAGGTCACGTACATGTACATGATCCATTGCCAAAAGAAAAATAAATAAGTAAATGTTGATGCAAACTAGGTCCTCTTCATGATCATTCATATTTTACCCATTACATATTGAATTGGTCTGATGTACCACAATGCCTGGATTCTTTTGTATGAATCGAAGAATCTAGTTCTTAACAATTGTTTGCAGTCGCGTTTGAACAAAAAACATTCACTTCGGACAAATGATCTGATGGACACATTGTCAGCAATGGTTCAATGTTGGCATGTACATGTTCAAGTAATTGCAGAATTATTTTGGTCCATTGTTGTATCCAGAACGGTGTCAATCTAGTACTATGCATGAATGCGTTAGTATCAGGTTCGGTTCTGGATACGCGTGCCTGAGTGTAGATTTGCCCCAGGCACGGTTCTGGATACAAGTGGACTATTCTGCAGTTGGTTCTGGATAAGGCAGCCATGCAGCTATTCCTGGCGAACAATGTAAGAGAACAACTTACCATAAGGAAGCTATACCCGACCCAAAGCGATCTCCAGCCGATTGGACAGTCCGGAATGACTGCCGCTCGCTGGCTGTGCACGGCCATCGTCAGATCCTTGGTCAAACAAACTGCGCAGCGACTGATGAACGGCCTGATGTCCGTACCCGAGACAGGCACCGCGGGATGCTGGGACTCGTTCTCTATCGTGGACAGCCAATACGTCTTGTCGTCCCTGTAGCCGTACTTGCAGACATCGTCAGGCTCGCAGCTAAAGAATGGCAGGATGCCGAACCTCGGTAGACACGAATCTGGTTGCCCTGTTGGGTTTGGGGGGAAAAACGTGCACAAAGCAGATGGCAACGGTGTCAGTAGTCTATAGAATGCACATTCTACTACTAGCCACTACAGTGACTCTTACAAGTGCATCTCAGAAACCAAGACTGTGAAGCTTAAAATATAAACAGGCGTGCTGCCGTGAAAATAATTTCATGCAGGTTTCTAAGGTTTTGTTTCATGCATTAGTCTTAGAACAGGTTTTATTACACAAGAGATAACTTACATGCAAACGACTACGAGAAAGATCACATGCATGAAAACATTTGCTAATATTGGATTATTTTGGATTGGTTTTAAACAAAACATTACCAAGACTATCATAAGAAATGCAAAACATGCACTTTTGAAAACATTCAATATTGTGAAGGCGTGAATTTATGTAGTGATCAGAGTGTTGTGAAGCTGTGTTTTTTTTTTTTTGTTATGTGCATCTCATATAAACCTTAGCTCAGAATCGGCCATGCGGATGCAAGTGCAGTTGCAACAGAACCGTGGTACACATACCGCTCACCATGGATAATCTAAGGGTAACAACGTGCACGGAAATATACTACTGTACGGTCAGTCTGTTCCTTTGTACAATAAGTTACAACAGAGAATTTATTAGATACTTAAAAAAATAAAAACAGCAATAGTTAGTAACTCATCGCAAGTATTGCCTCATCTAGAATGTAAATCAACGCTGTAATGCAAGATAAGCGCATGTAATACAGAACAGCAGTTTTTGGACTTAATACGCAAGATAATGGTCGCAATAAGTAAGGTTATTTATCATACATGTAAATATATAATCTGTTATTTGGAACACCATTGTCAGCAATATTTGAATAGATGCTGTTGACGCGTAAGTACAATGCAATAAGTACTGCCATTTAAAATGTGTTGTGTTATGTTTCAGTGAGATATATGGTGCAAGATGGGAAAAAAATTGACGCTGTGCGATGAAATGATGGGCTGCAACTTAACGCTTTGACACAAGATAAGCCGCTGAAAACGCATGCGCCAGTGACAACAAACCATTCTTGTCTGTGCGTGGCCATCTTCCAGTTCATCATTCCGTGAAATGTTGGCGTGTATGTGGCAGTTGTGGTGGTGACGTGTGCCCAAAGTACTGACCTAATACCAACAAGTCTGGATGTGCATTGAACAAAACATTGACGTGTATACGTGTATTATGGTGAATTATCTTACATGTATTGGTGGCGTGCCGCAATTCGCAAAGCTGTGTGAAAACCACTGGATGAAACATGGACATACTATTTGCATGTCAAACGTAACAAGGAATGCAATGGATTTATTTAGCAATAAACAAGATTTACACATTTATTCTGACATTAATACAAATAGCACCAAGTTGTTTCTTTGTCCACTAATTTCTAAGTATCAATTACAACCTTAAAATAGTTGATGTCATGTAATTCAATATACCAAAATACAGGTATCTATTAATAAACCGAAACGAATACGCAGCATCTTATGTTCTTTTTCCTCTGATGATGCATTTATCTTATCACTGTTAGTCTTCAATTGTTGTCTACAATTAGTAAAATGACATATAATCTTACAGATGAGAAGCAGAACTACACTAACTACGATAAGCAGTATTACACTGATCAAACTCAGAGTATTCTTGTCCAACAACTTCGTCGATGAGACCACCTAGGGTTTTTCTCTGAAAGACAACTTACTATGTTACTTGCTGCCATTGGCAGTATTTTATCTTGAAACTACACCATCTTGCAATCACAATTGTTATACTTTATTACTACCGTTTACTGTTGCCTTTTTGTGCAGAAGATATAGTGCTACACATTGAAGCCACCGGCCCCGGTAGCTATGACACCTGGAGGTGCTTCTAGGGCTACTATTGTTTCGTACAGATCACTTGCATATTCGCACACCCTGCATCTACTAATTCTTTGACGAAGGACGTCAACCTTGCCGACAACACGCCTGGGCTGAGTGAACTGGTCGTCGTCTCCTCCAGGGATTCCTATCAGCCAGAAACTGAGCTGATTGGCTGAGACGTCACAGATGTCACTGACGCATTCGATGAACGGTGCCGACCGGAAGTACTCCATGCAGCTTCCGGGGCTGGAAAACTGCTGCCCGCCTCCCTCTCCGGATGCGGTGTGCTACAGGAGAGGAACCTCACCGTGGTTAGAAGATGCAATGAAAGATCTTTTTTACTGTATTGCTATACCTTCAATTTAAATTAAAACAAAAACATTAAAATCTCTTATAAAGTCTTCTTGGCTTACTTACATATAATACAATAATAGATATCTAGGTAGACTTGTGGAACTCAAAAGGAACACTGCAACACAACAGCATAGCCTGTACTCACCATTACGAAGCTGTAACCGATCCAAAGACTACGCCACCCGATGGGGCAGTCTGGAGTCACGGCTGACCGTTGACTGTGCACAGCCATAACAAGGTCTTTGGTCAAGCAAACTGCGCACCGACTTATGAACGGCTTTATGTCAGTTCCCGATATGGGCACAGGCGGCTGTTGCCCGGCATTATCGATTGTGGAAAGCCAGTAAGTCTTGTCGTCTCTGTAGCCATACTTGCACTGATCATCCGGCTCGCAGCTAAAGAACGGCAGAATGCCGAACCTTGGGATACAGGAATCCGCTTTGCCTGGTCAGAGAGAACATTCCTCAGTCGAGGGTTAGCCACTGAACGAAGAGTCGCAAAAAGGCAACTCTTGGACCGGTCTTTCTATAAACAAATTTTGCCGGATCCCTGAATTGAAAAAGGCTCCAAATTTAGATACATGATACGAGCAGCTGGGTATCACAAGGAAAGAAAGGGGAATGCACAGTCAATGATAGGGAAGCATTAGACTTTCATTGATTAACAATTTCACCGAAAAGGGCGAGCAATTTGGTGAATCAAAATTTACTCATTATGGTGAGAAGATTACCCAGTCAAGAAAACAACATGACGATATTTTTATTCTATGTTTGCAGCTTATGTTTGATGTCCAATATACACAATTTCACATACTTTGTTCCAAATGTCAGGAAATAATTTCATGTTATAGGCAGTATGTAGCGATCGGAAATGGTTGATTTTTAATCTACATTTTTATGTATTTGCATCAAAAATTGGCTCCGCTTCAGGAAAGTCCAAACAGAATTAGATACCTTTCCAGCATGAAATATTGCCAAACGACTACAACATGTACTGCTATTTGAAGTGAAACTAGTTACAAGAATTAGATTCACACAAACCAGTCAAGCATGAACGTGCAATACTAATTTAAAAAAAAAATATCTACATTTGATAATTAGCAGGCAGTGAAATGAGATGAAATGAGGCATTCTATACTAAAACACTAACAGATAGGTTTATGGCACATGCATATAAAATGTGCAACATCGATGTTTCCCGTTTAACTGACTTTGTGTGGTGCACAGCCATGGCCCCAAAACATTGCTGGTAATTTTCCAAGCCAAGCGGTTGACATGTAATCCATACTTCTAATCGTAAGACATTCAGACAAACCAAATTGTACCGGCATCTGGACCACAAAAGAAAATTGTGAGAAACAAAGAATTACACACGCTCCCTCGTTCTCCCCTCAGAAACATGCAAGAGCGTACCACACTAGGGACAACTAGCCTACAACATGTATCTACGTAATGCGCGGAAAGACAGCGGGGTTCTATTCTTTCTACTCCAGGAATAAGGCTGCTGTTGACGCTTGCGTACCACATCGGCTCCACGATTCAACTAGAAATGTCAAAGGCAGCAACTCGTTTTGAGGGCCCCCGTCGTCGGTGTTATATCACAATTACCCAATTATCCGTTAATGTTTCTGTTTCGTCATATCAGTCGTAACAATACGGTACATCACACAATACACTTTACTGGTTTAAACGGTTGTATTGGCGATCACATCACATTTATAGACACCAATACATGTCAGCCTGCATCAATAAGACAAATTATGAAACTAGAAAAGCAATTTTTGTACGCTTTGATTTCGGTATTGAGTACAACAAGGCAGCTGCATTACATACGCATGTGGTTAAAATATATGAACAGTTTGTAAGTACAACATTTCAAGTCAAAGCACTGTGCTACTAAATTTGATACATATTCATTACACTACTTTTATAACAGGTGTACTTTTAACACTTTAATACATCGTGCAATGTTTACATGAAATATTTTCCAGCATACACGGCAAGGCTTTGATCAACCTTTTTAGTATTACTTAACACTATGATTTGATCATTAGCTAATGTTAATCAAAACTACCGGAATCCTTATCTAAAACATAACGAGCTAACTTTACCTTTCCTATTTTAAGTAACTCGAACAAAATTACAACATAGATAGCACCATGATAATGTTGACACCTCTTTAGGCCTTCACCAGACAGTTCAGGTTGATAGTAACAAGCTTTCTCAACTTTGTTTCTTTCATATGCACAGTTATAATGCATAAACTGCCGAACGATAGACAGTACATCTAGTACAATATACAATGAATCCCCCCATTTTACAGATTTTTTTCTAAGGCAGCAAATCGATTGTACTTTGTACAATCCGGCTTTGTTAATATAAAGCAAAAAGGGAATCAAGGCCAAGAAAGACGAAGGTCGTGATCATTGAAAAGCCGTTCTACTTTTATCTAGAAAAACCTTCCTCCTCCCGTACGTGCTCCTGCTAATATGGATTCGTACAGGCCTCCACTGTAGACACAAACTCTGCAGCGACTAATTCGACTTCTTAAAAGATCTAAACCTCCCACGGCCCTTTCCGGTTGATTGAACTGATCGTCTTCCCCACCGGGGATACCGATCAACCAGAAACTCAGTTCGTTGGCTGAAACGTCACAGATGTCTCCCACGCACTCGATGAAAGGTGCAGAACGGAAGAAGTCCAGGCAACTTCCGGGGCTCGTCAACGGCTGACCACCTCCCTCTCCGGCAGCGGTGTGCTAGGCACAAGGAGATCCTCCAGCGTTAAATCTCACCTCATAGTCAAGCACAAGGCAATTAATAAATCTATACTTTAACTTAATATTCTAGATTCGCACTGTTGGGCAAATTAAAGCTTATCTGTTCAGCTGAAATTAATGGTAATTTTCAGTGTTGGAACAAAGTTTAAACTCTACGACTATAGATTCCGTTGTTAAATCTCACCTCATAGCCAAGCACAAGGCAATTTGATAAATCTATACTTTATACTCTAGATTGGCACTGTTGTGCAAATTAAAGCTCATCTATGATCTGTTCGGCTGAAATTCATGGTGAATTTTCGTGTTGTAACAAAGTTTAAACTCTATTCATTCTCTATAGATTCTGTAGACTACTATCCATGCTTCAGCCAACTAATCCATGTTAAAAGTTACTCATGCTCAAAACAATTGAAAAGACCGCGAACCTTGCTCAAGAGACTTGTAGAAATACTTGAGCAAAGTGCATTACTTTGTCCTGAATTGTATCAACACATATAAAGTAACAACAGGTATACTAGAAGTCTTTGGAGACCGAAACAGTTAAAGCGTCAATATAGTGTAACCCTAAATGAAAACCTTGCTCAAGTATTTGTAGAAGGCTCTTGAGCAAGGTTCGCGGTCTTTTCATTGAGGGTTACACTATATTGATACTTTAACTGTTTCGGTTGTTTTGTTACAGTTCAGGACAAAGTAATGCAACAGAGCAATATGCTTTCCCCCTAGAAGAACTTACCATAAGGAAGCTGTATCCGACCCAAATGCTTCTCCAACCGACGGGACATTCTGGGATCTGGGCGTCTCTTTGGCTATGTACAGCGATTACCAGGCTGGTTGTGAGACACACGGCACACCTACTAATGAAGGGTCTGATAGCAGTGCCTGAGATAGGTTGTGGGGGCTGTCCAGCCGCTGTGTCAAAGGTAGATAGCCAGTACGTCTTGTCGTCCCTGTAGCCGTACTTGCAGACATCGTCAGGCTCACAGCTAAAGAAGGGCAGGATGGCGAATCTCGGCATACAGGAATCCGGTTTTCCTATTCCGGGAAGCGACATTCTCAATTCAAGGTCCTCTGGAGAAAATCATCTATTCTCGTGTGCCCGACACATCGTGAATGCTCCATGTCAATAAAAAAGCAACTCAACCGTCGACAACTCAACCGTCTAACTAAATACACTACATTGAAAGGAAAAACTCAAACTTCACAGGATGCAAAACGCCTCATTCAGTAACATGTAACGCTCATGAACACATCGAATAAAAAAGCAATGTGCCTTCTTCGATTTTGTAAAGGTTTCACACATATATAACTCGCAAAACACAAATGTTGTGTCGTTGTGACAGGCATCAGCCACGTTGTGATGGTTTTGTTGAAAAGAAAATGGAGTGGGCCAATTAACAATTTGGAAGGACACATTGCTTTTTCTTCAAGACCATCATGCCTTGATAATGTTTAACACTTAGACAAGCATGCAAAAAAGTAGTCAGTTATGTCACTATACGTCATCAAACGAATAGAAAAAATATCCTAATTCCGTCATTGTCAGTCATGTCAAGTCAGTTGAGGGCCCGACCCGCTGCCATTATTTGTTTTCTTCCGAGTTTGCCACTTCCGGTTTAACAGACAGAAGAGGTGTTATTTAGATGGTTGAGTAATATGATGAGGAAGTTCCTTATGAATCGCAATAAAATGCTCCGATGGTGAGTAGAAATGTAAAAATTAACGCTGCGAGTTATGACTGTATAGCCACTGTGAAAGCAATTGAAGTGCCTTAACATCAGAATAAGAGGGATTCATCTTATCAAAGCATTGCTTCAAGAGTTGTATGCGTGCATTAGCATAGTGTTGTGAGAATAAGATCTGTAGTACTTTGCATAGTATTGTTTGCATCTATAATGTGAGAAAACGTGACTGAGGTGTAATGTTATTTTACCGCAGTGAAAACGCATTGATATGAGAATTCCTGATGAAGTGAAAACTGCTGTTGGTGGTTGCGTTCCGAACGGTTTGGGTCGCAAGGTCTGGGATAAGATTGTCAACGCGAACGGCTACCAGACCGCGCCACACTGCGGTCTTCTGTAAGTTTTGGCGCTGCCGCTTTGCACGCACATCACAAAACGACAGTGCAGCAACGTAAGCGTCAGATTATTTCTTTGCAAACGTCACCTTTGCTGGTAGACTTATCGGAGAGTTCGCACCGCTGCTGAGCCTGTTGACACTCTCAGTAGTGAACAGCTCTTTCGGCTTAGGTAAAACGGCACGACAGAGGACCTCCTGTGATAGGTGAAGAGCCTACTGCTGTTACGCAGAATTGAAAAAATGTTATCATCAACGGGAAGGATCACCATTACTTTGACGAAAATGGTGTGCGCTGTTGGTGTACGTGGAATATTCGCAAAATTTGTAACGATTACCTCAGTATCTGAAGTAAAAAAACAATACCTTCAAAATGTGACCTATGTTCATGAGGAGGAGATGTGAGGGGTCAGCTGGACAACATTACCTTCACTTATCTCGGTATATTTTTGTGTTTTAAATTGCTGTGTTGATGTATGGTGGTGCTGGAGTGCTACGTGCCAAAACTGAATGAATCTCCGATAGAATGAATACCTAAATCTTGATCGTGTGCTCTCTCATTGCCTTCCACATGAAGCAGACTGTATCATCCCAGACCTTGGTCATATTTTCGGGGCAGTTGGGAATCTGGTCCGTTTGGCTGTGGCGGGTCAGCAAATCGAACCCTCCTTGTCCAACAGGTCCGGGCAGTCCGTCCAAACCTATGCAGTAGAGTGAATGCGTATTACTACCATACCTAAATCTTGATCGTGCGCTCTCTCGTTTCCTTCGACATGAAGTAAACTGTAGCCCTCCCACAATTTCGTCATGTTTTCAGGGCAGTCCGGAACCACGTCTAACTGGCTATGTCTTGTGAGAAGATTGAATCCACCCGGGCGTCCCTGGGGACCTGTCCTTCCAGCGAGTCCTGCAAGGACAAAACCTCCTTGTTACTTTTTTGTTCATTTCAGCCTCTCCGATTCTCGAATAATCTCCAAACGTCACATTTTGGAGGATATTCCAAAAAATGAAATTGCAGTCAAATACCATGCCTTCTCCAGAAAAAAGTTCATTCTGAAGAAGCACAATATTGTACACAGATGGTTTTCTTAAATTTGTTCATGTTTACGTTAAAGTTTGAAGAATATTCTTCAGGAATCGCTGAAGGACAGAGTAAATGTAATAGCCGATAGTGTGGGAGGCACAACAGCTCCATGATGAAGCCCTCTGATATGATGTAGAAGAACCCTTTCCCAAGATGGCGATACTTTCAGATACACTTGCTTGATAGTTTGTGGAAGTTTCCTGTTCCAATAGCTGAAAAGTTCTTACTTACCGTATCAAAAGAATATTGTTTGGTTTGTTAAAGTGTTAACAGAATGCGAAGTTCTTCCAAAAGTATATTCTGTAATAACTGAAACTTTAAAAGATGCAATCTCATCTCGCCATCTTGGTAGTAGTGTTCTCTACACCACATCTACACACAGTGGTGGTTAGTTTGCCACTACTATAAATAATCAATTCAACACGATTCAAGATCATCAACACAAGCCGTTGTTATTTTACACATTTCTATGAATGACAATCAATTTAACTTGCCCAATTTTCATTAGATTGTTTTACATGCATGTTGCTCTGTACAGTCATGCATTAAATGCAATTGTTCATAAATATACAGTAACATTTTCTAACACAAAGTACTTGCACGCGTTTTCATTAAAAAAATACAATCTGCATTCGTGCAAAACCACATCATTGTAACAAGGGAATATATCTAATGCTATGTAAAATGGTGCCAACATTGCCACCATGGGAAACACTTACCAGGCAAGCCCCTGGCGCCAGGCAGGCCGGGCAGACCGGGGGGTCCTGCGTCACCAGGTATACCCTGTCCGGGTGGACCTGAGCAGGGTCAATACTTCAGTTAGTACGTTAACCAATAAACAGTATAACAGAATCTGCTACAATTGTGTAATTGCTTTAAACTAAAGAATCGGAAACCAATTAATCAAATAAAAGAACTCACATATCATAGAACAAGTCTTCCATTGCTTTAAAAAAGAAGTCAAATCCAACAGAACTATTACCATATGTTGGACGTAGTCTCTGATAACATTGTATTTTCTTTTTCATACATTTTTTTGTGCTGGCAAAATGTATAAATGCAATAATGAATAAAGATTGTCAATATGTAATGTTTTTTAAACGTCAATGAGAAACTTTGACCACAGCTGTCCTCGCATGTGACCTATATTTGTTAGACATGATATGCTTACCATATAAACGTTGTTACAACTCTCTAAGAATAGATGCATAGATAAGCAGAACCGATATAGATAAGGCAGCCTACTAACCAGTAGGTCCTGCGGGCCCAGGGGGTCCTAGTACACCTGGCTCTCCCTTCAGTCCAACACCGGGAGGTCCTGCAAGCAAAACATTATGAGTTCCAAAACTTATAACCTAAGTCAGTGTACTGTTTTACAACTTGTGACACGTCATCGCCAACGAGTAGAAATCGAATCCTTTTTACGCTTTAGGTTGTACATTCATGAACTTCACTTTTGATTATATCTACCATACTAATACATACACCGACAAGTACAATGACATGTCCCTAGCCATGTCTCTGTTTGTGTCTATTCTAAATAAACCCATTCTACACGATTGCAATAGCTCAATTGGTAGAGTGCTCGCTTTGTAACCGGGAGGTCGTGAGTTCAAACCCCGACCGGGTCATACCAAAGACTTTAAAAATGGTACACACTTCTTTCTCTGCTTAGCACTTGAGGCACATATGAGAAAGAGTGTGGGAAGGTCAAACACACAGCACTACCAGCGGACTAGCCCCCTGCTGTATTGCATGGCACAACTGTGTGTCGCTAGGAAATGGAGATGGGCACCACCCCTATGCTCGGGCAAGAGCACGGGAGACCTTCCTTCATTCTACACATCAAAGGGGACGTTTCGCCAGTTAGTGCAGACATAATTTTATGAGTTCATGTACAGACCTGGGGGTCCCTGAGGTCCGCCTGCGCCTGGTTCTCCCTTCAATCCAACTCCGGGAAGTCCTGTTTACATATACATCGGCAGGGATAGAATCGGCATGTTAGAACTCTCCAAAAACAAATCGCAAAAAATGACCGTTATCTTGTTTTATTTTTGACTCCATTTTGACTTTTTGAAAATTTTGACACTAATCTAATCGAAAGACGTCCTCTCACCACCACCATTCAAATCATTATTGGAGAAAAATTCACAAAATTCACAAATTCTATCTATCGTTTGTGAAATTATCTATCATTGGTGTACAATCTGGTTCAGTGGCGAATGGATGCCAATGGGACGTAGGACGTGTGTGCTGTGAAGTGCGTTTTTCTCATAGCAACTTTACGAGCTATGACGTGTGCTTTTATACTTTGATGTGATGGTAATGATATATTGTGCTTGAAGCTTGACGTTTTTGGAAGAGTGATGTCATATGTCGCCTTATTGTCATCACAGACATTACATGGGCTGACTTACAACTGTTGAACGGTTTTGCCAAGTGTTTGTGTGTCCTTTCTAAGCATCTAGATCTAGGACACCATCGAGTGTGCCTCGGAAGATTTAATTAAGTCTTTAGTACGTAACAACAGTCTGTAATTAATGTGTATTCGTAGTCTACTAAGTGATAAAACGTCTCAGCTATGTATGTAGCTTATCAAGTAATAGAACACCATAAGTAGGTTTTTGTGTATGTAGAAAGTAATCAAATGTCAGGTGTAGTTTAGCCGGTAATACAACGTCACACGTGTGTTTGTATTTGAGTGTAGCTGGAAGCAGATGCCATGCAGCAGGTGCACTTACCTGGAGGACCAGGTGGGCCCACGGGACCAAGGGGACCTGCAGGGCCAGGTGGTCCCGGGATTTCGGGCGCTGTTGGTGGAATGGCATGGCGGCATTAACCAAAAAGTGGAATGAGGTGAAGCATCTTTACGAACGTACGTGCACGTTAGTGTTACCTGGAGTTCCAGGAGGACCAAGAGGTCCTGGCGGCCCAGGGGGACCGACAGTCCCAGGGCCATCTGTTCTGCCTGGTGCAAAGTTAATGGAGACTCTGTTAGTATAAAATCAAGGTCAGATACACTTCATTGTTAACACATACAAAACAATAGTCTGCTTTTCTCATGCTTAAGCATACAGGCCTGGGAATAATTCAACTGATATTGATTAAACAATCCGTGTTCTGAGCTACAATAAAATAAAAAGGATTAGACAATGCTACATCTAGATTATAGCGACATGTACAATGCTACAGAATTGTTTGCCATATAAAAGCTAACAGAGGAGAATTATTTCATTCCAGAGCACTGTTAGATCTACAATGTTAAAAGAATTATATCTAGGTTCTCTGTTAATACGAACTGTATTAGTGGCCAAATATCAACATTTTACTTCAAAAGATTACCTAATCCGCAAACCTGGAAACACAATACTGTTCATAATGGTTACTGAAACGAAGCATTGTCAATTACTGGTACCCATGTAGCACTTACATATGCATAATTACAAGCCTACTCCTATTGTGGCAATCCTGGCTATACCACGACATGCATTTATACTTTAAACAAATCTTCGAAGGACAGGCTCTATGATGTAACTATTAGCCAGGATAACATAATACTGCATTGCTTTACATTCCACGGTTCTACAAGACCGACAGTCTACCTGGTGCTCCTGGCGGTCCAGTGGGACCAGGTGGGCCGAGAGGACCGGGTGGTCCCTGTGTGCCAATTCCAGGTGGACCTGTTACAGAAAGACACGTGTTAGAGAATGAAATGGGACTAGCTGAAAAACACCGAACCCCATATTTGTTCAGCCATTCATTACACGTCACTCACAAAGTAGATTCTATTAGAAGATGACACCATTAATGCTTAGAGCACAATTCACAGCTGCAGTTTCCAGAAAATAAAAGTATGATATGAAGACAACAAACAAACAAAAACGTTTAAAAAATAATCATCAGTACTATCTGTATATATTGTTGACACGAATTCTTTTTTGTTCTTCGTTCATGCAGCAACGTAATAGCACGACCGGGCAGACAAAGGTCTTCAGTATAGAGCACCTTTGTGTCATGTATCGGTACGTACGTTGGTTTGTCGATCGGGTACATTAAAGTAAACTATCCATTTCAGTGATGTCTACTGTCTGTGCGATCAAAAAATTTGCAAGAGTTATCAAACTTCACAATCGAATACTTATCAACACCAACAACATGTCAGAAGAATACTTACCGCTGGGTCCGGGAGGTCCGGCGGTTCCGGGGAATCCTGGTGGTCCGGCCTCACCCTTCACACCTACACCGGGGGGTCCTGATAAACCACGACAAATGGCGGGTTAACAGAAAAAAACTGTTCGAACCCATAGTACCATCAAGAACTCACTCACTGCGACTGCATGCTCAAAACTGTGTGTGAAAAAAAAACTTCCAGCAAATAAACAACATGGTTGATCCTCTCAGCGGTGCTTGGACTGCTGCGTTTGCTCTGAAACGTATTTGTAAGCCATTTGTCCTTATTACGTATACACCGGTACATGAACCTAGATCCGATAAAAGCAAGTTCTACACATGACCCAGACTGTAAAGTGCAACTTTAAAATACTTCTTACGAGCTCTGTGTGTATACTGCCGTTTGCATGTAGCAAGTTGAACTATAATCACTAACGATAAAGCAATACGAAGCCAAGCAAATTTACTGCTTATACTATTCCGTACATGTTTCTGCATGTAATAATAATAGTGCTGTAACCATACCTGCAGGTCCGCCGGGTCCAGGGGGTCCGGGTGGTCCCAACTGTCCGATTCCTGGAGGTCCTGTTAGTTGGAATTGACAAACGGTTCATCTTTCAGATGGCGTAACATACACGATATAACCCATTATGATTTGTTACGGAAAAGGGAAACGAAGGCAACAGTTAATAACTAAAAAAAAAGAACAAGAACTTGAAAGACAAAGACGGGGGTAAAATAAAACAAAACAAGATTAAAAAAAGGACAACAGTAATCATCTACTAGGAACTAATGTTAGCGACATAACTTATGTTAATGTCTCAAGCAAGACATCTAAAACAGGATTGTTCATTAAGTAAACACTATTTCCTTTTTTAGTTGTGTCCAAGAAAAGAAAAAGTCCCAAGCTTGTTGTTACAAGCATAGGACTGTTACCAATTCATAATTCCCCTCGTCCGGTCGGGCGCTCTGGTGGCGGCTGGTACCAACGAGACTTTGAAAAGGTGCATGGCAATTTAAACGGAATGGCTTTTATTGCAGAATGATTCCTGGTCTGTGGGGTGGTAAAAGGATAAGCTAGGAAGTGGAAGGAAAGGAGTGGCTGGTGCAGGAAAGGGCAAGTGTGGGCAGGTGTTCAGGGTGAGAAGATGACCAGGTCGCAAGATTTCTGTCTTTTACTTTATTCGTTTCGAAATTCCGACAACAAATATCATGAAATAATCTGGTAGTAGAATGGTCGTTTACGGAGGTGACTTTGAATAGATTCCTTAAAAAAAACTTGCACATGGAATATCAGTCTACAGGTCAACATTACGTTAATACATACTGTCAAGTAGGTCTGTCTTCGTAAAATGATATATAGAACATTAGAGCGGAAACAGACATGGTTAGGTTACATGTGAGTGAATGTAGAAGGCGTAAAAGAGAAATAAATGTTCGCAAATGACAGAAAAATTCAATGGATCTTATGATTGCAGTGATATGGACATTATCGGTGAAAGCTGGAAATGCAAGTTCCTCTATATAGTACTCAAGTGATACATTTCTACTGTGTTTTTACATGCAACATAAGAGCGAGAAAAAATAATGAAAAAAAACTTCCAGTGAGAGGCGTTTGTTTGGAGAGGCACGTACTTAGTAGTTTGCTTGCTATTTGTGGATTTGGGTTCGCAGAACTAAAATTGATCGAGTTCAAAATGAACGAGCCCTTAAATATTCCAATGATAAAAGAGAAGCATGTTCAATAACATTATCCAGAGACACTAGTGTGACGATGAAACTGAAGCAGCATTTTTGTAATGCCATACGTGCAGTACAGGCGAAATTTTTCTATGACAAGGACTGAACTTGCATCTCCGTAACTTCCACCAGCGGACAGATGCCTACCTCTGGGGCCCCTTTGTCCAGGTTCCCCTGGCTCTCCCGGCTGGCCAATGTCTCCCTTCGCTCCAATGCCCGGTTCACCTAAATACCGAAATATTCAAGGGTAATGTAACAACCTGGCGGTCCAGGGGGGCCACCAGGCCCTCGGTCTCCTGGAGGGCCAGCAGGTCCTGGTGCTGTAGTTCCATCCCCTGTCGAAACACTTATCTATAAGCTGATGACAGTTAGACATACACATCACCGGAGATAAAGGCGGATGCTATCCGGAATGTTTAACCTTATTTTATAAAGTGTCGTAGTGAATGATTCATTTTAATTCTTATATAACCCTTAGAAGTTTATAAGGCTCCTTTGGAATTATGTCATTCACCCTGTTACAGATACCGATGACCTTTGAAGAACAACTGCATACAGGAGCTAAAATTACGCAGTCTAGTCATTTGTTTCACGCCGGCGACTTGCAGCTATCATAAGGGAATAAATGGCATCTTAAGCCCTGTCTTATGTGTCACCTGGTGAACCAGGTGGTCCCTGTGGTCCTGGGCCGCCGATGGGGCCTGGGTCACCCTTCACTCCGAGTCCTGGCGGTCCTGTAAAGACAAGCATCATTAAATCACAGAGAAGCAAGAAGTGGAATTTACTTGACGGACAACAGTGCTAGTGCCAGCTTGATCATGTGTATGCATACTATTTCTTTGTATTCTGTATTCTACTATTTCTGTACATAACAATGTGGGTATGAATGTACAATAAAGATCTAATTATTCATTAAATCACGTCACTAAAAATTTTCAGACACTATTAACACTACTAAGTTGCCAGTGAAACCGTCTTCAAGTACTACACCACAATCACTTTAGCACATCTCTCCCCGATACTACACCACTACACAAAATTACTTTGCTGGCGACTCAAGGATTCCCAAGGCTCGCAAAATATTCTGTGTTATTTTGGTGCCGTCCTATTAGAAGTTCATAATAGAGGGTCTTGAGTACAAAAGATAAAGCACTAAAGTAGTAGAGAATGGAACAAGACATTGGACGTGATACCGTTGCATGAGATTTTGTCCAGTTTACTGTAGATGTCGATGAAGATGTGAAGAAAAAAATCAGAAATGTGTGGTTACCTGGTGGTCCTCCGGGTCCAGGTGGGCCTTGTGGCCCCGGCCGGCCAATTCCTGGTGGTCCTGTTATTTTCAACATTAATTTTTTAAAATGTTTTTATTCAAAACATAAGGGACGGCAAAGCAGTGTTAGAACACCCCTGCCTGTTGTCGTCACAAACAATAGGGATATCATTAACGTTCAGAAACCAGCCACATTACATTGCAAAGTATTCCAATTGCCAAGTTTCAAAAAACAATGATCATGATATTAGCTTGACCCTAGCTACAATGTACAACTATTCTTTTTCTTTCTATCCAGGATTTAGTACGTATAATAATATACTTCTGCCAGATATTGAATGTGGGGAAATGGATTTCATTTCTGGAAAGATGCATACATGGTTACGTCTTCAGGCGTATCGAACAATTTTAGATCTATACTTCGCATGCAATATACTACCTTCAAGGAGCTTGTTTGTGCTTTCAAATGATGATGCACTTAACACGTTGCAAAGACACAACACAAATGCTCACCAGGTGGTCCATCGGGTCCACCAGGTCCTGAAAGAGATTTAAAAAATGTGTAAGTATCCTTCCTAACTGTTCGTTTTCGAATTATGAATATTGTGACGACCGTCATTCATCTAAATCTAGTTGTCCTCATATGTTTGCCATAAAGCGTAGGAAGATCACAGCCATTACACACACTTTATTATTTCCTATTTAATAGAAATTAAGAACATGAATGGCATTAATAATTGGACTCAACAGCAGGCAGTAGTAATTCGACAGATAGTATCTTATTTACCTGGTATTCATCACATTACTGAAATCTGAAAATATTTGAAATTAATGTCCCACTAGGACTCTTTAAGTGAACATGTTTTAACATGAGTATTTAAATGGGCTATAATAGGGTATGAATTCAACAAACCTTTTTTGTACATGGGGATTTAAGCTTCAGTCGACAATAATGTCAAGAAACTTCATCTGTGATATCTAGGGCAGTCTAAAGACCTGTTGTGTCTAAGTGATTTAGACATTTTTTTAGTGACTGTTCTTTGTGATTGGTCCGTGTATTTTGGGGATATGGCTGTAAAAGTTGTTAAAGTAGCTGTGTATATATATGTACTTCTACCTGTACTTGTTTTCACGATTTGAATAAACAGTGTTGTTAAAAAATAAAAATAATAAAAAAATAAAAAAATCTTATTTACCTGGGGGTCCTCCAGGGCCGGGTGGTCCATCTTGTCCGGGCGCCCCCGGGGGTCCAGGGTCTCCGCGACCACCTGGACCATCTGTACACAAGCACGCACCGTTAATTCAACAATGGGTACAACAGTTTCAACTTTCAACCACATCATAGGAAGAAAAACACTTTAGATTATCATCAGCGTTGATGATCAGACATTTAAACTTAAGTCTTTATTCACATGATAACTGAACGTCGGTATGGCAAACATATAATTACTATGTAATATTCAACGTGCGACTAAAGTCACGGTAACCGTTATTGTAATAGCTGATTAAATTAACACGTCATTATTATTCCTCATTCATATATATGAAATAAGAAATAACAGTCAATATGTATATATAGACTTAACAAGCATCGCAGCAACGCATTTGTCTATATTCACCACATACAGGATCTGTCAATAATAACGTGACGCGTCTTCTACTCGCCTGTTATCTTATCACTGTACTGTACCATTGTACTGAAATGTCATGAAGCATAACAATGAAAATTGCGATGTTTTGCATGGAGGTGCGATGCACTTGGCCCCCCGTCATAGGACTTACCAATAACATGTCAGGCGAGCAGTGGAGTAGGCAAAGCTCAAAAACAGAGAACACATGTAGAGTACCTGGTGCTTATGACACGAAAAACATGGAAAACATGATAATCGAAACAACGCCTGATAGCAGTCCGTGGGTTTTCCTTTGTCAGGTGAATTTTGCAAGAAATTTCTATGCATTATAATTATACTTTGAGTGGGTCGCAAAGTTGAAATACAGAGTTGCATTGGTGGTTGGTACAAACTTTGGACTGTTGGCGGGCGTCGTATCACAACATACGATGAAGGATAAGCAGGCATTACAAAATAGGACCTTGAAATGACATCATGGATATAACGTGAACACTCCAATTTGAGCAGTTAGAACACGCATTTGACACAACTTTGGCAAAATATCACTTAGAATGAGATTTGGAGTGACACTATACATGTCCAACCAAAAAGCTGTTTTGATGAGATACTGCATGACAATTACTTCTTTTCTCGTGTGCTAAGGCAAAGTAGCCTGGGTACCATCCTAGTTATTTTACCGAGGCTCCCATACTTGTTTGTAAGGGACCTAGTATGGGAGCCCCGCTAGACTAACTAGGATATAAGGGAACGAGTATGGGGCCCCGGCACCCGGGCTAAGGAAAAACAGGTATCGTAAAATCGTAAAAGATAGTTGTGCAACAATGCGTGATCACAATGTTCATTACGTAAATGCAGGGTACCACGTATTACATGCTGCAAACAGTGTAGTTAAGTGCGAAATATACATATAGATGTGATGGGTGACATGCAGAACCTACAGCAAGTGCCGGCAAGTGCGCTGGTCAATTATATGCCAACACAGGAAATTAGTACCCAATAGGCCGACTCTGTTCTCCTGTTGTGCTAGTCAGTCAAAAATGATTTTATCCCTTTTTGTCAGAATAGCACAATGCCATGAACACTATGGAACTCATGGGCAGTATTTCCCTGTGTAAATAGCTTATCTTTGTACTACTGCATGCAGCTACATCTAGTCTTTTAAGAAACTACGTGTCTTTTTATCTGCATTGTAAAGAACTGGAAGCTTTAACGTTAGCTATTACATAACGACATGCACTGGTATTGCTGGATTTGGTCGATAAGTTTCTATTTCTGTGTTACTTAAATTATTCAGTCAGAGAAGAGACGAGTCTATAAAAACTAGAAAAGTAATACTTTTGTCACGGTGATGACAAAAACGTATAATATTTGGTTGTTCCGAGTCTTTAAACAATAAACAGGCGAAATAACGCGGTTCAATGCAGCATGGCACATGTATATAGTCATATTAGTAAGTGCAGTGTTAAGGTGAAAATGTGCTGTAGACTGGAACGGGACGTACCAGGTCCTCCGGCGGGTCCAGGGGGGCCAGGGTCACCCTTAAGGCCTTGACCGGGTGGTCCTGCAAGCACACAACAGCAAAGGTTGTCGTTATTATCATTATAGACGATATTATTGCTAAAGTCCCCCAACCCATTTATTTTTCAAAGAGTCGGACAATTCCTCTCCCACTGCCGCCTGAGAAGAAGTCAAACCCCCTAATAGTATGACAAGAATAGTTTAATAGAATAGAATAGATTAGAATAGCAGTTACCTTGTTCCTATTACCTGTTCACATATTGCATTTTTTTTTATCCTGTATGTATACCAACGTTATTAGATTTAAGTAGAGATAGTAGGTTCGATAAGTATATCGTACACGTAGAAGTTCCTGTTAGCAAATAGTCTTATACATGTATCACCACATTTTCTTGTCAATGTCTGTATGCAATTAGCCCTCGGGCAGGAATTTGCAATAAACAACAACTTATTATCATATGTCTTTTTTTTGTTATTTCAGTACACGCAAGTCGTGCTTACGGAAACGATGGCATGAATACTGATTAGCATTTGTAGATTATAAAGGAGAACATCTACAAATTCTTTTAAAAAAGCGGTTTCGATACTTTTCCCCCAACAAAACCTTACACATGAAATCTGTTCACTAAAACGTGGATATACATGTTATAATCTATAGTAGTAATGACTAACCGGGAGGTCCGGGAAGTCCAGACGGGCCAGGGGGGCCAAGTGGGCCGGGTGGGCCAGGCATGCCAGGTCCGGAGGGGCCTGAGGATAGATTAGAAGAATCGTCAATGATGATACCGAAACATTTTACAACTTTGCACGTTTCACTGTACTGCTACTGTAGCACAGTAAGACATAAAATGATAATAAGATAATAACAAAAATAATCTCATCAATGGAGTGCACATACCGGGTGGGCCAGCGGGGCCTGATGGACCGGGTGGACCAGGTGGGCCTGTATCCAAAATGTGGCTTGGGGGTTAAGCATGTGCATAGCTACATAACTACAAAACATGTTATATATCATCCGCTTGAAATGTTACCAAAAAATAAAGACTAAGTTTTGATAAATTGTATCATGTCCATAATTTGCGGCTGCGAAAATAAACGTGGTTTAATGTTTTGGTATCTGGTGAGAAACATCAACCTTCCATCTCATGAACTAAAACCAATTTCTTATCGGTTCACAAGTTGAAAGTCAAGTCATAACGTTGCCTAAATAATTGATTTCGAGCACGATTGAAATCTCTGTAACGTTTAAATGGGAGTAATATGCAAAACTCGAGACTGATTTTAGCTTCCAACCAATTGTGATGATCGTTGAGGTACTTTACCTCGTTCGTTCTTCACCCAACAAAAATGTACGTAACAGGGGTTAAGCATATCGGGATGACACAAAGGAATACGTGTGTGGATGGGTAACAGAAATGCAACGAAATACTAAAAAAGGAGGACATAAACTCAAAATGGGAGATAAGTTGACTTGGTGTAATAATAATGTGAGTTCTGGAAGGTCCACGTCCCGGGTGCAGTCCAGTGGCGGGTTGTGCGGAGGATCAAGAGATGAGAGGGGTGATGAGGGAGGGTGGAAGCCAGGCAGGTGGCAGACAACCGTGGATTGGAGAGAAGAAAAAACTATGTCAGCAGTTGAAGTCATTTTTTACCGGAAACATAGTCCTTTCTCCGTTTGACCAAGACACACTGGTGAAAATATTGAGTTCAAAAGACCCAATCTTTTAAAGAGGCCAAGCATCAAAAGGACTATGGATCCAGATGATACACAATTCTGTATCAATGTGTAGCAACAAATAATCTTCTTGTTTTCAGTTTGTCAAGGACGGGCTTGCTAACAAAAGCATCTTGCGTAGGCAACCGGGATAAGCGACTTAGACAACATTGCGTTACGTTGTAACTCGTACGAAGCAGCAACAGTTGCTGGGGGAAACGATTGGGCGAATAAGCCCAATGTCTTGTCCTGTCTTCTTGTGACTGTCAATAGTCTTTTATCAAGGTAGGGTTAACGTTGAATACATGTATGGGTTGATGCTACACAGGGAATGGTATATATACATATTCTTTTAATATGTAATGTTCAATTGGAGATGAGTTTGTGTACTAGTGGCAAAATACGATATGGACAAAATATTGTTACAGTAATGAAATATTTTTTCTTCGAGACTAGATGAATAAGTGGAAACGCTTAGTTGGACGTTATCACTGTGACATTTACAAAATGATATGGCTAGTACAACATGATACGATCATCAAACGCATCTTTCACAGAATTTTTCACAACGAGTTTTAATTTAATCGTAGTTTTTGCAAGCTGGTAAAAGCCGACCAAGCAAGTACAGCATAACGTAAACGGTTTAGAAGTTAAAGTACGACTGTAATCTACTCTCCTCCCCTTGCCATTACGTAAGATCATTCTGGTAATACCAGTATACCCTGTATAACATACACACTGAATAATGCACAACATACTTCTTCTTCTTCTCATCAAATCATACCTATCCTGTTTCATAAAAAAAGAGGAAAAATACATGCACAGCTACATAGAATTTCATTCTGTTTGATAGATAACAACTGGACGAATGTGGATAAAATGGAGACGTACTTACCCCCACCTGTGCCTGGGGTTGACGGGGGTCCAGGAGGTCCTGAGGTAGAGAGGGTTATAAACAGGCAAAATTCGCGTTAATACAGCAATAACTCCATATACATGCTATAACACAGCATGCACACTTGTATATACTCACCATTATCTACAGTGAATACCTGCCCATGACCAAGTAGTATGCTGTAGATGTTTTGCGTCAATAGGTACATGTATGTACCAAAACCTACTTATCAATAGACAAATGTAAACCTAAGCTAGGCAAACTATATCATTTCCCTATGTACTAATAACTGGACAATTTTAAGGCTGTTTCCTTCAGTATATCAGTTAGTGCAGTGCATTGAAAAACTAGATAAGCCAAGTTGGCCGCTATAGGTCATACTGCTATAAACTGAGTATCATTGTCTAAGCCTAGTGTGTTGTAGACATCTGCCGGCTTCTAACAAGTTACGACTAACATGGCTGTTAAAACACGTTGTGCTTCAGCCATAATCACCAGTCAGTTTCGCACGGTAAAGCAAGCTTGATATATTAATTCTACCAGCTATTGTGCAGACGGTGAAGCTATTGCAGGGTCAGTGGCCAATACCGTGCGAGGATATGGAACCGTCCCAATAGGTGAAAATTTCTGAGAGTTTTCCTTTGTTCTGCTTATACGAATTCTACACTAAACTATGTAGACATCTAAGCCAAATCGACAGACAGTACAATGTAGCCTGGTATCCAGTCTATCGTGGTTGGGGTAGACTGTATTCGGGGCTCAAATATTTCCCCCCCGTCCAGCTCAACAGACCGCCTGTTACACCCGTTGGAGTTTTGCACGCCAGGAGTTGATTACGTAAACCCCACCACGAAAACTTCCGTCGTGCAAAACCTACAGGGGGAACCTAGGGAGGTCGGGCGGGAAGAATCTCCTACGGCCCCGCAGAGAACCCGCCCCAACCACGATATACTGGACACCAGGCTACAAATAGTCCAGCGTTAATGTAGAATCTACAATCCTATGGGACGGTTCCAGGTAACGGTCACCTTGCTTTCCCGGTTGACCGGGCATGCCGGGCCGTCCTCTCCCTGGCCTGCCGGATAGACCTATGGGCAGGAAGTTAAAGAGCGGGCGCTTAATCTTTATTCAACCTTCTTAATCTTAAAGGTTCAGAAGCAAAAGAAAACCTGGTTTTCCTGGAGGGCCGGGGTCACCACGTCCGCCTGATCCTGGGGAGCCGGGAGAACCTAAGAAATCGTGAATATTCGTTAAATAACGTTCCAACGCTTTAAAGGACCTGTTAGAAAGTTCAAATATTCAAACTTAGTTTTGTCTCTAGTCCTCCAATTGGTTGCCTTAGTTGCTTCGTCATATTCATGAAGCTTCCTTATCGGTCAGTGTTGTTCTGTACTGTGCTGTTAGTATGGTGTCCTGGGGGGTTTATGTGTGAGGAACATACGGAGGTCCTTTGTCATACAGCCCTTAGGGTCGCTGACTGGCGTTATCAGAGGATGTAAATGATAGTTCCTGAAATGCGGGAAATAGGGTGAGAACGGACACACGACGGACAATGCAGAAGAGAATGCTGTTATATGATAACCTAAACAGAGGACTGTAATGCTGGGGATCCTGTTGTGCAACAAGACAAAGTGGATAAGATGCGTAACTACATTGGAAGATGCATATGTAATGTAAAGACTAAAGGTAATGCTCTCAAGTGCTTATTTAGTAGGTAGGTAAGAGGAAATGCAATGCACTTGTTCGACAGACGTGTGGGCTTGTCAACTTACGTCTCCATACGTCAATCTTGATTTTTTAAATTAAATACACCTTCAGCCTTATCATTCGTAACTTTCTAAAATCAATTAGTAATACGTTCATAGGTGAAATCATCACTGCTAGTGCTGAATAACATGCCAACAAGATATGGAATGGCAAAGTGTCGATACAGGTGTAAAATGAGAGATCTATGAAACAAATATCTTTCTGGACGTTAAGGCATTTCACGAGAGGCCACTGTAAACCACACATACTTTTTAATGCCAACAAAGTGTTAAGATGATGAGAAATATAAAACGGCCAAACCTGGTGGACCGGGTGGTCCTCTTACTCCCTTCGGACTTGGCATCTGCTTGGCGAGTGCACCTGCCAAAGCTGAGGAACAAAAGCAATGTATGTTAGCAATAGTTTTACAAGAAACAACAGAATACCATCTACATGTATATACATATATATGAATCAGAATTTGTGCATCTTTGAACAACGCGAGCTAAGTGTCTAATTGTTTTTAAGAACAGTACAATGGTCAGTGACTACTATATAAAAACAGGAAATCCCTAAGGTACCATACACAGTTCCCGCGCTTAGGATGAATAAATGTAAGCGTCTTCACAAATACTGCTGAATCAAAAATAAAATTCGAAGTTTAGACTTTTAATTGAAGTGCACATTTCTTGCCTAAGTTTAACAGAGTTCAAAGCGATGTCCTCATCAAGTAAAACCCAAGTTGATGCAACATGATTTACCTGATAGATCTACAGCTGGTGCTGGGAGACCGGGAAGACCAGGGGGACCACGTGGGCCAGGGGTACCCATGCCATCATCACCTGTGGGAAGGAACGTTCAGATAATGCAGACATCACACTAAACTAGAAATCGGCGTAGTTAAGAGATTGGTCTGTGGTTACGAAATCACCCCCACCCACGAGCTGTCTGTCACATAACTGTGCGACATATTACAGACACAACGCAAATCTGAACTGATATTTTGTTTCTGTTTATTAGTCTTGCATCTCAGGTTCATTACAGGTAATAGTACTCGTCAGGTGTCAGGTGCTTCTCTGCAGAGAAGCCCAATGTTTTTACAAACTTTCTAACAAAAGTGACACTTTTATGATATGACACATACGTACCCTTGTCTCCTCGAGGCCCTGGCTCTCCTGTGCGGCCTGGCTTTCCAATTCCTGGTTTTCCTATTGAAGAGATGTTACAAAGTAAATATCAGATCTTCACTCAACGAATGTGGTTCGGTAGATATACATGCCATATGTTGGAAACAATCCAATGACCAAAAAATGTTTTCAATCAGAAAGAATGTATGATCTTACATATAAACGACATAACATACATAGTAAAAACAAATGTGTTAGGTGCTACGCTGTTTCAATGGAGTGTGCCTGTGTACAACGTCAGTTTGCAAATTAAAGTCTTTAATCTCAAAGGCTTGCCATCGGAACAAAGTAGACAAAGATAGAATCCTTGATGGACATGTGACTTTACCTGCTGGTCCTTGTTGTCCAGGTGGTCCAGGTTGGCCTGTTCTTCCAGGGGAGCCTCTCTTTCCTTCACCAGCAGGGCCTGAAGTAGAATAATAAAATTCCAATTGTGAGCATGTTACCTTAGGCCTTGTTCACATGAAACCGCCCGAACCGCGATTCGGCTATTAACTCGCATTCCTCATATCTGGTCAAAATATTGTTTTTCCTCAGTTTTCCCCTCTTCTTCTCCAAACAAATAAGGTCCATGACCTGAACCAGACGTCTCCCATCATGGTAACCGGTGTTGTGTTACACATGTACAATGTTGCAAGTGCCATGCACAACTGAGTCCAAGAGGGGCTACATGGTCACCATATATTAATGTGTTTGAGTAAGAATAAACAAAGCTTGCAAAGATGGGCAATGTGAAGATTACTTTTCTAGTTCCATATTTTGTTTGTACTGACCAGGGAATCCTGGAGGTCCAGGTGGTCCAGGCTGACCGGCCTGTCCGTCATTTCCTGGCTGTCCGATGCCGGGAGGTCCTGGAGACAGACAATACGGTGAACAATACCGGTAAAGTATGCGACAAGCTAAAAACAATCGGTTTCACAAATTGCTTTTCTGGTTTTACTGAATTTACTGCTGAAAATAAACTATACGGTTAATGATGCTGAGGAAGTCGTAGTTCCCATGTAATAGCATCTGTCCTCAAGTATTCATACTCGAAGAACTCAAGGTACAAAGAAGGTGATACTGGTACAAGACTTACCTGGGGGACCAGGCTGGCCGGGGCGTCCAGCACTGCCTGAAGGACCTAGAAAAGAAAGCGACAGGTTCTTACATTCTATGCCATTTTTGGCGAATGGCTAGCCCTTAGCAACTTCTCGCCGTTAACATACATTGTACTTAAGAACCAGGAAGGAACGGTACAGCCCTGTAAGTGTTTATACATTTACATGTAGGTAGGAGCAATTTGCCATATTGAGCCATGTTCTTCATAAATTGAATACAGTTATAACAACAATGTATACTTAACTCATTGGGAAGATATGTGTAAGTTGTAACATACCTGGTGAACCTCTTTGTCCTGGCTCCCCAGGCATACCAACGCCCGGGTCACCTGGAATATAAAGAGACGTTAGTTGCAAGTTGATGATCACAGGTCAGAGGTCACAGACGGGACCAAATAGACCATGAAGAGCTCTCTCAACTACGGATTGAAATCTGTTGCAATCCTCGTTGACTGAGGCTCATAGAGGCCTAGTATCGTGCCATCCATATCCTAGAAAGGCTTTCAAGTGAATTTTATGTTTACGTTTCTTTGTTTTCAGAAGTTTTCAGAAGACTTTTGCTCCTGTGTAATCCTGCAACCCGGAACACCCCCCTCCCACCCTCAAGACACCAAGGAGAGGACTTCCTACTCAGCCGTTTTATTACTATTTTCTTGACTTATCTTGGCTACCGGATTACAAGGTTGGTAATAAGTTTACTATTCTGTTTACCTTCTATTTAGCTTCTGACCACGAATCCAAGTTGTGGAGCACAGAAGTAGGTGAACAACACAACATACATTTTGCAGGATATTCAAGTCAATGTCTATAGCAGTATTAATACTTTTATTATTACATTCAAAGATCCGAATTGACATTCGTCAGAGTCCATTCATTATTTAATTATTTCCTAGGCACAGTCTGTATATTTCCTATAAACGTTAAAAGAAGAAACAACAGTACCTTGCTTTCCTTGTTTTCCTGGAGGTCCAGCTTCTCCGATTCCAGGAGGTCCTAACAAAGAAAAAAAATCACTCTCCCGTGTCAATGGAAAACAACTTCAAGATTGTTACTGTTAGATGTTAACACGTCAGATACATACCTTCACAAAGGAAACATATAATTAATCATGTTAATGTGCAGAAGAAATATTTCGAACTACCTTTAGACATTCACTGTTAACGTTAGACCGAACAAGGACAGGAAATAATAATATACCCATTGACCTAAACGTTATCACTACTTGATAATACAGGTTATTAGTAGTATAGATGTAACAATGGGTGCAGAATATGTGCTAAGAGTATGTTTAAAGAGAGGAAATGTGAATATTAGGTAACACCTTTGGAGCAAGCAAGTGCAACTGAAATACCCATTCCGGGCAAAGCAAAAGTGCAGTTAAAGAGAGGAAAGGGACCATGCAAAGAAACTACTCCAAAAAATGAGTAGAGCAAGGATGTATAAGAGCAAGAGAATATTCGTCCTTCGTCGTATGGACGGCTAGATGTGTCCTTGTCACAAGATGTGAGGAGTGATTCCATGTCTTCGATGACGATGGCATGGAATCAACAGGCTCGACTGGAGTCCCCTCCAGTTTGAATGACCATGTAAAAAATGGCCACTTGCCAACACGTCACAACATGTGAACAAAGACTCCAGCTTTCGTCTCCCGTCTGTTACCTGGCGGTCCTGGCTGTCCCTGTTGGCCGGGCATCCCTGGCATACCTTGGTGCCCCTTGATGCCTTGACCGGGAAGTCCTTAAAGAATGGCATGAAGATGGGATGATATGAATATGGTTATTGATATATATACCATACCTGGGGGTCCAGGAGCACCTGTTCTCCCACGCATTCCCGGCAATCCTTGGTGACCCTTTTCCCCCGTTCCGGGAGCACCTAATACAGATGTCCGAGGCATGGTCAGGACGTGTTCTTTATGGCCACTTTATTCCGTCCACATTTACAACATTATGTCGGTATCAGCGTCGGTATCAGCATCGGTATCAGCGTCATCTTACCGTTCAAAAAGTAGCGCAAGGTTGTTGTTTTTTTCAAATTATGAAACACATATAGATTACTTAATCAAGCCAAGAAATTAACAAATTTTCATCATGGTGTCGGTCATAATAGCATTTAACAAAACATACTGTGCTTGAAAAATTAATCTGAATACCAAAGTTGGCAACAAGAATAAAAACCGGGGCACTTACCTACTGGGCCGGGCGATCCCTGCTCACCAGGCGGGCCAGGTCTGCCCCTTTCGCCGGGCAGGCCGGGCGGACCGGGTTGCCGTGCTGCCTGGCTCATAGCTCCTGTTTGTCCATAATCATACCACATTAATATTTATTCATTTATTCAATCCAACAAAATCATACAAAAGCAGGGAATGCTAATGCATCCCTGAATTGTGTAATTGATTTTTACAATAGGTTAAAAAAACAAGACAGGACAGGTACACAGAAACACACTATATACAAATATCACTTTGTAGGATTCCGTAAAGATATAGTAGCTGAAAGTAGCATAGATGTCACTGTAGATGTCTGAGATCGTAAAACATGTTACACTGATTACTACGTACGCTGAAGTAGTAAAATGCAGTACGTTCCATCAACTAACAATTTTATTATTTATATATAAAAACTGGTGTACAACCTAGTCTCGGTACATGCAGCAATCTTGTTTTGGGAACACTATTTTCAAGGGCCCCATTACTTACCTGGGGGTCCTGGGGGACCAGGAGGTCCTCTTCTTCCCAAACCGGCCGGGCCTAATAAAAACAATAGAACAAGTCATTGTATGTTATAGAAAGTTCTGCCTGGTCGAAACATATTCGACAAAATGATAATTACAAGCTCGTTTGTCTCCACCACTGACAATGGGATCGCTACTATTGTCAGTACTTTCTTTCATTTCATTGAAAGAGCTTACAATAAGATAAATAGAATCGCGTAAGAATAAATAATAGTAGGGGTGTTATCCCATGTGTCCGTACCAGGGGGACCAGGTGGACCTTCTGGGCCTTCCTTGGACTGACCAGCTTGACCTAAGCAGAGAAACGGGGGCGTCAACGTTTTATAAATACATGTTCTAATCTTAGGTTAACCATTTGCATACACATGCATTAGATGTCCAACAACGTTCGGTTAATATCGATATGCATGCCACGAAAAGGAAAATACAGAAATTATGTAAACAAGGAATCATTCAGTTTCAGACTTGCGTTTTATTTCAGTATAAATTTTACTTCCAACAGCATGCAAGATAGAAGGAATAAAGGACACGTGGTAATACAGACGTTGTAATAAGGTTAAGAATTTGTTCCAAAACTTACATATATTATGGAAGACATTTGAGGTGATTGTTATGTAGAAAACAAGAAATGTCAAAGGTCATTGTCATGGTCTTCTGTTAGTGTCACTGCAGACAATAGTTTTACTCTCGGTGTACCTGGTGGTCCCGGTCTTCCCGGCATTCCGGGTCTGCCCGGCAATCCTGCTGGTCCCTTAGCACCATCCTTTCCAGTTTCTTTGAGAAATCAGACATGTCAACCGTCAACATACAGAAATAGAACGGGGAATATCTCTACCTGGCGGGCCGACAGGTCCTGCTCGTCCCATCATACCAGGAGGCCCAGGGGGGCCCTTCTCCCCAGTACGTCCCGGCTCTTCAGAAATAGGACATCCGGAGTGTGTCAGTGTTTGCGATGTAGAGAATGGAGTCCGATTGCGCTACTTTTATTGCAATTTTAACGCGCTTGGGCTGCAAGTGAGCTGGACGTTGAGCACAACATTCTACTTTGAAATGTTGCATTGCATGGCAGCTTTCTAATATGGCGGCTTGTAGGGTACATCTTTTTTTATAATTTGACTATAAAAACAAAGGAGTTGAGGTAAAGTTTGCCTTTTTACAGCAAAGCTTTGAACGTAGCAGGGCCATGCCGTTTCGCTTAGAGTCACTCTAATTATTACATTGATATATAATTACAAAATATAGATTTTACTACCAACACTTTTCTTTATCGACTTTACTATATTACAGCATATTAGTACAGAAATGGTATGTCGTTGTTAGTTTCAAGCAGTCTACTCACTCCCTTCCCCAGGAGGTCCAGGCGGTCCAGGCTGCCCAACACCACGTTGTCCTGAGATAAACATGACAAGCTTGAAATACAGGCTTTACTGAAGGCGTCATTTGCGCCATATTGGATGACGATGTATGCCATCTGCAACCCACTTACCCACCAACATGTCTGCTGGGTATTCAAATTATATCTGATGTCAATGAGAGTCTCTTTATCAATACGAACAGTGCAGCGATCTTGAGAAATGACGATGGGTTGCTAAGTATTCTCATTTCCAAATGTCTACCTCATCATCATTTGCCCTGTATGTACAGATCAGATTCTCATAGCATATAATCGTCATCTACACATCAGTATATACAAATCCTATGCATCTTGAAAGTAGGTACAGTTGGGTAGAACAAGATAGTACTGTCTTGAGTGCTTGCAGGGACATGAAGGGTTTGTAACTGACCTGGAGGTCCAGGTGGACCAATAGCGCCAGGGGAACCCTGAAATTGAGAAGTCACGGCACACATCAAGCATTTTTGCGGTGAGTACATTTAAGCGTGAATACGGTGAATGCTGTAAATGATACCTCAATAAATAATATGGTGATTTAATCTATTTATCAAGATATTGCAAGATTACCATTACCTTCCGTCTGAACGCAAGGGAGAGATTTTTCTTTGTGCTTATTTATTGCTTCTTGCAAAATTCTCGTAAACTCAGGCATATACGGACTAAGGCAAAAATACTAACGTCATTTCCGGTTTTGCCTTGGATGCCTGCTTTTCCGGCCATACCCTGCAGAGAAAAACATAAACATAAGAATTATCACCGAACGCAAGAAAGCAATTTAGCAAATTCACTAATTGTCTGTAAAAATGTGTAAATGGTATAAAATGTCTCAACGTACCGGTGCTCCTTGGAAGCCGGGAGGTCCGGGGGCTCCCCGATCACCCTAGAAAGATAATATGTCATTAACTCAATTATTTTCATTACATTGAACGTATAACTCACATACAATATTCTACGCTCTTGTCTTAGCTTGCCTTGTCTTATCTATACTAATAATTATACAACTCAGTGGCTTTACAAACTTACCGAATTGCCAGGAGGTCCAGGGGGTCCGATACTTCCGGGGCGACCCTAGAAAAGTATCAAACAAAACGTTAATACAATTTCTACAGAAACCTTACAAATGGCTTATAATCAACATCTAAAAGTTTACTTAGCCTTTCAGCCATTCAGGCTGTAACAATACATTAAAATTGCCTAGGTGGGACAGAAAAATCCCTTACCGGGCTTCCAGATTTTCCAGGGGATCCTTTGTCTCCCGGTCGGCCGGAAGGACCCGCGGGTCCAGGCGGTCCAGCGTCGCCTTCCTTGCCCTCTTTACCCTAGAAGAGACCAGACCTTAACTATCATGATCCGTACTTCTATCAATCATGGTTTTATACAAATATTAATTTTTCCCCCATCCGTTAAGATAAGCACTTGCACCTGTATGGATATGATATGGAAATTCATCTATAATTTGCCTTACAGGAATTTTCATAAGAGCCATTTTTTCATGTGCGCCATTTTCCAATACTCTTAAAAAGTTTTAATATTGGTTCTAACAAATGAATTGCAAGTGAAAGAATCCACATCTATTTCATTGCCAATCACTCACGTCTCTTCCGACCATTCCGGGGGGACCGAGTGGTCCTGGTGCTCCAGGGAATCCCTGTAAAATTAAAAAAAAATAAAAGCAATGGAAACGTTCTTATTTATTGCAACATTCCTATGACGTAAATAACCTGATTTCTTTGGTTAAACCTGAAAGTTGAAGTGCAAGTAAAATTTGCATATCAATAACAAACGTATTAGTATCGTATAAGTTCTTAATTGCTTTTGTTCACTTCTTTCACCCTGTTCATGCAATAAGTCTTTGGGCATTGTTTTTCTAATAAGAAATTCTTTATTCATTAAACAACGCGCATTTTCAACCGACCCACTTGCATGTCTGTTGTGCCGTCATCTTAACTAAAATTGCTGAACACATTGTGATAACAACAGCTTTTCAAAACAAGGAACAGTTCTCTACGTACCCTATGACCTTTCAGTCCCGGCATGCCTGGTCCGCCATTGTTACCTGGTGGACCCTGAAGAGAAAAGGGAACACGTAAGAAAACATAAGAATACTAGTGATACTCATTCGTAACGATAAGTGTAAAAAAAAATAAGTATTCACGTTTGCCTAGATTTATGAAAGCTGAGATTGTACTAGTTGCAAAGTATAAATCCACATTGCCACATTTATCGAAAAGTACCAAAAAGCTGCTCTGTCTCCATAAACACATTACGAAAATCATTAATTCAAAGCCCAAAAAGATTTACCGGCATCCCCCTGCTTCCAGGGCCTCCAGGCTGACCTGTCTTACCAGGGGGTCCCTAAATGAAAACAAAAGGATCATAGACTCAAATTAGAGCAAAAATACAGGTAGGGGAATATAACGCAGATTACATAATACATCATACATTACCCAATTTTTGTAAGTAAATCACCATTGAATAATGCTATAGGTCATGATGCTTGTGATAGTAATAAAATAATTACAATGCGTATAACTTACACGGCCACCGACCGTCTTGATATCATGAACTTGACAGGCAAGCTTTACGACGTCATAATGACGTCACTACTACTTACGATCAATCCCTGAGGTCCAGGTGGGCCCGCCATTCCCATCATACCTGGCTTGCCCTAATTATAGGAAAAATACATTTGGTAATGGGTTTTGAAGCATAACAATACCTTATAAGAAGACACGTTTATCATATTTCACAATTAAGGGTCATATTTGAATATAGCTACATCACCCTAAAAACATTAATAAGATTCTTCAGACGTAGTTGTACATGTGAAATGTACCCGCTATGCAAATGCAATCTGCAGAGCCCTTACCTCATCACCTGGTTCTCCTGCTTCTCCCGGTGGCCCAGCAGGCCCGGGGGGACCCTGTGTTACGGGAACGACGGTGAAAAATTGAGAAGAAGGACCCACTGAATGAATGCGAGCATTATCCTTTAAACGTTCTTCTGTTCGAAGTGATTTAGCTTACACATGTCCTTTGACGTTTACTTTGTTATCCATCACCCCCATATAGGGATTTCGACAACAGAAGAATTACCAAACGCTTCACTGGTCGCGACTGTGCATTGAGATAATGTAGTTACTGCAACGTTAAAGCAACGTAAACGCGTATCTAAGTGTTGCTTCTGGTATCTGTACACAAAGCAGAATAAATGTGGAGCTTGGTTTCCTGAGTGTGGCAGCATCCGGTTGTGGTATTCCAGCCTTTAATTGTGTGTCGTCAGTAACAGGTATTTTAATAAACACTATCTCGTCTGTATGTTAACGGTTAACATTCAGTTTTTATTCTTTACTACCGTAATACGGTCTTGTGAGAAGTCGAAGGAGATCAATGGCTACCCTCACACAAATGGCCTGGTGATACGTGTTGCTTTTTGTTTTTTTTTTTTGAGAAAAATGTTACATCGACAGTGTTATATAGCCAGGAGAGTGTCTATCATCAAACACCACCTAGCGACTTACCATCACGTTTGAAGCATCATCATATCCGAAAAAAAAGGAAAAAACTTTGTATGAGGGTAGACACTGTTGATGTACTTACAGCTGAACCTCTGTTGCCAGGGATGCCTTTGGGGCCTTGTTTTCCTGGGAAACCCTGGAAGAGAGTAAGATCTGTCAAAACCCCCACCCTACCCACAAAGGAACCGACTTACTCGTTCACCCATCTCACCCGGAGGTCCCGCAACCCCAGCATCGCCAAGCCGACCCTGCACGCAAAATATAACCTCAACAGCATCAGAAAATGGCGTCGTCGGTCTCTTTCAGAACAGTCCCGTTTACCGTCGCGCAAGCTTTGCGGCAGTTTTCTTAGAGTCCAAACGGTGGATTTGGGGCTGAAGCGTAACCCAGGGAAAGCAGGTACCCCTTTCGTCAGCAACATGAACAGCCGTTTTGATAGAGGTCATGTACGAGTTTACTTCTGGGATGAAGGCCTCGGGTATGCGGATGACAGGGTAAGCGGTTCAAGAGATGTGGGTATGGGGTGTGAGTTGCAAACATTGTACATGAGAGTTAAAAAAAAGGTTCTAATTTACCAATATATATGCTTTGCAAGTCGGTGATTGTCCTGTATATAAAGTCCGTATCAAAGTCTCGTGTATCAAGTGTGTATCAAGGTCTTTACAGAAAAATACAAAAAGCACCTGTAAACATGGAAGCAAGTGCAATACCATTATTGACACATGAAATTAGCCAATTAAACTTTTACTTTGCATCACATTAATTTCTAAAGTGGGTTCTAGTTCTCTTTAAGCTTGTACAGTCATTATCTTCGCGGTCGATAGACAAACAACACATTACGATGTTTTTATTTCGCTGCTTTTTCTTCAAGGAACGTTAAAGCCATACCGGCATTCCCGGTTCTCCTGTATTTCCGGCTGGACCTGGCGGGCCTTTGCTGCCCTGCAAGCAAATGATAAAATACAGTTAGGCCATGTTGATTTGATTATATGGATGACATCCTCTGGGAACCCCAAAACTGTTGCGAGCGTGCGAATAAAGAAAAAGTTTTGCAAAAAAAAAAAGTTGCTTTCATTATGAAATCTACGTGGTCATGAAGATTGAACAAATGACACAGGGTATGGTATAAGGCGAATTATCTACTCTTCAAATTCATTTCTTTACATTTTCGTCTTTTTCGTTTGGTTTTGACATCCTACGACATTGTTATTGTTTTCCAATACTTTTTGTGCAAATTACAGTATATATTTGCTCATTTTGCAACTGTTTTGTACGATTTACAGCATGGTTGAAAACTTTTTTTTTTTTGGAAACGGCCGAAAATTGATGCGCGCGCGGATGTCATCCATATAATCAAATCAACATGGCCTTACGGATAATAAAACAATAATTCAATAGGAATGTAGAAGGTACACCAAGCATGTACATGTAGGACAATGGGGAAAGCGTTGAAATTGCATTTACTGTTGATACTGCCTCTACTGTTGATACTACATATATTGCGGATACTACATACACTGTTGATACATCTTCTGCTGATACTACACATACTGCTGATATCACATCTACTGTTGATACTATCTCTACTGTTGATAGTACATATACTGCGATTTTAGATCTACTGCTGATACCACAACTACTGCTAATACGACATCTACTGTTACAATGCTACTACATCTACTGTTGATACTACATCCACTGCTGATATAATATATTTGTAAAAGAACATTCTTTGGTTTGCATTATAACAACGTAAAAATGTACATATACCTTTGACCTATCTGTACAAAATGTTGACACAGAGTCTGATTCGTATGTAATTGTTTTTCTTCACTTACCGGCCCTCCCCTTGGTCCAGGTGGTCCTCTTTCTCCGTTCATTCCCATCATTCCATCCATGCCCTGCATGAGGGCGGAAATTAGTCACTTAGAATCAAAACAACAAAAAACAGGCAAAATATACAGGAAATAGCATGGCAGCCACAAGTGTCAGTATCAACCTGGCACCGTCACAAAAAAAAGTTGAAAAAAGACACGCATGTCAATGGGACATGTATAAAGCATATAAAAACATGGCCGGTAGAGATATCATCTTTGGCAACTAACTAACAGTAATAACAATGGTTCAGTTATACTGTATCAGATTTCCATTACTTTGCGTATATCATACAGAAAGACCAACATAAAGGAACACCCGCATCGTTGTGTAGAAATGTCTCAAACCCCTATATATATTAGTAACAACCTGTGCATGATTTCCAGAACAACTGGCTCATGTGATAAATAATCTCCAAGCAGATTTTTGGTGGCTGCAAAAACAGCAGTAGACCTGTTGGGACCTCACATGCGTTGGTGCCAAATCGAAGAAGTGTTTTCCCCGTTTGGTCGGTCAGATTTTTATGTTTGAATAACAGCAACAAAGCAGACATGACCCGCCAAATGCCAATTGAGGTAAAACAGCTTTAATGTTTCAATCGTTCGAGTCTTAAGTTTCAGAGCCCGACAACAACATTTTTGGAAAGTTTCTTGTCATTCCCTCGACACTTGCAATCTTGATGAGACTGAAGACATTATGGGTGTGCAAATTCTAGCCGATCAAAATGTAAAATATGTCACTAATGATGGTAATTTTGTAATCACCCGAAATCGGAATTTCCACCCGTACCCACGTTTTTGTCTGTACTAGTGAAATAATTAGATGTAGAAAGTTCTGCTATACTATAGCACGGCAGCTGGTGTATGGTTCAGTGACAAACAATGACAAGCTGACAATCTTGTAGAATGGATTAGACAGCATTAACGTTCTTACTGACAGGACCTCCCGGATATGCGTACGCACAGTCCCTTTAGTTAACTCAGCTGCCCGTGTCACGCCCAGCAAAGCCCAGTGGTGCCTTGTAAGAGAATACAATAACCTGCCTATTTAGTAGCAATCAACGAGGCAACCCTGTCATTACATCGTTAGACAAATACATCAATGTCTTATCAAAGACGCTGCTTGCCGACTCTCACATACCCACACCGCAGCTACTATGTATCAAAGACATTGTCCACTGTATTGTCTAGCCTGGGTGGCAGGCAGTTTCCAGTTACAGTTCCTCGGCTACAGGGCCAACATACCCCCAAGGACATTATAACAGCAAGACACACTGGCTCACAGCCTGGGTGCCCGACTAGTACCAGGGGTAATATACAGGCTAGCTCCCCGGCTCCATTTTTTTTTATAGTTTATCGCTAGTCTTCATTAGCCCACAACTCACCACCCCATTCACAGGAACGATAATTGACCCTAGTTACAAATCGTTTTTCAACCATCTTCCAAGTAAAAGAAATATTTATATCCGGATCTGAAACATGGCTATCTTGACAACGTCACTCACTCAGCTACCTATCTAAAATAAACAACACCGAACGGAACGTTTGGAGGTAAAGGTAAATAGTATTTAGTCAGGAAAATGTCAAAGGTTATGTTTTGACATGCGAACGTAGAACGCTAATGAACAGTGCTGTCAGGGACAAGAAATGGGATACACTCGTTTGCATAGTATACCACCAATTTGCAGCAATTACTGGACATACAGTATCTATATGTATGTAAATAAGTCTTTCATGGTCAAAGTATTTCACAATGAGAAACCATGAAATGCGGCGCGGCTGTCGTAGTGTAACATTGCAAAGCAGATGTAGCTTATATGATTACAGATGCCAAACATGAATGACACAGAATCCAGGATAAGAAGTAAACTTAACCCTTCATTTTCATCCAGAAGGCAGCTGGGCCCGGGGTAGACATGCGGAAACAAAATACTCTTCTGCTTGTACTATTCAATACATGTTAAAAGAGCGGAGGTCGATGTGTCAGACAGAAAACGCTGAACAAACAACAAAACTTGAAACGCAAAACTCTACCACCTGTGGGGTTTGCATATGGTTCCTCCGTGTCTGTATATATATAAATGTAGACCCCACACATGACTGAAAGTGCGTACAAAACTTTCCCACGACAAATACAAGCAGCTCGAATAACGATGAGCCCTAGCAAGAACATTGTCAAGTGCACCACTGTTGAAAGATCTTGAACATCCTCGAGGTCAACTTGAAGGTCCCGAATGACAACATGACAGGCCCCTGAAATGGTAGTCCTTAGGTAAACAATATGACACAGTGAGTGCACATTACAGAGCTGTTATTAATCGTTGTACAGTTGTTTAAAGCTTATTTTGGAAGGGTATTTCACTATGGATGACCTCCATCATAATTCTTCGGTTGTACGGTATGTATGAGTGACACCAGCGGGCATGGTATGGGTGACATCAAACACCATCCGTCGCCGGATGCGAACCTGACAAACTCATGGGCAGTTTGGATAACTTATTCACCCTGAGCTTCTCCCTTGACAGCTTGGACGATCTCCCAAAGGTCTAAACAATTGTGAACAACATGTTTAAATAGAAGTCTCGAGTGAAGGATCAAATAATTCTTGTTGGATCCGATTTGGTTACAGTGTTTACACGTGTACAACGCCAAATGGTTGTCGATGACAGTTACTTGATCATTTCAGGGTCCCTGTGGCCTCCAGTAGCCCCCGTAGCAATTTTACGACCATAAGTAGTGTTCCTAAGTGATAACTAGAGACAAAACGTAAATACAAAAGCAAGGACTTGGGTTGTATGACATATTGTATGGGTTGTGTGACACCTGATGCTTGTTTTAGATCTTCGTTTTATTTTTAGCAGGCTCTGCCGCGCGCGTTAACATAAACATTTTAAAAACTTCTAACTCCAATTCAGCTACACAGATTGCTCTCTGAAGGTGGTATTCTCCAGTTTCACTAATTTCACTAATGTACAACATGTGAGGTCATCGAAAAGTCAAGGGTACTTAAAGAAGAAAATATGCATGGAGATCTGACTCATTGGGGTCATGGCCACAGGCTTAAAGGTCAAGTTGAGATTTCAAAAAATCATCCGAAAACAGGTGCGTGAGGCTAATAAATTATCACATGTCCCGAAGGTATGATGACATTTCAAAAATTTCCGTTCTCAGACTAGGCGACAACGTACGGCCAAGCATAGAGATTGGTGGAAACAAAAGCCTATTTTGACATTACAGGGTTCAAGGGATTAAGTGACATCCATAGAAACTATTTGGGATATTTTCGTTGGCACAGGCGTGTCCCAAACAGCTCAGGTTCAAGGACAACTTGAGGTAAGGTCAATGCTGTTAATGACATTTGATCTATTGTGACCACAGCTGCACGCGTATATTGACAACAAGGGCTGCGCAAGGTTCGCCCACACTTAGCTACAGTACCCAATGAAAAATCCAAAGTAAAAGTGAGTAGCCTACTTTTCTCCCTTTAATTTTGTCTACTTGCATCTTCGAACAATTGAAGTCTCCATGCAATACGAGCGATCACTGCTTTTGATTACATTATGTACATGCAAATTATTTGAGGTCATATGCAAATTTCAGTAGGCAAATCACCAAACCTCATAACGTATGCAACACCTTCCGCTCGTTACTGTTGGAGTAGACAATAACTAACATTGTAAGCTATCGGTTTCCATATTTACTACAAACTACGGCAATGGGTCAAGCTTTAGCCACATTTCCAAACTATGATAGCATCTCAAATATTCCTACAGCTGCAAGTATGATGAGAAAGGGGACGTACAGAAAGTTCTGCTATCGATGTGTCAAGTCACACGACTAGCGGTTCATTGCTATGTTGTTACCTTCGCCAAGAAGGTTATGTTTTCAGTAGCGTTTGTCTGTGGGTGTGTGGGTGTGTTTGTGTGTGTGTGGTTTAGCAAGATAACTCGAGAAGCAGTGGATGGATTGGAATGAAACTTGGTAGGTGGGTAGGACTTCATGAGACCTAGAAATGATTAGATTTTGGGCCCCCTGGCGGCTTTCCTAGGTACTGCAGCTGAACTTCCGGTTTTGATATCTCATGTTCTGGACATGCTAGGGTCACGAATTTTGGTTGGTAGATAGCTCTTGGGGTAGGGAAGAAGTGACATGAGTTTGGGTCCCCTAGCGCCTTGTTCTGGAACTGCAGGAGCATTTGTTGAAAAAAAATTGAAGGACGATAACTCAAGAACCGGTTGACGTATTGTCGTGATTTTTGGTATGTAGGTAGTTGAAGTAATGCTTGACATAATCAGATGGCAATTATGCAAATCAAGAGCTAATTTGCATAATTAATGAGGGAATTCTATAAATCTGATTTGTTCGATAATAGAACTATGAAACAGTTGTGACATCTACTTGAGAACGAGAAAAACATCTGAGGATATAGATTATGTAAATGAGGACCTAATTTGAATAATTAATGGCAAATTCTTATAATTCCATAGTTGTAACTGCTGCACCCCGAATTTCATACTTGCCACATTTGGAATTTAAGTGAAGGTGAACATCAATAAACATAAGTTATTCAAATCATGACCTAATTTGCATAATTTATGAGGAATTGCTATAATAGCCTTTTTGTTATGATAAGGCTGTCATTGGATGGAGAATATGATCAACTGATATAATCCATGCAAATGAGGCTCTTATTTCCAAAATCAATGATTAAAATTGTAGACTTCGTCACCCGCAAGGGTTAACATTTTTTGGCGAAGGTATGAGATCGTGGAACTCTTGTTTATCATAGCAGAGGATTACAAGTTGTGTTCGTTTAGTCCTTAATCAACTCATGCCATGTTGTGAACTAAGTTGTGTTGCGTGCGGGCTTGTTCTCACCTCCTCCAAGACCTTGGACCTTTAATTGGGAGCCT